CAACTGCCGCTAAAGAGCAGGACATGACATTGGAACCCCGGAAGAACTACCTTACCAAAAAGGATTGAAACTGAAGATAAAATGTAGAGAAACTCCTTTCCTTGACCCCGAATATCCGCCCGCCCTAAACATTGATTGATAGTAGAAGACCTTATCACCATTCTCCTCCCTCCCAAGAAACATGTGGAGCACCGACGAAACCTTATGATAAGCCAAGGAACAGGGCAGAAAAAAAGAAGAAAAAAAGAGGAAATGTTCGATTGCGCAATGAATTCAGGTCATCAATGACATGTAGACATTTCGTCGTTCGTAACTCAAACCGTTTAAATGCTGAAAAGAAACGAGGCAACGGTATGCAGGCAAGCTAAGCTGGCTATTCTGATGCTTCTGAGGAGGACGCTTCTGAGTTGGAATCTGAATCGGAATCGGAATCGGAATCGGACTGGTGTTCCGCGTGATCCAACACTACGCGCCGCATCACGCTCTTGTCGAAAAGATCGAGTGCGAAGCGCCGGGAGGGGAGTCGGAAGTGGTGGCTTTCCATGATGCTCAATGTCTTCCGGAAGAGGTGAGCCTGGTGAAATCGTTCTGGTTCTTTTGATTTGATGCTATGATTTGGATTCATGTAAGCCCATGCCAGAGATAGAGAAGAATTGGCCATGCTTACCTATGAAGATCTGCCGCTGCTCTCTTGGACAAAACAGTGTTACCCATGTCGGCGATCAGCTTCAAAATCTTCTGGTTGACAGGGTCCGGATCCAGCGTGGCTGCCTTGAGTTTCTCCTGGGACGTGCGCTTCGCTTCGGCGGGCCTGGAATAGGAGGGAAAATCGACCTGAAGCTTCTTAGTTAGGTAGGTCAAATATTTAGGTGCGAACGTTTCAACTTACCAAAAAGAGCTTGCTAAAGTCAGTGGGAAGACACAAGCCCAGAGAATTTCCCTTTTGATCAATAGCAGAGTCCCAACCAGCTTGCCGCAGAACCCCAAGACCATGCGGGCTGCGTGAAATCAAACCCAGCACAAAGAAAGCAGTTCCCCTCATTGTCAAGACCTCCGCACACTCGGCGATCTTTACAATATCCCGGACGAGCTCCAAGCTGAGGAATGGCGCACCCAGCTCCATGGAGCCAACGTTGCCCACCGCCCAGAGACATCCCTTGACTTTGAGAAGGGCTTCGTTGTCCTCTTCGACTAACTGGAAATCGGAGATTGTTGCAGAGAATTCTTGAAAGTGGCCCGACTGCTCCAAAAGCTTGCAGCCTTCTGCAGTCCGAGCCAATTCTCTATAGAAATGTGGGGGCACCACGCCGATGTCTTGGAGATCGACTAGGTCCTCAGGAACTAAGCTGTTCCTTCGAGGTTGATCGACGTAGGCTCGGGATAAAGCAGCCTCAACGAGGCTCACATATGCATCATTGCGTCCCAGGAACCAATCATCCATTTCTTGTGTGATGTAGTCGAGGCCATCAAGGTAGTGATAGCCCACTGACGTCGACAAGAAGCGTAAGAGTAAAGGTGCGCCAATTTCACCTAGGTGGTCTAGGGATGGCCGGCATTTAACAACATATTCGAGATAGTCGCGCTGATTACATGCTTCTTCCAGAATTTTTACTGCCACTTGACAGACGGCAACGTCTGGGTCATATAGCTGAGTGACTAGGAGCTTAATAACCCAGTCTGCATTGCCGATAGCCATGAGCGAGGGGAGAGAGACATTGCCCATCGTGTATTTCCGAAGGAGTCTTGTCCCAAAAATGCGAATATCTTTGGAGCCAGTGGTAAGAGCTTTCGACAACATCACCCTAAGGTGACTCCCTTGTGAGTAGTCCATGTGTCCTAGTAGTGTTTGGATTAGATCATCGCGATCTCGGAGCTCAATAATATGATAGAACATGTTGAGCATGTGCCACCTTTCCATCATGGCCAGCCCATTCGCGTCGGCACTTAATATTCCCAGCATTGCAAAGTAGCCACCACTCAGAGTATTTGCCATTTGCTCACGCGAAAATAAGGGTGTCGTTGACGTAAGTCCACTCATGTGATCTACCTGAGCAAGACATTCAGCAACTTGTCGAAGGAATTTGTTCTCGGCCAAATATTTCCTCCCCTCGGCTGTTTGAACGAGGCAGCGCATCAACACGCAACCGGTGCGAACATATCGCTGATTCGGTTTCGTGTTTGCAAGCACTGAATACCTATATTTGAAGGGTCTATAGAATCCCATGAGGCGCTTCATGAACTTTGATCCTTTTATAGCCTCGTCTAGCCTCTTTGGGTTCGAGAGCGGCCCTTCCACGATACGGTGTATCAAGTCCCACTTCCACTTGAGGTAATTAACCGTATTAAGAACATGCGTCTCTAATATGGCGTTGCGGAATTGTGTCTCGTCCATGGAAGGGCTTAGCTTGTCCTTATTCTGATCCCCAGATAAGAGCGAGGCGGATATATCAACATCCACGCTATACCTCCCGGCTCCGCTGGTGATGCCTCCGAGAGAGCGGGCTAGCGTTCTGTTGATGCTTTCTATTTGATAGATAGTAGATGTCGATACGTCGTGGTTTTCAACATCAAATGTAATGGCCGGTGCGATTAGATGTGGGAGAACCTGGAGCTTCGCACTGACGTTCCACGGTAAGGAATGATGCGCTAACTTGAGAACCTCTGTCAAAAGTAATGTTGCCTTTCGTCTCAGCGACGGGTCTTCTTCCTCTTCAATAAGATCGCAGAGCGCCTATGGGTTGTCAGTGAATAAATAAGACCAGCGCAGGAGGAATAAACAATTTACCTTTGATAGTCCAGCTTCAACCAAGGCGGCAAGAATGAGTGTGGAAAAGTGAGCAGTTAGGTCAAATTGACTTTCGCTGCTGTCGAAAAAGGTCCGAAGTTGTTTTGTGTCTGACTCTGACCGCAAATTTGCGACTCTGCCGTAAGTTGTAAGTCTTCGCCCAGCGAGAAACGATGAGGACCACGATGGTGGCTTAATTCTCAAAGCATCGAATAGAAGCTCCATGATAAGATCCCTGGCTTGAGGGTCTGGGTAATGTAATGACTCTAACAGTGACCTGAGAGGCTTCGCCCCGTCTTTTCCAAGGATCACTAATCCTGGCCATGACTTTAACATAGCAGAAATTGCCTTTGCGGATGATTTTAGGCGTCCATTGCGAATATTGTCGGATAAAGAGTCTGTGAACGGTGCAAGGACAGCCTCAAGTTCGCACCCTCCTCGAAGATGGGTTCTGCTGTGAGGAGTGTCAAGTACATGGAGGAAGCATGCTATCAGACTCTCAGATGCACCAAAGGTTCCTTCTGACAGGGCATCGTGTAATGGAGAAAACCCGCCAGCGTAAGCTATCAGTTGAGGATCTTTGACGAGAATCTCCGCGAGAGTCATAAGGGAAATGTTTCGAAGCCGGTCCTCATGATGCTCGGCTACAGAGACAATGGTCCGCACCACAGAGCGTGAAATCTCCTTTACGCCATCTTTGACCTCAAGGAAGGCCCGTACAAATTTCAGCGCTTGCTCCCGCTCAATATTGGCCTTGCTTTCTTTGACAAGAGACAGAATAACGAGCTCATCTGTGTTGAGGGACCGGATCATCTGGAGAGATTTCCGATCGGCAATCGCATAGCGGGTTAAGCGATACCCAGCTGCTACTACTTCCTTGCTGTCGCTTAAGAGCATAACTTGAACCCGCAGGCCGAAGACAGACCAAGCAAGGTCATACTTCAAGGTTGGATTCCGCCTGAAGAGTTCCACTAGACTATTTGCACGCTCAACGTAGTAATCGGGCGACATCAGTTCGATTTCCAGAGCCTGAAGGGTCTCTGCGAGGACATATGTCGGCGATTCCATCTCTGCTTCCACATCGTCCATGCGTTCACCATCCGACATATTGGCACGGGAGGGTGATCGTATTGAACTTCCCTGAAACAGTCCCGACATACGACTCCGAGGAGGAGTAGAAGACGCCTGCGCACGTAGTTGTTCCTCCTCAAGTTCATGATGCAGTTCAAGGAGCTTGCGATTCGATGAACTCAGCTCTGATTCCACCTTCAGCCTCTGATCCTTGGTTTGTTTCGGGTTCTTCGTCAAAAGTACTTCCAGCATGTTCTCCGTCCCCGTCTTTATTTTCATCTCTTTGGCGATCCGATCTCGCAACGCAGTCTGGCGCTCCTCTGTTGTCGGTAGATCCTCATAGTCGAGAGTGCTGCTGGGTCTTCGTGCGTACTGGATATCGGCGGGTCGTACGTCAGCTCGAGGTGTTGTACTTCGAGAAGACTTCATGCTCTTGAGGTCTGCACTGAAACTTCCGGGACCTGCTGCGGAAGGGGCCAAAGAAGCCCCCCGCGGGCCGGTGCTTGCACTCCCCCCAGACTCAGAGCGGCGGTTCCGCCCTGATTTTGAGGCAGCAGGGCCGGGCCAGCTGCCATCCACGAACCCATCATCCTGACTAGACAAAGACCGCCCATCGCCCGCAGCCCGGTGCTGGATCGAGGTCGCGGAGAAATTCGAGTTGTATCCGGACGCCATAGGGCTCCATCTAGCCGCAAGCGAGGCGTCTCTATCACCTGTCGCGAATTAGATGAGGGATAAAGAGCCGCATCGAGTTCGGCGAAATAAACGAGAGTCGACACGGGTACCGGCACGGGCTCTGGTTCTTGTTCCGCGGGTGCTTCGAAGGAGAGGGGAATGAACGGTGGTGAGTGCGGAGGTAGTGGTCGAATCGGAGATGACGAGCAGCAGGCGAAAGTCACACGTAACACGAGAAGCGGAGGAGTGAGAGAAAAACCGACGGTACGATCAGGCGGACACTAGGCGTCCATTCAAGATTACCAGCTCTGCTCAACAGGACAGGAACCATCCACTGGCTGCATAATCCCGACTGCTGGTGGTTTCGGACGCAAGAACACTGCCAGCTTACTGCGGCTTGGCTTGGCTGACTAACGGGCCCACCCCATCTACTTACTTCAATAAACACATTACACAACTTGGAATATCATTGAGACGACTAACTATGGTCTTTTCTGAGTCAAGGTGTCAGAGCTTTCCCATCAATTCCTCGATCTTGGCTTGAATTCGCTTCTCCGCCTTTACGAAAATCTCTAGTGCGTGACCGGTAGAGAATCGTCTTTTAGTCTCCAGATCTGCGTCATTTGCAGAGTCAAGTTTGGCACCTTTATTCGCCGGATAATCGACATCGTTGCTTACCAACTCTCCATCCCAGGAGGCCGGCGCAAGAGAATCCATACCCGCAAGCCTCGAAAGACGGATGGGAGTCGGAGCGGCATCCACATTGGGGTGGACTGGCTTGGGAAGTTCTTCCCCAGGTTGCTGCGAGCTGTTGTAGGGAAGATCTGCAAGTTCCTTCAGCACTTGACGGGCGATCATCGCTGAGTGGCAGCCGATTTCACTAGGTGCCATGGCCTCTGCTGCTGAAAGGAAACTGGAATACGCTGTCCTATTTTAATACCCAACAATCTTGACAAAAGGCTGCTCTTTGCCTGCGTTTTTATACAACCGCTTACTACCTATGTATCCAAAATTTGAATCATAAGCGACGGGAATGGATGTAGCAGAGCCAGATCCGCATATTCTGGTCATAGTGTGCGGTCGACGTGCGTAAACGTTTCTGCAGAGACTGTGAAATTTGATCTTCCATAACTTGTGATATACCTACCACTGTAATAAGGACTAATATACAAGCACCCAGCCTGATTTGCAGCGACGGCTTGATGCAAACTGAACACCGCCTTGCCTGGCTCACGAATCCCATCTTGGAGTAGGATGGATTTGGCAGGCGCTCAACCCAGGCCCAGTAGCCGAACAACCATAAACGGCAACGCAAAGAAGACGGCAAGGTTGATGCTGGGAAGCCGGGCCGGTAAGGGTACTTACTAGGTTGGAAGCGGCTTGAGAAAACTGAAAATAAGGGAGATTGGAGTCGGTGCTGGTTCTTGAGGATGTCCCGGCTGGGATTAGGGCTGGGAGGACTCCGGGGTTTAAAGTTGTTGCTGTGAGGATCTCCAGGAGGCAAGGCCGGATTAGATTATTGAGGACTTGCGTAGCGTTAGGGTTTTGGGTGTTGAGGGTGGATTGGTGAAGATTGAGATTCGGGATGCCTGGGAGTGTATGGAATTTGTTAATGTTTCTGTTCCAGGGTACATTAGATTATACTCTGGCTCCAGATAGACACTTTAGGGGAACCTACGTCTAAGTGCGAATATAATGACTTCCTCTACGGCAGAATAACAGTGAAACAGAAGCTGAATATTAGAAACTCTGGTTTCATAAGCCCCGCCGAGGCCCATACTAGCCATGGCATTAATTTCATTGCATCAACATTATTCATCCGCCGGTTTCATGGCGACTCATTATAACTAATTCTCATTTCTTGTCTTCTCAAGGATTGTCTTCATCATCTCGTTCCCAAGGCTAACAGCATCTGGGAACCGCGGCGCAAAGTATTGCTGGATTCTCTCAAACCGGTCACGGTACGATTCGAAGTCGCCAAAGGAAACGCAGTCAGACCACGCCTAGGACAAGTTAATATCTGTGGATGAGGTGAGAACATCGAACTTACCCGAGCTGCGAATGTGAACTCAAGGTCGTCGGACCGGAATGTCTTATCATCAATCGCTGTGTCTATGGCCTCGTCGAGAAGGTCTGGGTTGCGGAATAGATATTCTGTAACTCCAAGCCACAGGCGGAAGAGCTGGCCAGGTCAGCTAGATTATCCTGAAATGTCTGGTCATCAGAGCAGAGGGACATACCGGAGTCGAGCAGATCATATGGTCATACGGCACAATACCAAGCTTGGACCAACAATCGACAATAGCAAGTAAGCTGAGATGATTATTCGGCGGCGAGGTCTCCCGCGTCCCCTTGGACAATGAAAACCGATCAAGAACCTCATCTCTGAGCAGGAGGTCCTGTTTCTGCGTTCCCTCTTTGAACACCGCCGCACCGGCCGCTCTAACCCTTTCCTTAAGCTCATCGCGCTTCCCCTCAATCATCAGCTTGTACAGCTCAGTCACAGACTTTGCGTACTGCCGGATTTGCTTCTTCGCGGCGGGGTTGAGGATCGCAAGTCCCGCATAAACGTGCCATTTGTTCGAGTAAATGCGTAAGGTGATGTTGATCTTGACGTTCTCGATCCCACCGACCCAGCGCGAGATCTCCCAGGGGAATTGTTCGTTTGCTTGCCATGCTGTACCCATACTTAGGAACGCGGCGTGTGTGACAGCCTGCGTATCTGCTGTAATGCGGTCGTGCATTTCGCCGCTGAGGTAAACGTACTTCGAGTTGAAGCATGACAGGACTTCTTCGACGAATTTCAAACTGGCGTCGCTTGCGCGGTGTTGGATGAGGACCTGAATGAGGCGACAAGGTTAATTGGGCCCATTTGAAGGCAAGGCATATGCAATGTAGACAAGACAAACTGACCAGCGGCTGGCCTTTCGGGTTGACCTGCGGACCGTGCAGGGAGTGACATGATAGGATCTCTACATCCTGGGGAAGGTGTTTATCGAATGCGGCGAGCTCGGGGGCTTTGCAAGAGGTTTGGCCGCCAACAATGGCGCCGACTTTGGTGGCTTTTTCAACGGGTTAGAAACATTGCTTTTTTTTTCTTCGCCTTGCTGGTTATAGGCAGGACATACATGGGCCATACTCGGCAACTACCCTGTCGATAACGCCGGCCTCTACGCTGTAAAGAATAAAATCGCTAATCCTGGAGACAAGGTGCCCATTCGGGTATATTGTTACACCACTCTATATATACAATGAGTTGAGGGACAGACAGCGTGAGCTGCGAGCCGAAGACGTACTTGTGCTTCAAATTCTTGCTTCAATTTATTAAAACTATCGGGTTTGTCACAGGCATTTATCCTGTGATTAGTACGGACGTAGGTTAGCTAACAAGTACAGAGAAATGCAGAGATACGGTCGTCCTATTGATAGTAAAGTTAGCACGAGACCCAAAATGAGCAGGAATCATGTAACGGTAGTGCAAGAAACAGTTCAGACAAAGATAGTAAGGTAGCGAGGTTTTTACATCATCGACGACCTGCCAGATCACCTTACGCCAGAATGGCGCGAACAAGGTTACTGTGGCAGGCCATGCTCGAGCCAAATGCACTCGGGTCATCATGTAAAGGGGGCGAAAAGAAAAAGAAGACGAAGGGAAGCTTACCAATTGGACGGTATAGCAGCCTCGCAGAAATCAAACCAGAGACATCATTACCTCCATCCTGCGGCACTCAACCGCTGGGCGTACATCTTGCCCATATCCCCCATGCCGATGATGCCAATGGAGGCAGTTTCCTTGGTGAACCCCATCCTGGCGGTGCTTCCCTCACGATAGCTGCTCTGAATTATGAATCCTGAACCTTTTCAGCAGAAATGCTACTCATTACACGGGTTGGCCAGCAATTTGAGTATCACAACACAGAAGAAGGGGTTTGTTTGGCAAAAGAAAATTTAAATAGCGTAGAAAAGCTGCCTGCTCACCGCCCGTCGGCCCGATACCTGCGCCGAGATCCTTGATGCCTCAGGCGGAGGTTCTCGCTTGAACAAGCCAACAGCCAATCATGGGGCGCCAAACCTCGGTAGGGCACACGGAACCAACTCCACCACGAATTTTCCTGTATCTCCAACCCGGCACCGCAGCGGCTTCTTCTTTTTCTCTCCATATTCCACCACATCAGCAAGTCGACACAATGGCTCCCAAGACCAAGGCCCCCGCCGCTGCTAAGGAGAACGTCACTCTCGGCCCTCTCGCCGGTGATGGTATGCGCACCATTTTGCAATTTTCAGCGTCAGTTTTGGGAGAATCAATTCTAACGGGTATATCTTTGCAGGCAAGCTCGTTTTCGGCGTTGCCCGTATCTTCGCCTCTTTCAACGATACCTTCGTTCACGTTACCGATCTCTCGTTCGTCTTCCTGCGCCAGCGAAAATTTCTTTGAGAATAATAGCTAACAGTCCCCAGTGGTCGCGAAACCATCTGCCGTGTCACCGGTGGTATGAAGGTCAAGGCTGACCGTGACGAGTCCTCCCCCTACGCTGCCATGTTGGCTGCCCAGGACGTCGCCGCCCGCTGCAAGGAGCTCGGCATCAACGCCCTCCACATCAAGATCCGTGCTACCGGTGGTACGTACCCTTGACTCGACTTGGAAATCTTTCATATATTAACCCCACCATAGGTAACGGTACCAAGACCCCCGGTCCCGGTGCTCAGTCTGCCCTCCGTGCCCTCGCCCGTTCCGGCATGAGAATCGGCCGCATTGAGGACGTCACCCCAACTCCTTCCGACTCTACTCGTCGCAAGGGTGGTCGCCGTGGTCGCCGTCTGTAGGTATGTGCGAGTCTGTGGCGCGCATCTGCATGTCGCTTTTTCCGGCTGGCAGGGTCTTCTATATCTTGTGGTTGGATTTGGAACATGGATTTGCTAGCTAGACTGCTTACCTGCTGAATGTGGATGGAATAAACGCGAAGAACGGCAAATCTGCCTGGTCTTCAATTTATCATATCCAAAAAATGATATACAGTTCAGTTCGCTGGCATATTTTTGTTGTGCTGTAGAGTGAAGTTGTAGATTGAGTCGGAATGGTGATTGAAGATGTATCTCTGTAGATTTGTCATGACAGATGATGCGCTCGTATTGGAAGTATCAAGGTCTGGATACAGTTTTCTATCCTCGGTATCTTGTTGGGTTATTTGGTAAAACCAAAAAATAAATGTTGCCGAAATATATATTTCTGTATCCCCGCTCAGCTACACCAACAACGAACCAGCTGCCAACAGCGAAGGCCCATACTAAACCATGCAAATACATTTATAATTATCCAAGAACATGTATATTAAATAGTTTTTTATAATCACCCACTTCAAAATCGCATAAATAACCACCACCATCGAGTTGACGTCAGACTCTAGAATCTACAATAAAAACTTCAACTTCTCCCCGCACTCTCCAACCACAAAACAATAACCTGCCTTGACACAACCACAACGCCAATCCGTACAAAATAAACCAATAATGACAGTCGCATAACCTTGCCAACACCACTTCTCATTAAACCAATCCCACCGCCCTAAGGTATCTACTCATCAAGCGACATACTACCAACCTCAAAATCAACCATGTCCTTCCCAAACCCAACGCCCACGCTTTTAACACCACACCTCCCCCCCAAAACCTTCGTCGGGATCGACCTAATCACATTCAAATCGACACCCAACTTCCACGGCATCCGCGGCATCCCGCCGGGATGGCATTTTGTCTATACAGGCACGACGGAGGGGTTGAGTTTGCGTGTCGGCGGCTGGTTTTTTGTCCCGGAACCTGATAATAGGAATACTGGCAACAACAATGCAGGGGATATACGGGTTTGGAAATGGAACGAGTACACCGAGAGCCTGGAACAATTAAGGCCCGATGAAAGGGCAGAGGGGATGCGATATAAAGCCAATATTGGCGGGTTATGGAGTTCAGGAGGGCTATTCGGGTACCGGAGCAGGGTTACTGCAGCGGCGGTTTTGAAGCGTGCTGGGGTTGCGGAGAATAACGGCTTTGGGGAAGGGGAGCTTGATGAGGAGGAGGAGGAAGGGAGGAGGGAATGGGGTTCTTTGACGGGGTGGTTTTCGGAGAATCTCCTGAGTAGGATTACGGGGGAGCCTGGAGTTGATTGGGAGGGGAGGAAGAGGTGGGTTGTTACGTCCGGGAGTACGGCGAGACAGGATGATGATGATATTCCTGGTGTTGAGGGCGGATTTATGGGTACGAAGGAGCGAGAAAGTGAAGTTGCGACTGCGACTGAGATTTCTGTTGCGACTGGAAAGGGAGGCCCTGCGGATAATAGAGAGAGGGAGTTTTCGTTCGTCCCTGTTGATCTGAAGATGACGTGGAGAGAGGGCGCTATAGGGCCTGAGCGGACGGAGGCAGCGCGCGATCGATCGTGGGCGTTGGGTGAGATCGTCCACAGTATCTCTTCCTCACATTCGGACTCGGCTGAAGGGGAGGCCCAAGTCCTCGGAGAGCTCCAGTTCACATTCCTAATGGGTTTAACGCTGATGAACTACTCATGTCTTCAGCAGTGGAAGCGGCTGCTCGGGCTGATCTTGACCTGTCGACGGGCGATTGTTGACCGGGCTTCTTTCATGGCGGATGTTCTGCGCTTACTCCTGCTGCAGCTAAAGCGGTGCGATGATGTCGAGGGTGGGTTATTTGACCAGCTGGGCGCCGAGGGAGGCACCGAGAGCGCCGAGTTTCTACGCAAGCTTCTCAGAGGATTCAGAACGGCGTTATATGAAGTTCTTGAGGACGTTGAGGCGCCATCGCCCGTAAGAACGGAATTCGAGCGGCTAGAAGCCTGGGTTAAGAGCGAGTATGATTGGGAGCTGAATCGCGATGCGGTGCTTCGGAAAGGCATGCTGCAGTTGGAAGATGGGGAGGAGGTGGAGATGGAGATGATTGACCACGAGGAGGAAGAGGAGTATGCACCGGTAGTGGTGGATTTGGACAGTTGATCGTACTTTGATAACAATACCCAATAAAGCGTCAGATAAATTCGTTAATTCATCTATGATCTAGGGTCATCCCGTCTATACATATACAAATAATCTACTTTTCGCTCTCGTTCTCAATGCGATACGACCACTCGTGGTTCTCAGCGCCATCCTTGCCGTACATGACCGCCTCAAGCCATGACTTGATCTGTGCGGCGTAGGCTGCCGTATCGCCGGCCTTGAGCAACTGGATATCCACGTCGCCTTCCCTGATAACCTTGACAGGGGTAATGAAGAACTAGAAAAGCAGTTAGAATCGCCACTCCGAAAGAAGCATAAGAAGAGAAAACATACCGCGGTGCCACAAACAAAAGCCTCCACAACTCTCCCCTCCTTCCACGCCGTCTCAACATCCTTAATGGTGAATGTCTTCTCAACAACCTCAACAGCTCCAAGGTCACCCACGGTTTGGTTGAGGCGCGTCCGTGCAAGCTCCAACACACTGCGCCTCGTGACACCAGGTAGAATGAGCTGGTTCTCCAAGGGTGCGGTAACAAGCTCGCGCTTCCCAGTTTGTGCATTCTCCCAAACAATGAAGAAATTGCTGGCCCCGGCCTCGGTGACCTGGCGGTCTTCGCCGAATAGCCAGAGGACCTGGTCAAAGCCCTGGGATTGCGCTTGGCCGTGCGCCGCGAGTGAAGGGCCATAGTTCGCGCCGAGCTTGGCGTAGCCGAAACCGCCAGGCCACGCGCGGATGGTGTCTGGTTGCGAGGCGAGGAGTTTTAGGCCCATGGCTTCACCGGGGATGGTCTTGAGTCTGGCGGAAGGGTCGGGCCAGGGGACCGCGATAATGAAGAGGAGGGCTTCGGAAGGTGCTTGCACGCCGAGTTGTGTACCGGAGCCGATGAGAGTTGGGCGTAGGTAGAGGAAGCGGCCGGGTTGGGACTTGGGGAGCCATCCTGTGTATGTTAGCCCTGGCACTTGGGATCAATGGAAGGGTTGGGGGGACTTACGGAGCCCGTCAATCTGCATTAACTTGGCGATGAGTTCCTTGAGCTCCTCGAATCGGAAACGTGGGAGAGACGCCCTGTTTGCGCTATTGGACAGACGCTCACCGTTGAGGTCTGGTCGGAAGAGGCGCAGCTTCCCATCGAAGCCGCGGTAGACCTTCATGCCCTCGAAGCACTCGGTGGCATAGTGCAGACATGATGCGGTGGGGGCGATGCTGAGATTCTGGTACGGCTTCACTTCAGGTGTTTCCCAGCCATTCGCAGCGGTCCATCGCGCGGTGACCATGTGGTCGGTGCAGTATGAGTGACTGAGTTCCTCAGGGGAGCCCGGCGCGGGAACATGGCGCAGGTTGGTAGAACGAGTGATCTTGATCACCGAGGCGTCAAGCTCGGCCGGAGAAGTTGCAATGGAGCCCATTGTAATCGGTTTAGTTCCAGATTCCGTTCTGATGAATATTGAGATAGGAGAATTGGAATGGAGAGGAACGAGTGGTGTCGCTGACAGTTATAGTTAGATAGAATGCGATGAGTCACGATAACACAACTTGGAGGTCGCCCGATGTCGCTCCGCTGGCAATTGAGATCACAACTATATTCTGTCACGGGGCACAGGGCTAGAGGTTAGGGTGTGAATTGAGAAAATATCTCCAGAGAATTGGTTGCTACAGGAGTATAAAAGAGGCTTCATTCAGTCCGCGATGATTTTTACTGCAGAATCCCCACCGCTTGCATTTTGCCCCTCGTCTGACCGAGGCTGGCCGAGACTAACCGAGTCACCAAAGAGTACACCGTACGTAGAATAGTCTTCTTGAAGAAATGATCATGATATTTTATCTGCATGTTATCAGTACGTTCAGTATGTTCAGTATGTTCGGTTTATTAGTTTGGTACTAGGTTAGTGGTAATATCTGCATGAATCTGCAGGACAATTAGTACGCGGTCTGTGACTGGGCGGTCGCAAACCAAGCCTGGAGATGGCGGCTTTCGGTCCTCATCCAAGATGGGATTATTATTGCTTGGACCATGATACGTACTTATACGATCCTGCGTGCATTCGGAAGGGGAAAAGATCCTTCCGAGTTTGAACCGTGAGAAGCAGCCGGTAAAGACTACCGAGCTTCTCGAAGAACAATCCATGGTTGGGGCCCACAGAACCATGGGAAGCAGGGAAATGACATCCAGCCTATGAAACACTGCACTCAACGCTACTAGTGGCCTGATCATCTTTCGAGCACCGTGTGGGGTTAAGAGCCACTTTCCGAATGACAAGCCACTTCTCAACCCCGACTGGGTCGAGGTAGACAGCCAGTGGTGTGTGTCGAATTCTGTGGACGCTTCCAACAGTCTTCCAAACCGAAGATATCCATCCAATAGTGTGCGCCCAACTCTCTGCAACCCAGAATTTAAGATGCGCTCGGTTCGCCCACCACTCGACACGGGATGGCTTGGGCGGCCACCACCCAGAGCGACTCGCTCGGTTCTCACGACCGTAGTTGTATCATATACCCACCACCACGTCCCTTCTCCGTAATCTGAAGTCCCACAAGTCGGTCCTCGAGGCCGTGAATAAACTGGATGGCCAACAATTAGCAGGCGCAGCAGTGGTGTGCTTCCTTCGCGCGGTCATGAAAACCGACCCATGCCGGGCTCTGATAGGTCTGAATGGTCGGAAGGGTTTTCCGCCTATTGTTTTTTTTATAGTCAATCCTAATACCAATGCCCATCACTGGGTGGGAGGCTCGCAATTACAGTACGTGTCTGGTGCTGGTTTCTGGTTTGCCATGACCGCCTCGATTGGGGAGTCCTGCTTTTGAGCTCCCTCGATCAGCCTGGGTCTGATATTCTGATTCCCTGGAACCCTGGAGAAGTGCTGCTTACCCACCCTCTGCTGGATCCCTGTATTTCTCGCCCAAGAAGGCGGGTTGGAGAACGCAGATCGGAGGGGAGCGAGCGCTGCTTGCTGTTGCAAGACAGGTTGCAATTCTGCCGGGGTGCGCGCGTCGCAGGATGTGCCGTCACGGGGCTGTCAGAGGTAGAAACCAACGGCCGACGTAATTCTGTCGCTGTCACTAAACTGCCGCCGGCATCAAGATGAAATCAGGCCGCAGAACCCCCAACCCAGGTAATCCAGAGCTCGACTGAGCTCCTGGCCGCCCTTTGGTTCTGCAAGGATGCTACATCCGTCAAATGGTATAACTTCGTGTGCGATCAAGGAACGCGCCGGACTTGCTCCTGCCTTGCCCACCACCCTCGTTTTGTCGGTTCTCTCCACTCGCTGTTGCTGCTCTCCTCGACCTGCTCCACTCAGCCATCCAGAGCTAGGTATGCATTGGTGTTCTGGATTTATTTTCCACGTTTCCCTGGCTGTCACTTTGCATCGATGGATTCCCACCCTTGCTGGAGCCTCCCGCTTGATGGAGACCACCTTGTGATCTGTTGCCTCATGGCTTTTTGTTTCTTCTAAAATGGCGAGCTTCTATCTCTAACCATCAGTGTGCTTTTCTCAGGCTTCACTGTTCCTCCACCCTGAGGGGCGTTGCATATCAAAAGCATCGTGCCGCAATAGCGCGCCGACTCGCATTTCCCCTTTCGAATCGACTTACGACTTTCCACCCCCCCCTTCTTTGAAAAGAGCGTCTCCAACCAACTTTCCTTCCAACCCGTGACACCATTCTCGACCGTGGAGAAATTTTCGCGAGCGAACAAGCCGACGAGGGACACATGGGCTAATCCAACGCAACCTGGGACAACAGCGGCAAGGAGCTCAATTCGCTGAGTTCACATAAAGGTCTGCCTCGGAGAACATTGGCATCGACAAGCTCTGGTTTTCTGGAGACCTTGCCCTGAAGATATTCTTGTTCAGCAAGGGCATCTTTCGACAGTTCAGCCTCTTTTTCTCCCTTTTTTCTTCACTTTTTCGCCTGATCAGCCTCATCAGTACTTTGTCCCTTCGAGGGCTCATTCGAGATGGCGTCCAGTAGCATGGATAAACAGCTAGCCTCAATAGCCCCTGGCCCCGGACCATTGCGAGAGATTCGGCCATTGATGAAGAACAAGAAGAGTTCCAGCGCATGTTTGCCTTGTAAACAGGCTAAGAGAAAGGTAAGGTTCTTGAAGCAGGCCAACTTCCTTGACCTAGTCCCTTGATTCCCACAGATACCCTGCAAACCATGTCGCCACCCACTGCCCAGCATATTCGATTGCGGTCCCTGTAAGCTAACCGTAATTTCCATCAACCCCAGTGCACTGGACGACCGGCTCCATGCAAAGCATGCGAGGCTACCAACGGCAACTGTGTGTTCAATGAACACCTTGACCTGCGACGAAAAATCGCAGCCCAGAAGGCGCAAGGCGACCTAGAGCGCTACCAGAATACCTGCGCACGGCAAACGACGAGCGGATATATCGAATTCTCGAAACAATACGCGCGGGTGGTGATGTCGAGAGGAATATTACCCTCGTCATTCAGCCAGCTCTCGCCGAGGGTTCACCGGTTGATGACATGGCAGTCGAGGCAAGTGACACCAGCTCAGACGATTATAAAGTCCGCAAGGACTCGAGAATAACCGTGGAAAAATTGTGTGACAACCCATTATTTCAAGTGCTATGCAAACCCTGGACCGAAGTGACGAATGATGATCACCTCATCTCCGGTTTAGTATCATTATATTTCACGTGGGATCATCCCCTTATGCAGGTGGTTGATCAGGAAATGTTCTTGCACGATATGCGTGCTGGTGATCTTAGTTCAGAGTTTTGCAGCCCTGTCCTTGTGAGCAGTATTCTCGCGGTGGCCTGTGTAAGTTGCTTGACCTTTTTGATCTGCTCTCTGGTCTTTCTGACTTTCGACAAGACTTATTCTCCTTACCCCGAGGCATACGCTGCGCCTGGTGATACAGCTTCTCGAGGTCAGCATTTCTTCGACGAAGCAGAGGCCCGTTGGAAAGCTGAAGAAGGCCGGCCTTCTTTAGCAAATATTCAAGCTCTGGCCTTGATGAGCCACAAGTGAGTTGTTCTGCGAAGATCGTGAAATGTTATGCAGCAGTGTTAACCAAACCGCAGCTTGAAACTCCAAGGGAAGGATAATGCAAGCTGGCTTTATCTCAGACAAGCCGTTCAGCTCGGGCAGGACATCGGCCTATTCAATATACCGAAGTCAAGGCATAATGACTGGGACCAAATGTCTGAACGTATCAGACATGCCAGTGCACAGACTGCTTGGAGCATCTTTATCCTAAACTCGTATGTGAACCCAGACCCAAGAAGTGTAAACCATGTTGACTCTTTCCATAGACAGTTGTCCATGGAGTCTCGCAAGACCGCAAATCTCGGCGTTCCCAGGTTATCGCTCGACCGAATAGACCACCTCGAAAAGGATGCGCTTTGGATACCATACCACTCTCGCTCGAGTGACGTCGAGTTCCTCAAAAAGCCGGCTCTCCTCCGCGATGTAATGGTTGGACTGGTCGGCTTGACCGAAACTATCATGGACATCCAGAACCTTTTCTTTGACAAAGCGCTCGACCTTAGTATGAGCATCGACGAGTTGTGGAAGGAAGCGAGTTCGTTGCACCGGCGCCTTCAGCTATTTCTCGAGAGAATAACGGACATCGAGGCGCCACCGGTTCCGCAAGTACTCTTTCTGCAGTAAGTTGAAAAGGATATTAGTTCCCCTGACAAGGTCTGAGTTCCTGCTGCAGTATCAGATGCCACGAAGTCATCATCATGCTCTTCGAGACCCTTCTAGAACAGCAAAACCTCACATCCTCCCTAGAGCCGTCGACAATCGAGGAAGCCAAGTCAAATCGGTTCCGTGCTGCCATCCAGATCGCTCACTATCTCCAAATATATCGTGACCATTATGAGCTGCCACAAACACCAAGTTTGATGTTTTGGCCCGCGAAGAGCAGCGCCCTCGTGTTACTTCCATTCCTGGGTGACGAATCGGCCTGCAACGCGTTCAATGAGCTTTATGACTTCCTCGTGGCCTTCAGCGCGAGGTTTCCGGCCGCCAAGGCGACAAAATGCGAGATCGACGCCTTTTTCCGTGACTCGAACATTTCGTTACCTTTCGAGCTGGCCGGTGCAGTCGACCGTCGAGACTCAGAGTACTCGTAGTGGCTGGAAGGAGCGTGTTCCGACGGCACGCAAACAATCGCTTAAACGTGATGAAGTATGAACAGAAAGCAATAGAGGCTCCCTTGGACTCGATGACTGTATAGATTATAACTCCGGGGTCTTTGGGCGGTAAAGCGTGGTGGTAGCGAAAAATTGACCGTAACGGCTGAGGGAGGTGAGGGAGAAGTCGAATTGGCGGGAACGCTCAGAGACAGACATCCTAAAATTGGAAAACAGAAACAGCAGAATCATCAAACCAGTCAACCAAGTCGATCGCCGAGACGTCCGCCAGCAACTCCAAAGCCCAAAGGAGAGACCTCGCTTCGGTCAACAACATATGGCCTTCAGATGCAGAAGTTACGTGGTCTTGAGTACCCGTTAAGGCGATGGAAGACGTGCACGAGCCGTGAGACATCCCATCGCGGTAGGAAGGGAGCTAATCTAGGTACATAAGGAGGAGAAAGGACCTGGCAGTTGCATTCCATTAGAACAAGAAACGACTGCTGAGCAAGTTGGCAGACCTGATGTTAGGTGTGGATCATCATTGATGGCGACTTCGTTTTCGGTTGGTATAGATTGGTTCCAATTGGGTTCCGGATAAAGGATCCGCGGCGCGCAACAGGTCGGCCAGCCTGTAATTGCCACTCCACCCTTCTTCAAGAATCCTGGCGAGGTTCTTCATTAATATTCTATACGTTCTGCAATGGATAAATAACATCGACCGAATATGGCGTTTATCAAGAAATGACACCTAGTCCATCCTGGTTTTCTGCGCCCTTCGCAGGGCAGGCCAGCCTGCATTTTGTCTTGAGTAGTCCGTGATGGACAGAGACAGTCCAGACTACGGACGTGTTTAGCCGACCTCCAAAGCTCAAAGTAACTTCGTATCCCTGGCTTCAGTGAGAACTCTTTATGCTTTCGAGGCCCGAGGGGCGAATGTCTTCGCTTTACACCAATGGGATTTCTTGTGCTCGTATCTGTTGCGCGGTGGGCGGTCGATCTGTCGTGCACAGGTTTCCCTCCGTTCCTATGAGGTAACGGACTCCAGACGGGTCAGGTTGAGCCGGTTAACATCGGGACTTAACAAGACGTGCTGATTTCATCTTATTGGACGTATTGTGGGCTGGCGCGAGTATCACAACTTGGAGGGCTTGGATCACGGGGGACCTGGTCTCAATTTCCCGCGCAGTTCTTTCTACGTACTACTTCGGAGGATTAGAACGATCAATTGTGGTCAGCTGGAAGCGATTCTATAGCAGCCGATCACATAGTCGAGCAGCAGAGAAGATATTGCCTAATTTTCCAGCTTTGCCATCCTAGAAACCGTATTTAATACGCTCAGCTATCGGAATAATATGCACTGTTCTATCATTACTTCCGTCCTTCAGGTTTCCTCCAATTTGGATTGCAGTTTATTCGCAGTTCGTCTACTCCGGAGATCGTGTCGCCAAGATGACGATGGTTCCCATCAGGCGATCTGCATAACATTGCACAGCTGACTCAGCGCAGCCGTATGCACAGATAAGATAAGCACAAATCGTCCAAGCGAAAACCCTCAAAATTCGATGCCGCCGAAACAGTCGAAATCCCACACCGAAACGCCGAGTCACGCCCGTCGTCCTCCCCGCCCCTCCTCCCTCTCTCTTGCCGCCAATTTAGCAGGACAGATTCTGAACGAGTTTTTCTGCCCAGCATGTCCTACGAAGAGCGCGCCAATGCGCACCCCAACCTGAACGACGAGTCCGATGTTGAGGAGGAAGCGCTGGTCAACGACTACCGCGAGCAGGTCAACTTCGATGATGGCATGAGCGAGCTGGATCGGACTACATCACTGGGTGGTGCTTCCCAGACGCAGGACCTTCAGGCTCAGCTGGCTGCTGCTGCTACTCCTCTTGAGTACCAGGCCACGCTGGAGACCAAGTTCGCGAGCTATGACAACTACTGCAGTCTTTTCCACTACATTCTGAACTCGGATGGGCCGGTGGAGTTGGAGGTTCCTTCTGTACGTTGGCCCTTTTTTTTCTTGTTTCGTTTGAAATACATTTTGGGATCCTCCTGTGCCTGCTCATTGTCCTCACGACATTGTGTGTGGGCGGGGCTAGTGTTTTTTGTCTGTGTTCGTGACGTGCTAACATTATATCTTGATAGTACTACTGGGCTTGGGATGTCATCGACGAGTTCATCTACCAGTTCGAGTCGTTTTGCCGCTACCGTAACCGCGTCGCCCGCAGTGGCTCCAACGAGGAGGAGGCTCAGCTTCTCCGTGAGAACCCCAACACCTGGGGTTGCTACTCGGTCCTCAACGTCCTTTACTCCCTCATCCAGAAGTCGCAGATCAACGAGCAGCTTGCTGCGATGAAGCGTGGTGAGGACCCCGCAGCGTATGCTGGAGAGTATGGCTCCCGCCCTCTCTACAAGATGCTGGGATACTTCTCTATCATTGGGTTGCTCCGTGTCCACTGCTTGCTCGGTGACTTCAGCCTCGCCCTCAAGACCCTCGACGACATCGAGATGAACAAGAAGGCCATGTTCGCCCGTGTCATGGCTGCCCACTTTACTACTTACTACTACGTTGGTTTCTCCTACATGATGACCCGCCGCTACGGCGACGCCATCCGCATGTTCAGCCACATCCTGGTCTATGTCTCCCGGACCAAGAACTTCCAGAAGGGCGGCAACAGCTACGACGCCATCGCCAAGAAGAACGACCAGATGTACGCCCTGATTGCCATCTGTGTTGCCCTCCACCCCACCCGCCTCGACGACACCATCCACTCTGCTCTCCGCGAGAAGTACGGCGAGCAGCTCCACCGCCTGCAGCAGGGCGGTCCCGACGCTCTCCCTCTCTTCGAGGAACTCTTCCGCTCCGCCTGCCCCAAGTTCATCAGTCCCACGCCCCCCGACTTCGACAACCCAGCCCTCAACGTCGACCCCGTCGACCACCACACCGCCATCTTCATGGACGAGGTCAAGAACACCCTGTACAACCCCACCATCCGCTCGTACCTCAAGTTGTACACAACAATGGACCTCCAAAAGCTCGCTGGCTTCCTCGAGGTCGAGCCCGAGAAGCTCCGCTCCTGGCTGCTCATTAACAAGCAGCGCAGCCGCCAGGTCCGCTGGGTCGAGGGTGGTCTGTTGGATGGCGAAGTTGTCAGCGCCAACGACCTGGACTACGCTCTTGAGAAGGACCTCATCCACGTTAGTGAGACCAAGGCCGGCCGCCGCCTCGTGGACTGGTACCTCCGCAACCTTGCTCGCGTTTACTAAGCTACCCTACCCGCTTACAAAAAGTGTGTTAGGATGTTGGCAAAGAAACAAATGGCGAGCTATTCACCAATTTACGATTGAATGGAATACGTCTTATGTATGTAGACCGAACGGTCCTTTCGCATACCAAGCACCAAGGATAGGAGGCATTGAACCAGGGGGTGCTCACAAGAGGATTTCGATAGAGGTGTCCCCCACGAATTTCAAAGGGAGAGAAACAAAGCCCGTTTGCTCTTTCTTAGCATCATGACCTTTCCTTGCCCTTTTTTCGATATTTCAGTTTTATTACACATACATGGTTGTTTTGCTTGCTAGTCTCCAGTACCTTTGTCCGGTATGGAGCTAGTTAAGTTAGTTTGGATGGAGTGGCACAAAAAGGAATTTTTTTTTACGAGGGCTTTTTCAGTTATTTTGTCTTGCCTATTTATCATAAATGATTTGAGTTCAGAGATTCCATGGACTTGTTTTCTATTGTCCCTGTTCAATATGTGTCATGTCCCCGGGGTGTTGTGCACTCTGATCTGCGCAGCATATAAAACAGCTTTTCTGTATGTATGGAGACTATGGGGTAGATAAGAAGAGAATACAATCGAAATCAAGAGATATCAGTTGTTTTATAGAACAAATGAGTATGGTATGGTATAGTATGTACTACTAATATTCTATCTAGTAAACATGGTATAATGGTATACAAGAGTGAAGATTACACGACCAGCTCCTTCATCTTAAAGACTTCCCTAATCAACAACATCAAAGCTCGTCCCGCAGCCACAACTACTCGTTGCACGCGGATTGTCCACAATCTTGAACTGGCTCCCAATCAACTCCGTCGTGTAGTCAACTGTGCTTCCAGACAAAAGTTCAAGCGAGGGCTCATCCATCACGAGCTTGGCGTTACCGGCCGAGCCCCCGTTTTCTAACGGCTCGGCCTCAAATATCGTGTCTTCTTCTGCGTCGATCTTTGATGCGGGCTCGAGCGACATCAAGTACTGGAACCCGTGGCACCCACCGCTGGTAACGGTGATTCGGAGGTGGTGGTAGGGATTTTCTTCCTTTGTGGCAGAGGGCGAGGATGGATCGGTGATTTGGCGAAGGCGCTGATTCTGTTAGCATCTTTCAATAGAGTAGACGCCATCTGCATAATGAACAAAAAAAAGATAAAAAAAAAAGCAAAAACATACAACAGCTGGGATTCGCATGTGGTCACCCACCATACTACTAACCAGCCGGCGTGTGGCTTAAGTACGGCTGAGCGGACGGGAAGCCCTGTTTTCCACACCCTGTGGTCGTATGTACCAAGCTGCTTTGCAGAACTGCTTTTGTAGCGCCGTGGCTTCCCGGTTTCTTTACCCAAATGAAGGATATCATGTCATCCCGCAAGCATCCCGTACCCTTGCCACAGCCGTATGTGCCAACGCCAACAAACACTAAATGCAAAAAAAAAAAAAAAAAAAAAAAGCACATAAACACAACTGGGGCCTAGGAACGTACATTTGCAGCTCGCTCAGAGATGCCCACCATCAACGTCTCCCCATCCTCGCCGGCCCTCGGGTTCTGCGTAACTTGAGGGGCAGAAGTCGGAGCGGAGGTGGAAAACGCTGAGCGCGGTTGAGAGGCGTTAAGCCATGGCGTCGAATGTCTCTTTCTATATCCACCGCATCGAATCTTCGAACTCCGTTGTCTCGGCGTAGAAGGGACGGTCGGCGTCCGGTATGAAGAATGGCAAAACGATGCGGAGAAGCTCGGTGTCGGGTTCGGCACGGGGGAAGAGAGCGGAGAGAATGTGGCCCGGGTAGGGCGAGGGCGAGATACCTGGCGGACGGCGGATGATAAAACTGGGCGTGACATTGTGGAGGATGTGTCTGAGTAGGTGTTTGGAAGGCTTCCAGAGAACGTTGGCCGACAACTACCTTGGAGGCTTTATAATCGTACAATTCACATCGAAAGAAGCACCAATCCGCTTGCCGTGATTGGCCGGCCAGTGTCGGGGAACTGCGGCAGAATAAATTTCCCGAGGATGAAGTCATATTACTAATACATGCATAAACATCTTGTGCAGTGCATCTATTTCCACAGAATGAGATTGTCGTTAACTTTCGGTGAAAAGCAAAAAAGGTCTTAGTTGACATGTCCATCAAACTGGATGCGTTTGACCTGTCCAAAGCAGAGTCCCCATATGGAAAACGTAGATAGAAGCCAGCGTGGTTATTTAGGCGGAGAGTGCTGCAGTAAATACATCGCCGGAAATTCCATTTCACAACTTGCTTCTCAAGCTCTCAATGTTTGTCGTCAAGTGGTGTTATTACCATCCATTCTAGAAATACAGTCGAAATATTAACCATCAAGTACGGTCCAACTGGCAATATGGGTTCCAGACTCCACGCCCAGCAGATCAAGAATGCGCCGCCCCTCCCATATCAGGACGATAGCCGGGCCTTCACAAGGGAATACGCAGCATCTTTAGACACGCACGACCCCCTGAGCAAGTTCCGAGAGGAGTTCATTATTCCTTCAGCTAAAGACCTCAAAAGAAAGACGTTAGATCCTTCGCAAGGCAAGTGCCGTTTTACCTGATACAAGTACCCCGCTGATCTTCCTAGCGTCCGATGACTCCTCGGATGCTCGCTGTATCTATCTGTGTGGGAACTCCTTGGGTGTTCAGCCCCGCAATACTCGAAAGTATATAGAGTACTACTTGCGGACCTGGGCCATCAAAGGCGTAACAGGGCATTTCACCCATCATGACGATGAGCTGGTCCCGCCATTTGTCGATGTCGACTCGGCAGGCGCAAAGCTCATGGCACCCATTGTCGGAGCGCTGGAGAGTGAAGTGGCTGTCATGGGCAGTCTGACTACAAACTTACACTTGTTGATGGCTAGTTTTTATCAGCCAACACAGGAACGATACAAAATCCTTATTGAAGGGAAAGCTTTTCCAAGTGACCACGTGGGTCCCCTAGAGCTAGGACATTGAATGTGAACTGATTATAAGCTTCTTAGTATGCTGTTGAATCGCAGATTCGGCACCATAATCTCCAGCCAAAGGATGCCATGGTTCTTATTGAACCTCAAAGCGCCGAGCGTCCTATTCTCGAAACCGAGCAAATTCTTCGGGTTATCGATGAGCATGCCTCAAGCACTGCTCTTCTACTTCTTTCTGCTATCCAGTACTATACTGGACAGTACTTTGATATCGAGAAGATTACTGCTCACGCGCATTCCAAAGGTATCGTGGTTGGCTGGGACTGTGCTCATGCAGCGGGAAATGTGGACTTGCGACTACATGACTGGAACGTGGACTTTGCTGCGTGGTGCAATTACAAGTATCTCAACAGTGGCCCTGGTGGAATGGCGGGGATTTTCGTACATGAGAAACATGGCGAGGTCAAGACAAACAAGGCTGATGGGGAATTGGAGGCATTCCGGCCCCGGCTTTCTGGGTGGTGGGGAGGAGACAAAGCTTCTCGGTTTTTGATGGATAATCGTACGTACCACTCTCCAATACCTGGTGCGATCTACTGACAGTGACCTAGGTTTTGTCCCCCAGAGTGGCGCCGCAGGTTATCAATTGTCTAACCCTTCGGTCCTTGATATGAATGCGGTTGTGGCATCCTTAGAATTATTCAACCGTACATCTATGTCTGCGATTCGCCAACGTTCTCTCCAGCTTACGGGATATCTGGAACACCTTCTCCTGAAATACCCAGTCGATGGGCTTTCCGACAGGCCTTTCACTATCATCACACCCTCGAACCCCTCAGAACGTGGCGCCCAGCTGAGTTTGCGTCTGGCACCGGGCCTCCTAGATGGAGTGTTGGTGACACTGGAGGAACATGCGGTAGTGATCGATGAAAGGAAACCGGATGTCATTAGGGTTGCACCCGCGCCCTTGTACAACACGTACGAGGAAGTGTGGCAGTTTTGCCACATATTCTTAGAAGCTTGCCGTACGGAGGTGCAAGCTAAGGCTTAGGCCTGATTCACCCATGGCAGCCATATTATACATTCTATTCTTACGAACGCAAACGGTATTGTAAAAGCGACTTGCAGAGCCAACATTCTTGCCCAGGTGTAATATAAAATTATGCATTCCGAAAACTCTCCATTCCTACAATTATATCCCCAGGTTCAGCCGAAGGCAAAGTGAACAGTTTCCAACGGTTGTCGTTCTGACTCCCAGGCCAGCCAATCCGATCTCGTAGTCCTATAAACACGCATGTTAGCAGACAATCCGCCCAAAACAGACGCAACAAGCACATACGGTAAAAGTCCCATAGCATTAACCTTCCACACCCCCAAAGCCAGCAGGACAAACTGCATGAGCACGTATACAGCCTTGACGAACAGCATCTTGCCCCGCAATGTCTCCGAATCAAACTTTGCGAACACGCTGTTGGTGTTGATCAGGCCCTGGATGGGGCCCTTGAACAGCATAAACACCATCATGATGCTGAAGATTTGCAGGCTGTTTCCGGACATGTACATCATGATCGCATTCATAGGGACTTGTTTTGATGGGGCAAGGGCGACTTCCCAGGCCTTTTTGAGCTTCAGGGTGTCGGTTTCGACGGGCTTGGATGGGGCGGCGGGGGCGGACTTCTCGGAGCGCTAAATGCAGTACAGGGTTAGAATAATGTTCTCCGCGTGAAATACTCAGCTCTTTGGATGGATGATAGGGGATACGTACGCCTTTGCCGCCGGTCTTGCGGGAGAAGCCCGGGGGGTCGGGGATGCTGTTTGCTGCGCGCGACTGGGCAGGTGGCGGAGAGTTGAGGTCGACAACCCAGCTCGGGGGCGGCAGAGGAGGGAGAGCTTGCGAGGAAGCCATCGTGAGCAGGGTTGGCTGTTGATGATGCCTAGGTAGCTGTGGGGAGCTCGAGTGCAGCTGGCAGGTTGGTGGTTGCACACTCGACGGTCGCCTGGAAAATCAGGACGCAACCGAATTCTCCACAATTTCCTGGAACTGAATGGCGGAGTGGGCGCTTGGTCCACTCACGCTCCTGATTCTCAGTCTCGTCGCTGGATCTCCTTTCTCTCCAGATGATTGTTCTCTGCGCAATTGATGCCCTGCTTGATGTCGAGACGTTCGTTCTGACCAGGTCTGACTGTCCCCCGTGTCTGCGCTCGCTTGTGCCACGCTGACCGTTCCGGCTGCTTCCAGTCTGAATCCGTCACCGTTGCCGTCACCGTCACCACCACTAAAGGAATGGACCTCTCGAAGCAACGTGCTAGCTAAGGAGTCGCCCTCGAAGCCAGCCGGGCTATATTGAACGCCTTTGTTGCCCGCCACGAGTTTTATGTGATTTGACGATCCACGGAGCTACACAAAGTACAAGTCGCAAGTCCCGCATTCTCCAGGATCAAAAAGACCTGTCCTATTCGCTGCCGTCGAGCTATAAGCCACCATGAGTTCTGCCGGGGGAGATGCAAAGCTGTTCGCTAGGGTACGTCGAATTTTGCTGCTATATTTTCTTGTCGCACTGGCCTCCATCCAACGGGATTCGCGCATGATATCTCTGCCCCCTCAATTATCAGTCGCCGCATGACTTACCTCGCCGTTTTTCTTCGTCTTCATTCCCCTCTTTGCTTTATGTTCTGTTTCTAATGCGGAGCTGGAGCTGTGCCATCTGCTTCCCGATGACCCATCCTATTGCCATCTCTACACTGCATCATGTTCATCGCACCTTACATACAAAGTACTAGTAGCTTACCACCATGGGTTCGCACTCCACAGGGCAAAGTCGCCGAGCTGCGACAAGAACTCAACAGCGGCGGCAAGAAAGACAAGAACCACTCGGCCAAGAAGATCGCTCTGAAGAAGATTGTCGCCAACATGACTATGAGTAATAACGATATGATCGCTCTGTTCCCGGACATTGTCGACTGTATGAACCTGCAGAGTTTAGAAATAAAGAAGATGTACGTTCTGAGTATCAGTTGGGGGAGAAAAGTGTTACTAACGGTTTTCTTAGGTGTTTTCTATTCCTTGTCAACTATTCACGCATGAAGCCTGAAATCGCATTAAAGGCCCTGCCTATTTTGGTTAATGTACGAGACTCGGCCTGCCTCCCTGGTCAAGGCTAACGATAATATAGGATATGGACGCATCGAATCCACTTGTTCGCGCCTTAGCACTTCGGACAATTGCATATATTCACGTTCGAGAGTTTGTCGAGGCTACTGTCCAGCCGCTAAAGCGCCTGATGGGGGATATGGACCCCTACGTTCGCAAGACTGCCGCCTTCTGTGTTGCGAAGCTTTACGAGCATGATAAGAAGATGGTCGAAGCTTCTGACTTAATTGATCGATTGAACTCGATGCTGAAGGACGAGAATCCAACTGTCGTATCAAGCGTTCTGGCTTCTTTGGTGGATATCTGGGGCCGGAGTGAAACCATATCTCTGACGATCGATTACTCGAGCGCGTCGAAGCTGGTATCTATTTTACCGGACTGTTCAGAGTACGTTATGCGCGCTGCGTTTCCCGTCGTGTAATACTAAGACCAAGCAGATGGGGCCAATCCTATATTTTGGAGGCCCTCATGTCCTATGTTCCCCAAGACTCTGCCGAAGCACTTCTATTAGCGGAACGTATTGCTCCTCGACTCTCACATTCAAACTCCGCTGTCGTTCTCACCTCCATCCGCGTTATGCTCTACCTAATGAATTACATCGCCGACGAGCGGCATCTCACATCACTCTCAAAGAAGCTGTCACCGCCTCTTGTGACGCTCCTGTCGAAACCGCCAGAGGTGCAATATCTAGTGCTCCGTAATGCCATACTTATCCTACAGAAGAGGCCAGAAGTTTTGCGAAACGATATCCGCGTCTTCTTTTGTAATTATAACGATCCGATCTATGTCAAGGTGACAAAGCTCGAGTTGATATTCATGTTGACCACCAAGGAAAACATATCGGTTGTGCTGGCAGAACTGAGAGAGTGAGTTGCCGCATTCCAGGGAGAGCTGGATATTCTTGCTGATGCTTTTAGATATGCAACCGAGATCGATGTTCACTTTGTGCGCAAGGCTGTCCGTGCAATCGGGAAACTGGCCATCAAGATCGAGTCCGCTGCGAAACAGTGTATCGACTGCCTCTTGGAACTGGTAAACGCAAAAGTCCCTTATATTGTGCAAGAGGCGACAGTTGTCATCCGCAACATCTTCCGCAAATACCCTAACCAGTACGAGAGCATCATCGGCCAAGTCATCCAGAACATCGACGAGCTGGATGAGCCAGAAGCCAAGGCAGCCATCATTTGGATCATTGGCCAATATGCAGACCGCATCGAGAACGCGCCTGATCTCCTCCAGGACTACCTCGCCACTTTCCATGATGAGACGATTGAAGTGCAACTGGCTCTCCTAACGGCAACCGTCAAGCTTTTCATCCAACGGCCAACAAAGGGACAACAGCTCGTTCCTGAAGTACTGAAATGGTGCACCGAGGAAACAGACGACCCTGACCTCCGCGACAGAGGATACATGTACTGGCGCCTTCTCTCCTCCGACCCAACCACAGCACGCCAAGTCGTCATGGGCCAGAAACCGCCCATCTCCGCAGAAAGCGAGAAACTCGACGCGCGCACCCTCGAAGAGCTCTGCCTAAACGTCGGCACCCTCGCAACCGTCTACCTCAAGCCCGTCCAGCAGGTCTTCCGGGCCGCGCGTACCAGACGCCTACAATACAGCCCCGCTCTTCAGAAATCAGAGGAAGACTACGGCGTTAACAACTGGCAAGTCCCAACGCCTATTCCAGGCCCTAACCCTGTAACCTCGCCAGCCGCAGCGGCAGCTGGATCAGCCATGACCCCAACGGGTAACTCAACCGCGGCTGTCGATGCAGCAGACAGCTATTTTAACAGCGTCGCCGTGGGCACGCAGCAGATGGCCGCGCTGGATCTGGGCGGCCGCGAGGAAGGCGGGTTTGGTGGCGGAGGCGCCATGCAGACGCAGTATGTCGTCAACCAGAGCCAGCAGCAGGCTTATCAGCCTCACTTGGCTGGGGGAGCGGCGACGGGGGAGCTTTTATTGCTGTGAATGGGCAAATCTTTCAGTTCTTGTATGTTTGTATTTGTATTCCTGCACATTGTTGTAGCGATGTTGGCTTTAGACTAGGGGCTATTAGTTACCTCTTGAGTAGCATTGATGGATCATCATGGCATTCTTATTTTAAGTAAATAGCGATGTGGACGACCGAATATTATGTAGGAGCAGATGTAAATGAGCCAATAGCAATAGGTATCAGTCTAATTAAGGAAGATAATACATGGAAATATAATAACAGTCATGGGCAATCACTCATCATCACCAACCTTGGCCAGCCCACCACGGCTCCGGCGAATGCGCTCATCCAAACTATCCTCCTGGAGCTGCCGATGAAGACCAGACATGAACTGACCCCGGTCTGTCCGCTGCTTGTCATCTTCCTCCCTCTGTTTCTCTTCAATCTCCGTGACTTCGGCGATGCGTTGCTGGCGGGTCTGCTCCATGTCCTGCGCGTTGGACTGCATCTCGGCGAGTCTTCGCTTGCGCTGCTCCTCTAGGTCCTGGGCGTGCTGGTCTGCGTCTGGACGGGGTCCATTTCTATGATTATTCGGCGCCCGGTCTCGATTCCGGCCGAATGAGTCTGAGTCCCGGGGACGGTTATCTCTTCGATCGCCGTTCCGGCCGTATCTGTCTCTGCGAGAGTCCTGGTCCTGGTCACGGTCACGGTCACGGTCACGGTCTCTTCTGTCGTCTCGGCGGCGATCTGATCGAGGAGAGGCAGACCTGCGCGCAGATCGATCATACCGCTCGTCACGGTCCCGCCGGCTGCTCGAATGGTAGACCTTCTCCCCTCTGTCCTCTCTATCACCGTCGCGATCCCGATGGCTCCTCCGGTCGTCTCTGCGGCGGCGATCATCCCGGTCTTCCCGCGGAGACCTCGACCTCGACCTCGAGCGGCGTCGATGCCGGTGACTGTGACTGTGACCATGCCGATGAGAGTGTGAATCTTCCCCACTATCTCGCCTGCGACGATGGCTGCGCTCGCGATCCCGATCTCTATGCCGCTCTCTCCCCTCCTCCCTCTCCCGCTTCCTCACAGACTCCTTAACCATAGTCTCATACGCCGCCTGCTCTCGCTTCTTAATCTCCAGCAACGGATCCGACATGACCTTGACCATCGTATCGCGCGTATTATGCACAACAGGCGGAAGCGCCCCAGCTCCAGCCCCAGCTCCAACCCCCGCCCCCTTCTCCAACTTCTTACTCTCATCATTCTTCAGCAAAATCCCATCAATGCGGCGCTTCCCCAGCAAATACCCCTCCATTTCCTCCGCGACGTGGCCCGACGCGCCCGACGGCTCCTGGTACATCCAGTCGACGCGGCTGTGCTGGCGCGACCCGCCCGCGCTCTCCTGCAGGCGCTGCAGTTCTTGGATCTGGCGCTCCTCATCGCGCTCGCGGCGCAGCTGGTCGACTTTCTTGCGTTCGTCCAGGGCGCGTTTTTCTTCGGACCAGACGCGCTCTTGGTTTCGGAGGAGGGAGGGGTGCCATGATCTGTGAGATACAGTGGTTAGTTTCTGGCTGTTTTATTGATGGTTTTGGGGGGGGATGAGACTTACTTCTTCAAGTTCAGATCGCCACCCATTTTGAATTATGTGATGGAGGGACTGGCTGGAGGTGTTTGGTGGAAGCTTGAGGTTGTCGCGGGCTGGCTGTCTGATGGGTTCCAGATTGGGAAATTTGAGGTCACGGGTTGCCACTTTGTGCCTGAGGAATAAGGCATTAAGGCATTCACATGGATTTCAACAGTTTGAGATGAAGCCTCATCTGGACCTCTCTTCTTCTCCAGACCCTCAATGCAGTGAAATGTTTAATATTACTGATTTGGGCTTAACCACTGCAGCCCAACATCTGAACCTTTCACTGCACAAAACAAGCACAAACAAAAACCACCTCTGCCCAGACTCACTAACATCAAGTCCGTGCACTGTCGTCCAACCCCAGAACAAACCTGACAACTCGACTGGCCCGCTAAAAGATGAATACGAGAGCTAATCAAACACGGCAGAGATAGACGCAGCTCTACTGGTCCGCTTATTTATAGTCCAGGCAAGCGTTGATAAACTCATCTAAGCTTGAGCCCCCATTGGTGCATTTTGGTCTTTTATGCAGGACCTCGTATTGACTTCAGCCTCTTTACTCTTGCTGTGCATTGGGCTAGTAATTTTTGAGCTGGCTGTGAGCATGTGCTTCTCCACGGAGTAGCTTTTTTAAAAGATGTAACTCTCCCGGAAGTAAAGGAAAAAAAAAAGGGAAAATAAAATTAAGTAAAGCTTCGCGCTCTCCACAACAAAGCTAAGCTAGTATGTATACCTCCAAAATGCCACGCATAACCCTCCTTCTGTTCTTCAGCACATTAGCCTCCGCACAATCCCACAAACTCCTCCCAGGATATCCAATCGCATATACCAGCGAATTAACCCCGCGCCGGCTCTTCGACAATTCCAGCGCGTGCACGGCCAGCGATACCTGCGGCGAGTGTTTCGGGCTGGGCTACGTCCTCTGCGACGACGCCGGGTGCTTTAACCCAGATGATGGCGAGCAGTGCTGCAAGGGCGGGGGGATGTGTGTTGGTCGTGATGACTCGTGTTGTGAAGATGTATGTCTTGTCTACTTACCCTATCCATTGTATACTGTACTGTACTAGTATTAACAAGACACGGCTATAGGGACCCGGGAAAGAAGGTAAAGACGGGGTCGTTTCTCAAACAACCTCTGATGAAGATGATGATGAAGACGAAGACAATTCAGACGCTGTCTTCTGCGACGCAACCATGACAGGCGAGGAGTGCTGCTCACAAGGCGGCAAGGATATCCACTGGTGCTCTGGGGAATTCCCAGCAAACCAGTGCTACGATGCGTCGGAGATGACGTGCTGCGAGGATGGGCATGTTTGTGCGGGAGACGATTGCTGTGATATTGTGGTATGTCTACCTTTCTAGACTTCATTCTGGTATCAAGGTTAATTGAATGTAGGATTCGAAGCCGACGACGCCGTGGGTTTCTGGGGCGGAGACGACTTCGACTTCGAGTCCGAGTTCGGCGGAGACTTCTGCTGATGAGAATGAGAGTGAGCCTACGGGTTCGACTGCGCCGAGTCCGAGTCCGACTGATGCAGCGGACAAGCTGGCTGTAGGGACAGTGGTGCTTATTGGGGCGGCTGCGGTGGGGATGCTGGTGCTGTAGACACAGCTCTTATCGTCTACGCCCCAGAAGGTACCAAGATAAGCTGAAATCTACGGATAAAAATACAAGATAAAGAATATAGTTTGAGAAGAATATCGTAGTTCCTCTGATTGTAAAATTGAGCGGTAGAAGTAGAGCAGGTGTGGTATCAAAAATCGTTATAAAAAGGCATTCGCTCAGTCGGTGTGGTCGTTACTTGTCTTCTCTTGTTCTTCTCCCTTTTTTTTTTTTTTTTTTTTTGTTTATTCCTCCAGCTGCACTTGGTCGGCCATGAGGAGGATGGGGCCCTGGATGGCCTCGTAGGAGACCTTCATGCCCTCCTTGAGCGAGGAGGCGTCGGCTATTGACTGGTGGCGCAGGATGAGCTCGCCGCCAAAGTCCGAGGTGATGAAGCCGAAGCCCTGCTCGTCGTTGTACCACTTGACTGTTCCGTACTGGCGGTTGGACATGGTGTGTGCTGGAGACGTTAGTATGTAAAGAGTATAGAGTATGGAGAGAACATACATTGGGAGAAAGGAGTCTTGGTGAGGACGGGAAGAGTGGCAGTAGACATGATGACTTTGATAGAATAGTCCGTTTGTTTGACTTTGTTTGATTGACTGTGACCTTTTCAGTAACGAGACACGAGGTATTTATAGAGTATACGGAGGACTCTGTTCCATGCAGCGGTGATATCATCCGGTTCTTTCCTTATCCCGCAGCAGGCCCCGACTTCTCCCGACTTGCCTGCTTCGGGAAGGCGAATCCTCAGTCTAGACCGAGTTGGCTCTGGTTCGCTCCAGTGTTCTGCACTTTTGACTGGTGCCAGAACCCCGCGGGTTTCATACCTGCAGCAGTGGGGTGGATTGTGCGCTGGCTGGCCTGATATTGGCTGGCTGTTCCGACGTTGGACGCTGTGACGTATGTCGAATTGCTTTCCCGAGGGAAGTCCGTCCAATTCCCTCACTTCCCTCAGCATTGAAGGATCAATAAGATGGCAATAAGATAGGCATTATCGCCAACGTCTGTGACGGACGGGTTGATAGCTGATAGAGAATGCTATCGTGGTAGATATCGGAAAGTGTCTATCTCTACAGCAGTATCTTATCTTCACATTCATCTCGGACCAGCGGAGTCAGTCGAAAACGAAATGACGCGACCGATGCAGTCTCATATGATTCCAGTCTGCATCCTTGGCTCAATGCGGAAAATTCACGCGCCGCCACTGTAGAAGCCCATTCCAAATCACCGAGTTACCCCCGGAACTCGAGTATTCGACGCTGAAAGAGATTTCAATGTCTTTGTCGCTGTCTTTGCCGTCTTTGTGTGACAATGACCAATAGTGGCTACTTCCCTCGACTTGACCGCTTGATGCCTACTGGTATCTTGGGTATTGCATGATGTTAGACAGACGAAATGTTGATCTCCATTCCCCGCATTCTCGCGTGGATTGGAAAATGACGCAGTGGTGTTGTTGGAGCTTGCACATGCATACAGAGGAAGTCAAAACCAATGTCACTAGGAAACTTTATTTTACCTAATATATGGTTTGGTAAACGTAATTATATGGTTTCCCGAGGCCGTATATTATTTATATTAGACATATAACTGATATAAGTTGAGTTAATGATGCCATGTTACGTGCTATCTTAACCAAGGATTGATTCTCCCGGAAGATCACGTTGATCATCAAAATAGCACCCCCGCTCGCCGTCTCCACCAGGCAAATAACTTATGATATGATAGTAAGCAGTGACCTTAATACCTTCTAAATGGCAGAAGCAGCCGGTTATTACTGATGGACCATTAAAAATATTGGTTAAATGTGTGATTATTCGGCAGCGTGATAGCACCTCTAAATAAAGGTGGTAGACCACGGAGGCTTATACTGCTCATGGTTCAAGTACTTTGCGATCACTTACTCGAGAAACCCCAGTTATACCTAGATGAGATGATAATATTCCTATATAATGAGTTTCACGAGCTGTTCACGAAATCCAGCATTTATCACGGGCTTAAACGTGAAGGTTGGTCAAAGAAGACTACTAAATAAAAAGCTAAAGAGTGCAATGCAGACCTACGTGATACTTACTTTTGTTTTACATCTGACTTTTCTTCTTATCAGCTTGTTTATGTGGATGAATCTGGGTATAATAAATAGATAGGCTTTCGGAAGACGGGTTAGTCTCCTCGTGGGACCACGCTATCTTAAGTTACTAAATTCTATCATGACTAACAGTACCAGATTCTCCTAGTATATATACAGGACGAGATTGCTTTATCCTGTGTCTATCAAGGCTCGACGGACGCGTCTTAAGGACTTTATAGATGAACTACTCCGCTATACCAACCCATTTCCAGGCGAAAAAGCTGTTATTGCCATGGACAATGCTTCCTTTCACCGTTCCCAGCATATTGAACAAATGTGTTTAGAGGCAGGTGTCAAGCTCGTGTACCTGCCTCCATACTCGCCGGATTTGAATCCAACTGAGGAATTTTTTGCTGAGTTGAAGGCCTTTATCCAGCGACATTGGAAATCCTTTGAAGAAAATCCTGACCAAGGCTTCAGCACGTTTCTGGAATGAAGTGTTGATACTGTCGGTAGAAGGGAACAGAACGCGGAAGGGCACTTTTGAAATTCTAGCCTATCAATCGAGACATCCAGTGAGCCTTGGGCTGAACCTCACCCTTGACGGTTGACATCCCAAGAGTTGGCGACTAACTAATATGTATTTTTCTGATCAGGGCATATCTGCATTGGACTTAACTTAGTGCTAGCCTACGCTTATAGGATGGAATTGAAGAATTTCAGCGACTCGCTGTGAAGAGCTATATGAACATCGCGAAGGTACTTACTTGATGGCCTACAAGTCTAAAGCATACTGAACTTGATCAATAAAGGACTAGCAGCACTAGTTGAACCGATCGTCGACATCCAGTCCACAGCGAGAGCAGCAGAACCTGTGAATCGGCCATGGAAGACTCTGGAAGCAACAGAAGAAAGCGGAATCCGATGTTGCCTGCTCTGATCATCGACAATATTATTACTAGTAGGGCTTCTGGATCCGAATACGAGAGCGAATGCGAAACCGAGTCCGAGTCCGAAACCGAAACCGAACTAGGGCACAGCCGAAAATGATGCAAAGATCAAGGCAAAAGAAAAAGAAAAAGGGATGTACAGTCGGGATTATAAAAAGCCAGCTGTCTTCGGATTGCACATTCTACTCGCCCACATCAAATACAATGCCTGATTTCGACACAACAAATTGCACCGCGGTCACCCCCGAGTGTCCTGTCTCCGCAACAACATATGGGTACATCCCGAATCTATCGGCAAATGCCGCCCTTGCTGCAATATTTGGCATCTGCGGAGTCTACCACATTGTCGTCGGCCTGAAAGCCCGCAGCTGGACGTTCGGGATCGCCCTTGCAGTCGGATCACTGATGGAGATGATTGGATATGCGTTCCGAATTGGAATGCATAATAATGTCTGGAACAGTGATGCCTTCCAAAAACAGATTGTGTGCTTGATTCTTGCGCCGTCCTTTGTTGCAGCAGGGATCTACTGGTCGCTAAAGCATATTGTGCTGTATGTTGGCCCTGAATCTTCAAGGCTCCGGCCCAACCTCTACCCCTGGGTATTCATCGGGTGCGATATTGGGTCGATTATTCTTCAGGCCGCGGGCGGTGGTGTTGCAGGCGCGGCAGGGGATGGGAAGCCGGACTTGCTGAATACGGGAAACAGTATCATGATTGCAGGAATCGCATTTCAAATTGGGACAATGGCAATCTGCGGTGTTCTGGCCGTTGATTTCGTGTATAGAGCTCGGCGGAACAAGGCGAGTGGGGAGAAATGGGGTGCCGGAGGGGGTGGAAGAGGAGGCTTCTATCTCTTTTGTGCAGCGGAGGTCTGGGCCTATGTGACTGTTCTGATTCGGTGCATCTACAGGTGTGTATTTAGAATTCCTCTATGCTGCTCTGATCTTCTTGCCGACAAATCACTGACTGTTCTGGTTAGACTGCCAGAAATGGCGGGTGGCTGGGGCAATCCGCTCATGCAAAACGAGCTGGAATTCCTTCTGCTAGATGGGATGTGAGTTGCCTTTTGGTCTTCCTTCTCGAGCTGCTGAAGCTGACTTTTGTAGGATGGTTGCGCTGGCCGTCGTAGGGCTCACGGTGTTTCACCCTTTCTGGTCATGTCGGTTCATTATAAAGAACGCTGCTTGATTGAGAAAGAGTACTATTATCGTTATAAACGAAATTTACATTTTTCTCCATCGCAGATATCTTGTTTTATACGCGGGTGTTTTATATTGCATACTGACTTCGGTCCTGGAATTTCTTTTTTCTGCTTATATATAGATCTGCCAAGGTTTACAGGTCTGATTAGCTCTTTTTTTATTTATATAGTCTTCTCTTCTCGAGCTTTACTACCCCTGCCTCTCAGAACATAGCGGAGGGCAGGCCACTTGTGTATCATACTAAGATTATTCCCGATTTGGAGACTTACTAGTTTATTGCTTTATATGATTGGCTCGGGGCCGGAAGAAGGTGCTCCGTTAGTGCTTGGCAGCCGGACATACTCCGTTCCTTCCCTCGCTATGCTATTAAACAACTTGCAACCCCCAACGAGCAGTCCAGTAACTCCCTATGCCGCCTCTGCGAACACACAAAAAATCCCGCTTGGGTTGTCTGGAGTGTAAGAAACGTCGAGTCAAGGTATGTGCCTCTTGCCGAATCTCTCCCTGATCCTGGTATCTATTTCAGCACACTGATCTCCCGGGAAAGTGTGCAAGATCAGGATCCTTGTCGGTCTAACGATACTTGCAGTGTGACGAAAATGGCCCGCCCTGTGGCAGCTGCGCCTTTCGCAAGGTCGAGTGCATCTACCACAACACTAGTACTACCCCCCCAACAGGCGCGACCTCTTCCCGACCAAGTCACGATTCGCCACAACCACAGCCACAGGCTGCGACAAGTCCAAAATCACCTGTCTCTCATAGCCTGCCGGTCTTAGATCCCTCCAATGCGCTTTTATTAGAGCTGATGCACAAATTCTCGTCTGATACTTACAAAAGCATCGGCATGACGCCATCAGACAGCCTTGCTTGGCAGATTCGTATACCTCAGCTCGCTCTTGACTTTGCTTTCCTCTTGGATGGCCTTTTATCCGTCGCGGCTCTGCACACAGCCATTTCAAAAGACCCTCACAAAGCTGATGCGTATGTCAACATCGCAGTAGAATTTCAAACAAGATCACTAGAGGAGTTCCAGCACGCCATCCGCAATGTGTCTTCTGAAAACTGCGCCGCTGTTTTCGCATATTCGATCTTCACCATCGTCCATGGGATTGTTGTTCCCGAGCTTACGCATACGAATCATGCAGTGCATGAATCTGATGGCTCAAGTCGGCTCGAATCCATCTTTGTACTTTTCGAACTTGTCCAGGGAACGACGGAGATTACCAAACTGTTCGGTCCGGCCCTACGGCGAACATTTCCGGCAGGGGATGACTACTGGGCAGGATCTAGCAACGAACTTGACGAAGAAGGCACCGTAGTCTTCCGCCGTTTACACGATCTAAATCGCCTAGAGAACAGCGGCCACTCGGAGAAATTCCAAATTATAGAAACTGCAATGTCCCAACTCAAGCTGTGCTGGCAGCGGTACCGCGGGCATCAAGATTCAGGGTCTGTCTTGACCTGGCTTGCTATTGTCGAGAGGGATTTTGTAAAATACTTACGACAAAAGGAGGCACTTGCACTCCTCATTCTCGTGCAATGGGGATTCCTGCTCGGGCAGCTAGACGGCAAAGTGTGGTGGGCGTCAAACTCCGGGCTGGCTCTGGTTAATGACGGCTTGGGTATCCTGGACACAGGAAACCACATTCGGGCTCCTGATCTAGCGGCTGCCTGGCTAATTTACAAGAATGTTTTGTCGTCGTTTAATTATACTGCTCGTCCCAAGTAGAAAGGACATTGCTGAAGAGAGCCTACTTCACACCCTGACCACATATTAAAGCCGTCGGGGTTTTATAGCTGCGATCGGATGCTGAAACCCGATGCCATTCCAAAACATGGAAGGCTAGATTTCTGTAGGGTATCCAGCTTTCGCGTCGATTTGTCAGGACTGCCGCTGAAGACTGAAAGCATGAGTATCACTGTTGAGTTGATTCAATCTCCAATACGTATCAATGCTCAGCGAGCAAGCTGGCTTGCGAATAATGAGAACCTGAGTTGAGCCTTGTTAGCCCACAAAGACAGATATGAAGATGAGCCATTGTCCAGGCAAAGCGGTCATTCTTTATCCAATATGGACATAAAACTGCCTCTCTCCTCCGGCTGGAGTTCCTATATCACCCATTTCACTACACTACTAAACGAAGCTACAGCAGTATGAGTGCGTCACCCATCGCCCGCTCCTTGTTCGTCGACAAGATGGACTACTCCATTCTCTTGCTACAGGTGACCAAGAAGCTATCCCAGGCCCAAATGGAGGCCGAGGACTGTGTTCTGAGTTCTTATGAAGCAGAGTTTGTATTGAACCACCTTCCCTGCGAGACCAACGAGGTATCGCAAGTGTTGAATGGAGAAAACAGCGAAGAGCAAGGATCTGCTGATGAGCAGGCACATGGTGAGTCGGGGGAGTCAGGGGTGTGTTTCTAGCATTGATCTAGTAATGCCTAATATCAAGGTGGCGTGTTTTGCATGTAGCTCTATTGACTCTTGGTGCATTTAATTATTACCTAGTTGCATTGTCCACCTCCTTGTTCCTTTATATTCGCTTATTTAATCTCATCTTATGTCTTTCGTTTCATGTCTTATTTCCATTGCCTTATCAATCGAGCCTATTCATTACTTGTCTACTAAAAAAGAGACAAAGCTTAATCTACAACGAGAAGAGAAAACCATCTTCAGCTCATATTCAACAGAGGATAGCGAGAAACTCTAGACAATTGGCTGATTAGAAAGAAATTGACTATCATTAAAGAAATGCATAGAATATAGTGAATAAAGACCAGAGATTCCAACAAGGACAGGACATTGCCCGCTGGGATCATGCGTCTAGTGGAAGTGATATTACGGGCGAGAATGGAAAAAGCTCGTGCCAGAAGACTAGCCCTGGCATTCAAGGCCTCTATGGGTGAAACAATAATTACTCATTCTAGTGGAGAACTGTGCCAATCGCATGAATCATGTCGGGCCGAAGTGGAAAACGCCGGACAAGAAGAAGATTTCTCGGTGCTCCATATCCTTGGTGGGAGTGGGAAAGCAATCAACGAGAAACGGCATGATAACCATCCGACTCGGCGATGAGATTGCCATGATAGTAGATATATCTATTGCCGTGTATGGTCAGGGTCGACAGAAATATATAGGGCTATTATATCGTGGATTATCAAAGTTAGAAACTGACATAGATTAACTAATCCTACAGGATAGTTATGTGGTTAACAGGTTCAGCGGCCTCAACCTGTCCCAAATAGGAAATGCTTGCATCGGATGTTGATTCCTCCGAACCACAACAAATAATTTTATCACCAGCCGCACTATCAGATCCACCTTTGCAATCGGCCGGATCCTGATCCTGATTCCATGCTATTTAGGAAGCTTTCTCCTGCTGCCATATGGAAACTCACGCCAAAATGTTCATGAGATTTGCCAGTGAGTAGTCGTTACATAGTGGCATGATGACACTGACCGAGAGCAGGCCCCAATGAGCGTCGCACAATTAGCCGCGAAGACTTAGGGTTCTACAATGCCCTTGCCATTGGAGCAATCTATGAACTTCCCGGCGAAGATGTCGATGCAAGTTCTGCAGAATCCTTCATTCAGCCCCTGAAGGACTGCATCCTCGAACATGCATACCTGGGCGTGACAATCAAGGACAAGCACACTGAGAAGCCATTCTTCGAAGCAGTGTCGAGCCTCGACCTGAACAACCACATTTCAGTCCACAACACTTGGAAGGAAGACGGCCAAGACAATGTATCCGAAACAAAAGCCATAGAGAGATTCCTCCTCCCAGTCCTCGACCGCCCCTGGCCAGCCGATATCCCGCCCTGGCGCATCGTCGTCCTCCCTCTCGCCCCAGGAAGCCTTAAAACAACCCGCTGCTTCATCGCCTTCGCCTTCTCCCACGCCCTAGGCGACGGCATGTCGGGGCTAGCCTTCCACCGCTCATTCCTGAACGCGTGGAACAACCAACCCGCCATAAACACAGACACAGCCGAGAAACCCTCATTCATAGTAACATCACCAACAAAAACCCTCCCACCCCCATTCGACACCCCATCTCGCCTCCCCATCTCCTGGTCCTACCTCCTCGCCCCGCTCCTCGCAGCATGCCTCCCAAAATTCCTAAACGACCTCCTCGGCCTGCGCGCCTCAACAAGCACCCTAACCCCAGGAACATGGACAGGACCGGCTATGTTCTTCGACGCGGACAACAGGGAAAGCAGCAGACTGCACCTGCTTGAGATCGAGGAGCCGCTTGTGCGGAATGCCCTGGCCATGTCGAGAGCGCATGGGTCGAAACTCACCGCCACGATGCACCAGATGATTGTGCGTGCGCTGAGCAGAGCCATACCAAATGGAGAAGGCAGGATTACGGAATTTGTCTCGGGGACTGCGATTGATATGCGTGGCTCGATTGGTGTGCCTGGGTATACGTGGGGGTTGTATGTGAATGGGGACCATGGTGTGCATCCGCGTGTGCAGCTGGATGGGGATAAGCAGGGTACATTATCTCATGAGAACTGGGAAGAGGCGAGTCTGATGACGAAGAGTCTGGCGGAGTCTGCGACGAGACTTCAGGACCAGGCTATTGGGTTGCTGAGGTATGCGCCGAGTATCAGGGGCTGGACGGCGAAGAAGATGGGCGAGCGGAGGGACTGTTCGTACCGGGTGAGTAACTTGCTGGCGTTTGATGGGGGCTCTGAGAAGGGGGCTTGGATTAGCAAGGTTATCTTTGCAACTCCGGCTGATGCGACGGGGTCGCCGCTGGCGTTTGATATTGTGAGTCTCAAAGGGGGGAGTTTGGTTTGTTCTGTTGGATGGCAGGCTGGGGCTTTGGGAGTTCCGATTGAGGAGGAGAGTAAACTTGTTGAAGAGATTTGCTCGTCAATTAGGGCTGACTTTGAGGGGTTGATGTGATTGTATGCTTCTAGGTTGAAGATGTTCACTTCGTGTCCAGTTAGGGCTGTCCCTTATATATATAAATATTTAATCATCAGACTCAATATTTAGACCTAATATATGTTTATTTTCTTAAGTATAGTGAAAGCAGACAGCGAATGGCATCGAGACCACCGCCAGAATGCCCAAAGAGGAAATAATCAATCTGGAGGGGGTGGGGTGATTTGGCCAATGAACGGAGGCGAAGGGATCAGATATCATGTTATCTGATCAATCTATCCAGTTTAATGTATACAGAGCTCCTGATAATGAACCTCGGCAGTGAAGGCACGGATTATATTTAGCTGATCTCGGCAATCCATGAAAGTCGCTTGGCAGTCAAGAATGAAGCCATATTCGGACAAACCAAGACGAGGCGTCCGTATTCAATCTTGGCCGTGACAAGGCTGAACCCCAGCGAAGGCCTATAAAGGAGTAACCAGGCCGCTTTCAGTTTGTGAAACATCGATTCCCACGATGAAGAAGATCGTCTATCTTATTCTTCTTGCGTCTGCTATAGCTCAGCAGACATCCGAGACAATAACCACAGCACCTGCAACCCCCACCGCGGGCATTCTTCGCCCCTCCAGCGGAGAAACCATCACCGTAGGCCAGCCGTACACTGTTCGCTGGACCCCTCCGCCTCCTGAAGCAGGGCCTCTGGCCATCGAGCTATTTGGATGGGTTAACAGGATCTCCCAGATCCTCCCAAACACAACGAGCTGTGATGGATGGTTAATAAACACGCAATGCGACAAGCTCGATGTGAATATCTCCAGCGGATCAACCAGTTACGGTACGTTCAAATCTACCAATGTATGATAAAAGCTGTCTGCTAATAGAATAGTCTGGGATCTCTCGAAACCGGATGACGATGATAGATACAGGCTTCCGTATGAAGAAATGTCGCTCCGGATGGGTATTTACGAGGATAATCTTTCGCGCGGGGATTTGCCTAGGGCTGATGCGCCGTGGTATTTGAGTGCCTCGTTTGCACTTGCGAGGGAGACTACAACTAGGACAGCTTCTACTACAACAACTACAACTGCATCTACAACTACAACCTCAACAGGACCTGAGGCAACGGATGGCGCGGACTCGAGTGACGATAGTGCTACCCCGACTGATGCTGCTGTGCTTGTTAGTCCTCAGATGTGGACTGTAGTGACCGCAGTAGGCGCGTGGACTTTTCTCAGTTGGTGATTCGGTTTAGCCAGACGGTTTCCTATACTAGTAATTATAATGCACGTATTCAAAACGACTTGAAGCTCAGGAACCTGTTTAACCAGTGTGATGCTCTGGAAACTTAAACGACAGTTCTTAAAAGAGCACTCGAGTATTTGGAGATATGGCATAATTTCTACTCCAAATCCTTCAGACTCTACTGGTTACCGAGAACTTAGAGCCGAATATGACTCCAGCGGCACTATTATTGCGTGCTAGGCCACAAGGATTATAAATGGTTGTTCCCGGTAGACAAATCGTCCATGTCTATTAACAATGGTGGAAAAGCTTGAACTCATATCGGACACCTTCCAGGTTGGAGATGTCCATAATGCGGACACAAAAGGACTACGACGGAGACTCTTGTGGAAGCTGGACACCAGGTACGTCAACCTATAACGAGATAATGTCTATCTAACAGCCAAGGATACTCCCGCCACTGGCCCTCCTATACCTAGCAAACTTCGTCGACCGATCCAACGTCGGCAATGCAAAGATCCTAGGCCTTGAAGACGACCTCAGTCTAACAAATCACCAATACGCAAATGCCCTCGCTGTCTTCTTCGTCTTCTACGTCGTCTCAGAGCTCCCCTCAAACCTCGTTCTCAGACGAATGACGCCCAAGTTCTGGCTTCCCTTCTTGGTATTCCTCACAGGCATCATCGTGATGTGTATTGGCTTCGTCAAGACATATGCCCAGTTCGTCGTTGTCCGCGCCTTACTCGGAACAGCAGAGGGCGGTCTATACCCGGGCTCGCTGTTATTTCTGTCCACGATATACACCCGTGAAGAGCTAGCCCTGCGCGTGGGGATATTCTACTCAAGCGCATCTCTATCCGGCGCCTTTGGGGGTCTCCTCGCGCGAGGCCTTTCAGCGATCCCTGCGACGTCAACTGTATACGGGAGCTGGCGATGGATTTTCATCATTGAGGGAGTCATCACCTGTGTAATTGCAGCCGGGGCATACTTCCTCCTGCCGAATTCCGTGGCGACTGCATCATTCTTAACCGCTGAAGAACGGGAATTTGCTCAGGTCCGGCTGAAGGAATCGCACCAGTCTGAACAAGAAGAACGATTCCGCTGGTCTGAAGTCCGCAGAGGGATTCTCTCCCTGCAGCTTCTTTTCACAGGGACGGTGTATTTCTCCATCTGCTGTGCGCTGTTCTCTTTTAGTCTGTTCCTGCCCTCAATCATCCAGTCCCTGGGCTACACTGCAAACGAGGCACAGCTGCTCTCCGTCCCCCCCTACGCCGTGGCATCAATAGTCGGTGTGATAGTATCGTTTATATCAGACAGACTACGCATCAGGGGAATACTCATCCTGATTTCCCTCCCGCTCGCAATAATCGGCTACGTCCTCATCGCGCGCGTCTCCAGCAACGTGACGAAATACGGGCTGACTTTCTTAATGGCATCGGGGATCTACGGCTCTGTTCCGCCGCTGCTGGTCTGGATACTGAATAACAGCGCGGGACACTATAAGCGCGCCACGGCGGGTGCGCTGCAAGTGTGCATGGCGAACTGCGGGGGGATTGTTGCGGCGTTTCTGTATCCGAATGTTGAGAAGCCGGGATATGTTAAGAGTCATACGATTATACTGGGGGTTCTTTGCTATGCGTGGATATCGTGAGTTAACACCTCCCTGCTAAATCTGGGGTTGGGCTGATTGTGTAGTGTCTTCCTCAATGTGGTGCATGTGTGGAAGATTAACAAGGACAAGCAGGATGGGAAGTATGACCAGTATATTGGATATAGGGACGACCGAGAGCCTTCTTTTCGATTGGTGCTCTGAACGTTGTAAAGGGTTAGGGCTAAATGTACACTGGACGGTGGAATATCGGGCATGTTGACATGGATATCACCAGCTGCAGCTAAAGATGATAATACCTTTATTATAACTTACCGTAACTAATTAATACAAGGCTGAGTTGTATGATTATCTTATTATAGCCAGAATTTCCGACTGTCGGTGAACCACGCAAGGCTGTCCATTGACTGACTGCGCCACCATCTGTCGCCTCGCCGTCATCTCGTTCTCAATCATCATCCCTCCAGGGAACAAATTTCCTTACTGTGTTATCTACGCTGTGGCGTCACAGTTGTCATGCCGAAACGAAAAACTGGGGAAAGGTGCATGTCCCAGTGCTTATAATACCAAGTTCGATAGTCCGCTCGGGCAGGCGCTGTACTACTCGCATGCTGATATTATTGACTTGCTGCTCAAAGCGGGCGCGTATTTACAGCCTAGAGAATGTGGTAGGGCGCTGGAGATTGCTGCTTATGTGGGGGACGAGTCGATGGTGCGTGCCCTGCTTGGTAATGGTCTGGATATGGACTGCTCGTGGCGGGGGAACTATGAGACGGCGCTGTGGATGGCGGCGAGTCAGGGACATGTGGGTATTGTGCGGTTGCTGTTGACCAAACCCCGGATTGTGGGATTACAAACGAGTTCCTCGGCCTTGCTAGGGAGTCGGCTGCAGGGGGGAGGCATTACGATATTGTGCTTTTGCTGGAGGGGGCACCGTAGTAACAGTTTAGCGACCTGGATATCTCTGATACTATCGCTGGTACATTTCTTAAACCATTCATACAAAACATGCTGCTTCATTAAAGTCCATGGAAGCTAGCAGTTATATTTAAAGACTTATATTGATCACTGAGCACAGCGATGTTGAATCACTAGCCCTCATCTTAAGACAAGTTTTAGATACAGACGTCACTGGTACCACCACCGATACTAATGCTGATTTCTAACAGTAAATAATCGCACAGCTAAGCGGCCAGGTAATACAGAACTGGGCCGGCGCAGTCAACGGGCAATTGGCGATGCAGGTGAAATAGTCGTCGCTGCATTGGGCCGTGATCACGGCGAATCCTTCGTCGGTTTCTTGGATATTTGCAGCTGGTGACGTTAGCAGGGTTGATATTCCAAGTATAGGGTGTTTTTACCGCTTAAAGCGTTGGAGGTTGCGACGAGGGCCAGAGGGATGATAGCGGAGAAACGCATGGTGGTTTTAAGTGTCTTTGGAAGGTAAGAGGTGTTGTCTTACAGTCTTATCGAAGGGGATCCAGGGCCTTTATATATCTTTTGGCCAGGCTAAAGTGCGAAGCGAGTGGTGACCTCTGACTTCTGTCCATGGAATGTTGGTCCTCGCTAAACAAGGAAGTATAGGATGCTATTCCAAGTTTACTCAAAACTATCACCAAAGCGAATAAGACAAGCCAAGATATTCGACTAGCTATGGCATGGCATTGGCCAAGGCACAAAAGGCCCCCAAATGGCAGACCAGTTAGACTACGCGGAATAGATAGATGTTGTAAATTTTTATAGTATCCATGTTATTACTGGAGGAAAGGATATTTCCAGGTCAGCTGAAGGGCTTCCAAGTTAGCTGGGATATTTCTTGAGTTGCAATCAGAGCCAAGCATGCATAAGTGCTTACAGCCATATATTAGTGTCAGACGCGCGCAATGTTACTTTTCAACACACGGCGCTGTCTCCGCGCAGTAATGGGAAGGAATACTATACTTATAACTATCTTGCGATGACAGACTTGCCAATGTTCGAAGCTCTCAAGCACAAAACCGGTAGACAAATACCTCTTCTTGAATATATGAAGGATGTCATACCATGCACTGGCTTGAAGTCGGCGAGTACCATATAGCAAAGTGAAGTTCCAGCGACGTCGGCAGTGTCGGCGATTAGAAGCAGTAAGCACGCCTTAGCACCCCTGCACCGCGAGAATCTTCAGCGAGCTGGGTTCTGCACTGAATAGTACATTTATTGGTGGTGTTCTGACGCACCAAGACTATTCCGGGGTAGCCTGCTTGGCTGCTCAGGTTTGTGAATAGAGCACTCTCATGTAATAATATTTCACTTCCAAATAATGGTCTATACTCGTGATATCAAAGAACTGCAGCAACCACCGCCACCACCGCAGCCCCAGCAGCAAACGACATCCCAGCTTCCTGACCTAGGGCAGAATTCCCAGGACCAGTCTCCTCAGCACCCGCACACTCGGTAGGCGAAGTTGTCGGACTTGTCGAGGTGGTGGCAGTAGAAGAAGTAGTCTCCGCCGTGACAGTCACCGCATACGAGTGGACAGGGTAGGTTGTTGTACCGACCCACCCGCCATCATCCATATGCAGAGAACAAGTCGCAGTGCGATCGCCTTGGTCGCATGCTATAGTAGTGTTGCTTTGACAAGTTAGCGTACGGTTTAGTAGTTAGTAGTTGAGGCTCACTGGTTTACTAGACTCATTGTCGACGGTGCATTGAGTATTGTGATGCTGTCTCCGCTGGGAAGGTCAGTGCAGGTCTTGACCGAGTCTGCGCAGGTGAGGGCGTATGTGGTTGTGTCAGATTCCTGGTGGTGTTAGTGGTATAGTGATATATGATGGATAGGGCAGGACGAACCGATCCAAGGACTTGCCCGCCAAGGGGCTGGCCTTGTTCGTTGTCTGGGATGAAGATGCTGACTACATCTGCTGCCAGGGCGCTGGTGCAGAGGGCGAGGCTGAGGAGGCGGCGCATTTTCTTCTGAATTGGTTGAATGGGAGAAATGTTTTGTGTCGGGGCGCTTACAGTTTATAACTGTGTGTTCAGCTGTCAACTCCACTTGGGCCTGAATTATTAACAGCCAGGCGTCAGCCATTAATTACTTGGGGGTTACAGATTGGCACAAGCCACCCACATAGCCCACTTGGGTTGAGATAGCGCTGGGGCCAAATCACCAGCTGAATTACTGATCTGCTTATTTATGGCAGTATATTAACTGAGTGAAGTCAAGTAATGACAGTATCTATGGCAGAGTGTACCCCCCGTCAATAATCAAGTCCGCTCCCGTCATATAGCAACATGCATCGCTCGCCAGGAATACATAAGCCTAAGAATGTTAGCCAGTACTCCGTATTTCAATATCAACCCAGGAACAAACCCCTTTCAGCTCAGCAGGATCACAGATTCTCCGGCCAGGAATCATCGACAGCCACTTGTCAAACAGCTCTTTCGGCTGCTGCGTGAGCACTACACTCGTTAGCCTAATCCAATATTTATATCGATACATACTCTCCGTCAGAATAAACCCAGGCGAAATGCAGTTGACACGAGCAAAATCCGCCCACTCCACTGCTAAGCTCTTCGCCAGATGCACCGCCGCAGCCTTGGACGCATTATACGCCACCTGCGTCTGGGGGATATTCACCAGCGTGGCACTAACCGACGCAGTGATGATCAGATTCCCCTTGCCCTTCTCTTTAAAGATCTTCCCAGCGGCCTGCGCAGTCCACATCACCCCGTCGTAGTTCACCGCATTATCCCTCCTCCACGTCTCCTCGGTATACTCTAGATTCGGGCAGTTGGTGCAGACTCCCGCGTTTGCAACGACAACATCTAACCCCCCAAAGTATTGTAGCACCTGGTTCATCGTTGCGGCGATGGTGCTGCGCGTTGTGACGTCTGATTGATACGCCTGGACGCGGACCCCGTTGGCAGCGGCGATTTCAGCGGCGGACTCGCTAGCTGAGGCATTGCTGCTGTAGATCAAGGCAACGTCTGCGCCGGCTTCAGCGAGGCCGCGCACTATCTCAAGCCCAATACCCCGGGCACCACCAGTGACGGCGGCGACTTTGCCTTTGAGGGAGAACTGGGAGAGGACGTTGCGGTTGACGTCGGGGGGCTGGTAGAGGGGCATATCTGTAGTTCTGGTAGAGGCAGTTGGATGAAGTTATATGATGTTAGAATAGTGTATTTAAGACCAACTCCCCTCATAAGAACAACAGAACCCCCGCACTTGTTGTCACCGCGTGGATTACCGGATTGGGAATATGCCCACTAGCCCCATACAGCAATTCTCGCGACGTACTGATTCTTATATAGTATTTATATATATACAACAAAGTATACACATAAATAAATAAATCTGCAAGAATATGCAAAAATCCACCTCCCCAGCAATCCCTCCCCTCGGTGTCTCAACCCCAGACCAGCACTCAGGAAACGGTCGGTAGTGGCACCTGGCTTTCCAGTCTCTATTGTCGGGTGAACTGTATAGACGGAGTCACGGAAGTAACCAGCAGACGCACGGTTCTGACTACGGATATGGTGGCCTCCTGAGCCACCTTTTCCGCAGATCGTCACTTTGGTGTATCCAGTATATGAACATCGAGGATACCAGAGGATCAACCCATGTGGAGATTAAACCAGTACTGCGATTGAGGAGATTCCCATATATGCAGGCGGACCCTGGGGTAGATAGTAGAAATACATCGATTCAGGCTGCGTAAATATTAGATCGAGGCTGTCTACGTGAATGCACCCGAATGCATTATTTGTGAGGATCCGGTTTCTTACAACTTAATCACCCCAGATTCATCTTCCTTGGGGTACGCGGGGAAATAAAGGCTATGGTGGCTCCGGTGTATACTTATAGCAACTACAATGAAGCAGGTGGCGTCTCGTCTGCATCAACTCGTCTCCTCACACTCTGCATCGCCGTAATGTCCTCCATTTGTGTAGAACAAGCCCCAAAGGTTTGTGGATCTATAGCCCAACCCGCCTCGCATAACCTTTACTTACTATCCGCAGGGTACCAAGCTCTGGGTATGGTATTTCTATTATTGTGGCCAGGGAAACTGCTCACAGATTGCAGCTGCTTCATCTAGGCTACGTAGAAACAGATGAAGGATTCCTTCTTCAAGGAGTACGTCCTTCACACCACTTATATACCTGAAAGAGTATCTATCCAACTGACCTCCCAGGCTGGGCTCTCAACCGCAAGCAACCCAAACCCACCAAGCCCAAGACGCCAGATGGTGCTGATATCAGTGCTAATTGACCATCCAACCGAAGGCTTGATTCTGTTCGAAACCGGCCCCGGCGAAGCATACCCCGAGGTCTGGGGCCCGCCTGTCAATGACATCTTTGCGCGGGTTGACTACAGTCCGGACCATGAGCTGAAGGCGGCCATTGCAAAGACGGGCAACGATATCAAGGATGTAAGGGCCGTGGTCATGGATCATCTGCATCTCGACCATGCGGGCGGCCTGGAGCATTTTAGTGGTACCGATGTGCCGGTATATGTGCATGAAAAGGAGCTGAAGCATGCGTTTTATAGTGTGGCTACAAAAACTGATGCAGGTGTGTCGTCTATGGAACACTGGATAGATGGCCACGGCTTTAACAAGGATCATAGGTGTCTACCATCCGAAGGATCTGAATACACAGCTCAACTGGCAGGCATTCCATGGGGACGTATTTGAACTTGCTCAGGGAATCACTCTGCGCCATGCACCGGGACATACCCCTGGGCTGTCTATCCTCCAGGTATGACTGTCCTTCAATAAAGGACAGCAGGTTGACATGCAGCCACAGGTGAACTTGGCTAGCAGTGGGACGTGGCTTTTCACCACCGACCAATACCATGTCCATGAGAACTACCACGACTCAATCCCCCACGGATGGCTTGCTCGCGATCAGAAGAAATGGGTGAGGTCGCACCAGATGATCCGGACGATTGCGAAACGCACAAACGCCAACCTGGTTTTTGGCCATGACAAGGAAATGTTTTTCAAGTATAATCATGCACCGGACTATTATGAGTAGCTTTGATAGTAGAAATAGCAGCTAAGCAGTGATTAAACCTTATTTCATCTGATTCTTCTCCGGTGGTCAAGATGCCACATTATCCTGGAGACAATCCGGATAAGACATACATACCCAGCCCCTATAGTTCCCTTATTTAAGCCCTGAACCCTGCCCGCGTCAGAAACAGAAATCAATACATTATAACCATCCATCCACCTTATACAATCCAATGTCCAAAGTCGCCCTCATCACAGGTGCCAACGGCATCACCGGCTCCGCCATCCTAACACACCTAACAACCACCACCACGGCCGCCGAATGGCGCCGCATCATCATCACCTCGCGCTCACCACTGACGCTGGACATCCAAGACCCACGAGTCTCGTTCATCGCGCTAGACTTCTCCCAGGAACCCCATAAGCTGGCGCAGGAAATGCAGCCCATCTGCAAGGACGTCACGCACGCCTACTTCTCCTCGTACGTGCACAAGGATGACTTCGCGCAGCTCAATACCGCCAACGCCTCGCTCTTCGAGAACTTCCTCACGGCCCTCCTCGACTCCGCTCCGGGCCTGCAGAACTGTACCCTCCAGACAGGCGGGAAGTACTACAACGTCCATCTGCAGCCCGTGCCGTCGCCTGTGCGCGAGGAAGACATCCCAAGCGGACGGTACGACGCGGATGCCCACGCGCGGAACTTCTATTACGCGCAGGAGGACTTTCTCGCCCGTAAGCAGCGCGAGTCAGCGTCAGCAGCAGCATCAGCGTCTGCATCGCAGCCAAGAAACTGCTGGACATGGAACGTGATCCGGCCCGAGGCCATAATCGGGAGCACGAGCAAGCCGAACGGCATGAACGAGGCGCTGACGCTGGCCCTGTACTTTTTGACGTGCAAGGAGCTGGGCGTGGCTGAGGCGGTTATGCCTACGAACTGGGCGTACTGGAACGGGACGGACGATGTCTCGGATGCGCGATTGATTGCGGATATCAGCGTGTGGGCGTCGACGAGTGCGCACTGCGCGAACGAGGCGTTTAATGTGGCTAATGGGGATTACTTCACGTGGCGGTATATGTGGCCGCGGCTGGCGGCGTACTTTGGGGTGCGGGGGTCGAGTGAGCAGGGGTTTGCGAGGAAGAGTGACGACGGGTTTCGGCCTGGGGAGAATGTGCTGGAGGTGAGGCTGGAGGAGTGGGCGAGGGATAAGCAGGGGGTTTGGGAGAGGCTGTGTGAGAGGGCTGGGGTTCCTGGGGCGAAGGACACGTTTAGGGCTGGGACTTGGGCGTTTCAGGACTGGGTGTTTTCGAGGACGTGGAGTGCCACGCTGAGTGTCAATAAGGCGCGCAGGTTTGGGTGGAAGGGCCATTTGGATTCGTATCAGTCGTTTGTCGATGCCTTTGACAGGTTTAGGGAGTTGGGGCAGATTCCTTAGTTATACTATCATATCTGATCTATCCCCGGAAACTGATGCCCCAATAGACGCTCCGCAGCAGCCGCAAAAGAGCACCATCCAACCGGCGCAAGAAGTCTGTAAAGATGCAGGATCTGCTTCAGCAGCGGGGCACTCTCCGACCTACATATAGGGATCGAGACGCCCACGTCTCCCAGCCCAGGGAGATTCAACTCGGGAAGCGGCCGCTCATGGCTCCCAGCAAAGGCCCAGAGCACTACCGTAGCATGATGCAGCCCCGAGAACGCCAGGAGATTATGCTTCGCACGCTCGATAACCGGCCGCTCCGTCTCCTGCGCGAGCAGAGTCCAGATCTGGCACGCAAAGTCGACTGCGACGCGCGCATCCTGGCTTTGCGCCCAGACGGTCAACTGGTGCAGCCGCCGGTTGTCGACGGTTTGGTTGTTAGAGACAGCCTGGGAAATGCTGTGCAGGTCTGCAAGAGGCGTGGTGAGGCGCAGAAACGACAGTCGGAAGAGGAGGAGGCTGCTCATGATGCTGGTCCGGCTTTTCGCTGTCTCGGAAGGCTGCTGGGTGGTGCGGACTGCGGTGAAGCTGCGTTCCCATTTGCGGAGGGCTTCAATCAGCCGGAGGCGTTCTTCGTTTAGGTCGTCCATGCGATGGTGCACTGCCCCTAGCTGGTCTGTTTGGAGAGACGATCCTGCTGTGGGTTGTTGATCTGGCGTGATCCCCGGTAGCTGGAGCGACCCCGTCAGGCGCCGGAAAAGGTGAGGGTCGTGGCTGAAGCGCCATACCGGCTCTTGCAGGCCAAAAAGCAGTAGTTCATACCGGGCTGGCTCCATCTCGAGAAGGGCTTCGCTGCGGTCAAATGCAATGCGAACAAGATCACAAAAGGACAGGCGAGCTCGCGGGGCATGCGATCTGATACCCGTAAGGAACTTGTCAACAGAGGGGTTATCAGCGGCAATCCAAAGCTCGTCAGGCGCCGGCAGGTCGAATTCAATTTCCTCAGGAGAGAGAAGAGGACGCGAGTTCATCAGCACGCTGGCGTATACGTCGGCGCGCAGGATACCAAAGGCCAGCCGCTTTCTCGCCTCCAAGACGCACCAGGCGTTTAGCTGCTCTTCTTTGGACGCGTCGGCCGTCGAGCTGTGGGCCCTGGAGACGGTGAATAGATCCATACGTCGAGCCTGAGCAATGAGGACCGCCCCGAGGTGCTGAGCGTAGGAAAAAGCTCGTCGTTGTCCAAAGTAAAGGGCGGCCACCTGGGCCAGCAGCCGAGCCTGAGCCAGTGCCAGCAGGCCTTGCTCCATCTCCTCTACGTTGAACAGCGGAGTAACCAAGGCGAGGCGGATTTCTTCGTGCAAGGCAGTGCCGAATCGAGACTCTTGGGGAGTGCCGTACATGGCTCCTATGGAGGCCAAGACAAGAAACAGTAAGGGGTGTAGTGTGGCCGCGTCGTAATCCTGCGCTCGCAATAACGGCCACAGAGGCGAGAAGTTCCGCTCATACAGCCTCATCAAGCCAGCCAGCATTGAATCCGCGTCTGGCATCTGCCAATCGCCTATCTGGAAGGCCTCGGTGATGCGCAGGGACATCGACCGCCAGTAACAAAGCCGGGATTGTGTCATCTCCAGCTCGGTCCGTGTAGCATACGCAACCAACTCCTGTACCACGCGCGTCTGGGCCTCGGAGTGGCTGCGAGGGACTACCGTGCCCTGATTCCCTTGATTGTGAGGCAGCATTGGGGTTACTGTTCTAGTAAAGTCTCCTGGTGGACACTCTATCACAGGCTCTGCTGCATGACCATCGTCACTGCTTGTGGAAGCCATCAAACCACTCTGATTAGATATCGCAGTAGTAGTTGGAGCGGCAAACCAGTCCTCGCACGGGCTGCCTTGTAGGTAAAGGCTCTCATGCATCCACGGCCACGAGACGGGCTCTGCAAAAGAACTGCTCGTCCAAGAGAGTCCCAAATCACACATGGCACCCAAGTCGCCCAAGTCCAGCATGGCCTGAGGATCTGCAGTACCTAGTGCCATAGCATCAGTATCAGTACCGCAGTCCGGGAGGTCTTCCAGGGGACCACTGGTCTGCTCAGGGCCGGTACTAGGGGTTGGAGGAGCCACTGCCACCACAGGGCCTGCGATACTCGTTCGGCTGACCCTATCCGAGCGCGAGGTGTAGGAACAGTCGCGCTGGTTCAAGGCGCAAGTGTCGCACGGCTGCTCGCCGTTGCATTTGACTCGCGCGGCACGACACGCCTGGCAGGCAGTATGGACTCGACGGCGAGAAGAGGCCTTGGGGCGGGACTCCTGCGGTGAGCCAGCGGCCGTCGCCGTGGGAGAGGCACAGTGGATGCGCATGTGTCGCATCAGCAGGTCGCGGCGCGAGAAGGCGACATCGCAGGTGGGACAGATATGGCGGCTGCGGTGGATGGAGTGGTTGCGGACGTGGCGGGCCAGCGAGCTGCGAGACTGATACCCACGGCTGCAATACTCGCATAGAAACATGAAAGCTGTAGGGGCATTCCAGCCAGACAGGTTGAGACGGGGGTGTGTGAACTGGAGGGGCCCCAGATTTGGTCTTTGCCGCGGGGTTCAAGGTTGGACTGCGATGGCTGCGGGGGTGGGGTCATTCACACTGGCCATTGATACTTGTGCCGAGGACACTTGCTCCGTCAGCCCGTCAGTGTACCTGGAGAGCCTGGAGAGCATCCACGATGTTCTACAGTGAGTGACGTCGCCGGATAAAGTGGCAGCAGCCTGGCCAATCACGAGGCGGGAACAGCACCCCGGTTGGCTTCCTAATCGGGCTTTGTCAGGTGACCGCATATACAGTTACTGTAGATGGGAGCCATCATTCTACTAGAAGCTGGTGTAGTGAGCTCTATTATAGTTGAATCGTAGTTTCATACCAAGACACGACATCCAGCACAGTCTAGACTAACTGCCATCTGGAATACACATCAGGATAGCCCTGATCACCCTCTCTAGTGTCTTGTACGCCTTGTCCGGGTCCTTTCTTGCATTACAACGCCAGCCGACAAAATGGTCAGGTCGAACCAACACGACGCCATCTTCTTGCACCCCACGCACCCTCTCCCACTCACGGTAGCAGTCCAGATACTCGCACCCAAAGCCAACCGTGTACCGAGCAATATCGAGTCCCATCTGAGACACCTTGCGCGCAGCCGTGAGCCAGCACCCACCGCCAATTCCCGTAAAGAGCGTAAACCGGCCCTGCCCGGCCAAGTCAAGCGTCGAGACGCGAGGACTGTGCGCGTCCCGAGCCAGCCAGACATGGGGGAGATGGTAGCCAGGGAATGTAGAAACCATGACCTGCCGCAGCGGGTCCAGGGCGCTGAAATCCGGTGCTTCATCCCCTGGCTCTGCCAGGACTGCCGGTGAGCCGGTGTAGACCTGGTTCATCTGGATGCCCAGCGCCTGCACCTCTGCGTCCAGCGCATCCATGGCCGCGGACCACTCCTCCCGCATTGCACGTCCGGCAGGACTATCTTCTGTCAAGCGCACGAGTGCCTTTTGGCGGGATTCCTGGTCCAGTCCAATAACGCTCCACATGCGCCGATGCGCCTCCATGCCGTCGTTTGCACGTCGCACGATGCCATCGCCCACCGGCTTGCGCTCTGGCGTCAGTGTCTCCAGTAATCTAGCGTGCGCAACGCCCCGGACCACATATGCCAGCTTCCAGGCCAGGTTAAATGCATCCGATATACACGTATTGCTGCCCAAGCCGTTAATGGGCGGGTGGCGGTGCGCTGCGTCGCCGATACAAAGCACCCGGCCGCTCTGCCACGTACTCGCAACCTGGTCGTTGATTGTCCATTGGAACGCCGACAGGATCTGAATAGGGACCGTCTCGTCCCCGATCATCTGGTGCAGACGCCGGACGATATCCGCCTCGGTGGGGGCGGCAGATGTCGTCGCCCCGTCCCTGCGCGCCGGATGCATCGACACCACCCACTCTGTCCAGGGACGCACCATGCGGAAGTTCCCCACGGCCGACCAGTCGGGGGCCGACGGGTTGAGAACCCAGTTTAGGCTCCCTGGGCGGTGCGCGATGTACCGGCCCAGATCGGCGCGGATGTGCACGTTGAACGCGGTGTTGAGCTGGCGGCCTGTGATGGGGACCCCCAGGGCGTTGAGGACGGGGCTGCGTGCGCCATCGCAGCCTACCACATATGCAGAGGTGAGGGTTGTTTCCTGGCCTGTGGTGCGATCGCGGATGACGGTCCGCACGCGGCCACTGCCACTGTCATTGTCATTGTCATTGCTCGCGAGCTGCTGCTCGAGCGACACGAACTCGGTGTAGAAGCGGAACTCGGCGCCTGCTTTCTGGGCCTCCTGCACGAGAATGGGCTCTAGCAGGCTCTGGGGCAGATCGCTCATGTGGCATGGGCTGGCCATCTCGTAGTCTCCCTTTTGCGCGGGCTTGTTTCCCCATGCCCAGAGACGCCCGTATTCCTGGCCGGCGAGCTGGTCCAGGAAGGAGGAATGTTCCATGTCTGCAGTTTAGATCGTGAGCTCATGCTGATATGTGGAGGGGGATGGAGTGATCTCACGCTGTACAGAACTGGCAACCGCCCTGCATTTTGCTTCAATGCCGGCGTCTCGCAGCACCTCCATTGCCCGCTGGTTGAAGATATGCGCGCGAGGTGTGTTGGCCGTGGCTCTGTGGCGCGAGATCACTACAGACCGAACACCCAGTCGACCAAGCAGTAGGGCAAGCGTGGCCCCAGAAGGGCCAGCGCCGATGATGAGGACGGGTGTATCCATTTCATTCAATAAATGTGATGTCGACAACGACAAATCAGTCAGCTGCTTGGCTTTATGCTACAGACAGCATCCGATTCTTGTTCACAAGCTCTGCATGAAACCACCTTCGGACCGACTTGCTGCACAGGATGGATCTACCGTGCGGTTGCCTTGGGGGACTCTGTTGATGCCACCTTATCCGCGGTGGATCAGCAGGTCGAAAACAATCCTATGCCGATCATTGGCAGCTATGAGGGCGACTGTAAGGCATTGAAGGAGTGCTCGGCTTGCTGGTGGAATGGTGGTACTAAATACTGCAAAAGCCCATGTCATCCAAGCCCATATCAGACGAACCTATCCATCAATCCACCTGAATCACCATCAAAGCCAACCGCGATGAGTCTAACAGTCAAGCTGGGCTCTTATCTGGCTGCAGCCAGTGGCACCATTGCCAACCATCCCATCCACGCCGTTCTCAGCCTGGTGACGCTGTACTGTATTCATGTAGTAAGTATTGCGTGCTATACTAGAGCCAGGTCTAACAACCCAGTTGCTATATGCATTCTTGCTATCCCCCGTTCGACATATTCCCGGTCCTTGGTGGGCCAGGGTCTCGAGAATCCCCTTGCTATGGGCAACATATCAGCGACGCCGCTCTCTCTTTGCGTCTTCCCTGCTGCAGCAGTACGGCCCGATTGCGGTCATAGCCCCAAACCAGGTGCATACAAACGACGACACAGCCATGAAGGTCATCTACAACCGCAACTCCAAGAAGACCCCGTTCTATGAAGGAATGGGCTCTTGGAAAGGCGTCACCACCACCCTGGGGTTCGTCGACTATCCCACCGCCGCACCCACCAGGAACAACCTCGTCCAGTGCTTTCAAAACCGGAACCTGGAAAAGCTCGTCGACAGCATGGCCAGCCACATCGCCGAGTTCTGCGAGCTTCTCTCGTCCTCCATCCAAGAGAGGCGCAACGTGGACGGTGTCGTCGTCTTCCGCCTGCTCGCCCTCGACATCGTCACAGACGTCCTCTGGGGCGAGAAGAAAACCCTCATCTCCCAGGCCTCCACCGACACGCCCCTGTTCCTCCGCCGCTTCCACGCCTTCAGCTCCTGGAACGCCCTCAAGAGCTTCATCCCCCTGCTCGACACGCTGGTGAAGTACCTTGGCAGCGCCCGCCTCCGCCAGCTCCGCGCCGACTGCGCAGACATGGACATCACAGCCCGCGACGCCCTCGCCCGCTGGGAAACCCTCCCCGAGCACCACGACAAAGACGTCCTGAGCATGCTGCAGTCCATGAACGCCGCCGAAGACCCAAAGCGCCGTATCCCCACAGCTCACATCCCGGCCTATATCGTCGAGATGCTCGCCGCCGGCAGCTCAACGACATCCCACACCGCCGCGTTCGCCTGCCACCAGCTCGCCCAGCACCCACAAGCACAGGAGACACTGCACGCCGAACTCCGTGCCACATTCCCGGACCCCGCTGCAATCGATGAGCGCAAAATGCTCGACCTCCCCTTCCTGGACGGTGTGCTCCGCGAGACAATGCGGCTGTACCCGATGATCCCGGGCCCGCTGGAGCGGTATCTCGGCCAGGGAGACCACATCTGCGTGGATGGGCTGACGGTTCCCTCTGGGGTGATTGCGTCCACGTCTGCGCTTGACCAGGGCCGGGTGGAAGATGTATACCCAGCGTCTGGGGAATGGAGGCCGCAGCGCTGGCTGCAGGCTACAGAGCGGATGCGTCTGAATTGGATTCCGTTTGGGCATGGGGCGCGCGCGTGTCCGGGCTCGAATCTGGCAATCACGGAGCTCAAGTATATTCTTGGGACGGTGTTTCGCAGGTTTAGGGTTGAGCTGCCGGATGGGACTGGCGATGGGCTTGAGCTTGCGGATGTCTTTGCGGCTGGGGAACGGTCTGGACATGTGTGGTTGAGATTTGAGATGCTGGCGCAGTAGATGTAGGATGGATTATCTAGCTGGGATTATCTTTGTATATGAAAGCATATCAACAGTGCTCAAACATACATGCTTATTGACTATTCCTTGTGTGAATGTGGATACGATATAGCTACTTAAACCTCACAGTATTAACCAGCTCCCCAATCATGCCAATCCTCACAGAAACCTCATCCCCATCCTTTAAAAACCCCGGCGGCGACATAAACAGCCCAACACCCCCCGGCGTCCCCGTCATAATCAACGACCCCCTCTGCAGCGTCTGCCCCTGACTACAAAACGCCACAAGCCGGCGCACCCCAAACCACAGGTCGTCGGTATTCCCACTCTGGCGCAGCTCTCCATTCACGCGCGTCTCCAGTAAGAGCCCGCTCGCCTCCCCAGCAACCCCCGTGCTAACCAGACACGGTCCCAGCGGCGCATACTGGTCAAAGGACTTGCTGAAGGACCACTGCGGCACAGGGCCGGCCTTTGCAGGCTCCCGCTGCCAGTCGCGGCTGGACACGTCGTTGCCCACGGTGTATCCGGCGATATAGTCCAGGGCTTCGCTCTCGGGGATGTCCTTCCCCTCGCGGCCGATTACGACCACGAGCTCGCCTTCGTAGTCGCATTGTGCCTGCGCGATTTGCGGGATGGGTATTGCCGTGTTGTGGTCTGCTACGGCGGGCGAGGGTTTTGTGAAAACCGTGGGACAGGCGGGCAGGGCTCGGCCGGTTTCGAGAACTGCACTGCGGGGTTAGTGACTTGGATGGAGAGATACGAGAGGATGTTTCTGGGACGGAACATACTGTGGGATTTGTAGTTCAGGCCTATGCAGCGGATGATGGGGACGTGCTCTGGCGCCAGGGGACCGAGGAGGGTGTGGACGGCCTCGGTCTGTGTCGTGGGCTGGACGGTGAATGGGTCGCTGCCTTTGTAGACGGTAACATGTAGCTGTCTCGCTTTTGCCAGTTCGGTGATGCTGTCGGTGTTGTCGTCTGGTAGAATAGGCTCTCCGAATTGGACTGGGCCTTGCTCCGAGGCCTGGTACCGGACGAGGCGAGTCCACGGGGGCGACATTATCGGTGAAGTAGATAGATTCTATGCGACGGGAATAGATGTACACAGATTAACTGAGTTAGATTTTGGAATACGGTTGGGCACATCAGTCTTGTATCTGTATGCCGTTGACCACTTTATCCGGTCTGCTGCCACGATATCCAGTATACCACCTTTCCGGCGGATGGAGTGTGCTAGACGCAGAAATAAAGACCGACAGCTCCGTTATTCACCCGGCCAGTCACTGTACATTACACAAAACACCTTACAAGTCACTATGCCTCTCACGCCAGACAGCCGAGTCCGTCTGCTCAAAACGGCATACGTGGTCTATTACCACACCGATCTCGCCGAGGCAAAGCGCTTCCTGACAGACTTTGGCTTGACTGTGGCCCTCGAGCACCCCGGCAGGGAAATATTTTTCCAGGGCTACGGCACAGAGCCGTACGTATACGTCGCGCGCCAGGCCGACTCCGCCAGCAAGTTCGGGGGTGCCGCATACGTGGTAGAAACGCGCGAGGAACTGGAGAAGGCGCACCGCCAGTTCGGGGCCAGTGCTATCGAGCCAGTCCAGGGCCCCGGTGGGGGCGAGCAGGTCACCTTAACCGATCCAGTGGGTAATGCGGTGTATCTCATCTGGGGATGGCAAGAGAAGAAGGAAGCCCACCCCCCGCAGCTGGAGAAGTTGACCGTGAACTACGAAGACGAGAAGCCGCGAAAGGGCCGGTTCCAGCGATTCAAGCCTGGGCCGGCCCCTGTGCATCGCTGGGGCCACTATGGGGTGACATACCCTGAGGGCACGTATGAGAGTATGTACGCCTGGTATACAACAACTCTGGCCCTAGCTCCGTCGGATTTAGTCTACCGGGACGAGAAGCCTATTACCTGCTTTTTCCATATTGACCGCGGTCTGGAGTATACGGACCACCATGCTTTCTTCTTCAAGCCGGCGAAGCCCGGCCAGCAGACTAGCGTGGCTCATGCGGCGTTCGAGGTCCATGACTTTGATGTCCAGCAGCTGGGGCACAATTATCTCACCGAAAAGGGGTATAAGATCTGCTGGGGGGTTGGACGGGTATATCTCTCCTTCTGAACTTTGGCAGTCCCGCTAATATTCCATTCTCCATTGCAGCATGTTCTCGGGAGTCAAGTCTTTGACTACTGGTTTGATACCAGTGGGTTTGTCGTGGTAAGGAGCGTCCTTCCTCAATATCGAACTCATACTGAGATGGCTTTCTATACAGGAACACTACGCAGACGGGGACCTCGTAAATATTGAAACGCCTATTGCGCATGTGCCTGCAGGGCCTGAGGCGCTTTCTGTGTGGGGGCCCCCAGTTCCAGCAGTATTCTAAACGCCAGAATCACAGTTCATGCAGTATACATAATTGTTTCATTTCAATTTAATCGAGTATTCCTGCGCATGCTGCCAGCTTCGAGACCAAGATGGGGAGGTTGACTCGGATCCGCTGACTAGGGTTGAGCTGGTCAGTATGTCGCGGAGTATAAAGTTAGGTTTGTGCCGAGGGTCTGACCGTTGAAAGATCTGCAGAGGGGGTGTTTATGAAGGATGCAGTGTTAGACTGTTGGTGGATGCTAGCTTTAGCTTTGTAGACTACTTGTTAGTGTGGTCTGTGAAGAGTTCAGTTTGTTGTATGGGCTATGTGGACAGCCTGGAATAGCCTCCTGCACGACCAATTCCTGCGTTGACACAGGACTGGTTTCATCAGGTAGAAGAGCAGAGGCCAAGCACAGTCCAATATTTGGGCTGTTAAACGGTTGGACGGTTGGACAGCTCGTTACGGAATATGCAGGCAGTCTGTGACATCTGGACGATCACAACACGCAGAGTTTAAACTTCATATAGCTAGTCTCATTCCTGAGATTCCTGCAATTCCTGGCTCTTTTCCTGTTTCTCAATGCACACCCGTTTCAGATTCCATAGTCCACACTGGCACTCCACAAGACACGAGTCAGGAGCAGGACAGTCCGCTGACTCGGTGGAGGCCGTTCATGCAGGGGCAGTTCGCAGCAATTGGAAGTCCACTCGTGTCCAACGCTCCTGCAGTCAAAATTTTCCGACCTGGATGGAGACAGCTGCGACAGTTGGTCGTGTGTCATTCGACAGAAACGCGCATGAGTCGTCGCAGGAGCCACAATCTGCTTAGAGTTTGCTTACAGTGGGTCGAGTCGGAGGTTTCAGCCAGCCAGTGCCAGTTTCCAGATCGGCTGCCTGTTACGATTGTAACTGAGCAAAGGAACAAAGGAATATTCGTAATTGAGTCCATTGTCTATCGATGTGGCATTGTCATGGATCTTGGGTATGAGGGTTGCCCTGGTCCAGGCACGTCGAGGCAGGGCTACGCGTGCTCGAGTAAGACGTAGTCTAGGCAATTGGCAGCCCAATGCATTCGATAATTGCATTAGATTGTAAATCAGAATGGATCTCGCTCGGGCCTCGAGGACCGAAGTGCATCAGGACTGATCCGAGATCGATCTGCTCGGAGCGAGTTGCCAGCTCCACGCTGTCTAGCCCCGCTGGGTTGGTTTCATCCTGCCCTACTTAGTGTCTTGACGCCGCCGGCTCTGACTGAATCTGACATTTTCATTTTTGTTTTGTTTTTTTCTGTGCGAATATGCCTCCTCCGGCAGAGGACGCCATCCGCGCCGTCTCCGTGCTGGCCACGCAGCTCGGCAACCAGATCTCAGTGCTGATGCTGAACTACATTAGCACTTCCAAAGACCTCCCCAGCGAGTTCGGCGCACTCTCGCACACGTTCCTCGACACCTGTCGCACGCTATGGGCGATTGAGACCGGCGTCAGCGAGCTGGCAGCCGCCAACCGCGCCCTGCCAGAGGTCATCATCAACGAAGTCGAGAAGAAATTCGCCGCTGCATACGCCGACTTCCAATCGCTCGAGAAGCTCATTGGGAAGCTCAACCACTACGAGCACCGCGGGACGTGGGGGAAGCTGCAGCGCGGTTTGCACCGACCGAGCCACGAGCTGCACCGCATCCACGACTCGCTTAAGAAGACTAACGAGGCCCTCCAGATCAGCGGCATGGCCTTCCATTGGACTCTGTCCCAGGGAGACTCTCTGGAGGAGTCGTTGGGTGGAGGGTACGCCAGCCTGGCTGCTGCGCTCGACCGCATTGGTAAAGGCCGGTCAACTGAGACCGTCGACAGGAGGAATACCCCTAATCCTGATCGCTCGCTGCCTTCTGACCATTCGCAGCGGTCGTCGTCGCCCTCGGTGCCTCCAAAGGACGTCCCCTCTGCCCCGAGTCGACACGGCCAGAACCCGTCGATCGAGCACAAGCCGTCTATGGAGCAGAGGCAGGCTCCCCCAGACGACGATGAGACGATTACCGACGACATGTCTTCGATCCTATCGCTCAACGGTTTCCTTGTCTCCCAGCCCGATCGCGAGCCCGTACGAACCTCCTCTCTCCCTCAGCGCGGCCCCCCACCGGCCAGAATCGGTCCTACAACGGCGTCAATTGCGGAGGTATACAGCAGACACACCAGCGAGGTGCCCAGCCAGGCCAGTAGGCTTGCCAAACCGCAGCCTGACACGCCTGCGCGGTATTTGAATGTGGCTGTGAGCCAGCAGAACACGGAGAGCATGCGCCAGCTGCTGGCTCAGGGTGCAGACCCGAACCAGCAGACGAGCAGTGGCACGACGCTGCTGATCCAGGCCATCCGCGAGCGCACGCCAGCTACCGTGCTGAACATCCTGCTGGACGGCGGCGCTGATGCAGACCGTAAAGACAACTACGGCAAGACGGCGCTGTCCGAAGCGGTGCAGAGCAACCAGCCCGACAGCGTGGCCGCCCTGCTCGACCACGGCGCAAGCCCTAACTTGCCGGGCCCCGAGCACGCCCTCTGGCCTGCAGTCTATCGCCCCAACTGTCTGCGCATCCTGCTCGCTCGCGGCGCAGACATCACCAAGACCCCCGGTCTAATGGAGCAGGCCACCAGCGTCAACAGCATCGACGCCGTCCGCGTGTTGCTCCAGGCAGGCATCGACCCAAACTGCAAGAAAGACGGCATCTACACGCCCCTCTGCTCCGCCATCCGCGACGACCGCCCAGACATCATCTCCCTCCTGCTCTCCCACAAGGCAGACCCAAACCTCAAGGCCTCCGAATACCCAGCCTGGAAATGCATCACCCACAACCGCATCCACTTCCTCCCCGACCTCCTCGCCGCCGGCGCAGACCTACACTCTCCCCCGGGTATCGCCGAGTGCGCCGTCTCCCACAACAACCTCCAAGCCCTAACCTGGCTCCTCCAAACCGGCGGCGTCAATCCAAACGACCGCACAAAAGCCGGCCACACAGCCCTCACAACCGCCCTCCGCGATAACCGTCTCGAGATGCTGCAGTTTCTCCTCGCGCACGGCGCAGACCCTAACCTCCGCGGCCAGGACTGGCCCATCTACATGGCCACAAAGTCGCCATCCCTCCTCAAGCTCCTCCTCCCAAAAGTCACCAACCTAGCCTCCCATAAAGGCGTCGTCGAGCGCGCCGTACACGCCAACCAACTCGACAGCGTCAAACTGCTCCTAGACGCCGGCGCCTCCGCGGAGTGGAAGAACGGTGGCGTCTTCTCCCCTCTCACTACGGCGCTGCGGGAGAAACATAACCACATTGTACACTTCCTCCTTGAACCTGATACCAACACCAACACCAAGGACGGTAAGGACGGAAGTAGGTGCAGGGCAGACCCCAACGCCCCCGGCGAGCATCTCCCGCTGGTAAAAGCCATCCGCCGCTGCGATGACGGGGACTTCTCCATGATCTCGCTGCTTCTTAGTAAAGGCGCGGACCCGAATAAGAGCTACCGCGGCTGGAACGCGATCATGCAGGCGATTGAGAACCGGGATCTGCCATTGTTGCAGCTGTTGGTTGAGAAGGGGGGGAAGGTGGATTTTACCCAGAAGGATGAGACGGGCAGGACGGTGTTGGAGATGGTGGAAGGGGATGGGTGGGAGGAGGGGAGGGAGGTTGTTATGGCTGGACGGACTTGATATACCACTCTATCTTATGTATGTATGTACTAGTAGGCTGTCGCTGGTTGATGGTCTGCCGTTCTTTCCTTGATGGAGACTAATTTCCTTAATGTTTATGTTTGATGTCGTGATGTTATAAAGTTGGTAAAGGTTACTTACCCTAATAAGCACCGAGTTTATGGTAGAAAGTAGATAAGCTAGGAGACGGAAACCGGTGTATTATAAGATTCCATATATTGGTATAATCCACTTCATGAGCTGAGCTCAGTCCCATTGTATGGGCACATATCATCATGGAAGAGAGTTGTTAGCTCACTCTTCGCTCTCAGGGTCAGCTCCATCTGGCAGATCTATATAGCCGTCTTCGGCTGTGCGCATAGAAGCTGCCTTTTGGCAGGATCTCTTATCCAAGCCATAGACCGACAGAATGTGCCCATCACCACCAAGGACCGGAAAGTCGATGGTTTCATCAAGCCAGAGGTGTTTGAAGTTATTGGCCATCTGTGGCTTCCATAAATCATGGCCCACTAGGTTCAGTATTGCAACCACGCCAGGGTTCTCTATGCGTGTGTCATAGTACCCAGGCCAGCTTGAGCGCCTTCTAATGCCGCACAGCAAATCCCGCGGCATTGGTATCTCCATTTCTTGATCCGGCCAGTTATCAGACGGCGGATCGAGATCGTAATTCTCGAGATATCCTCTTCCCTTCCTTCTCCAAATCTGGGGTTCATCTTCATAAACAATGCCCGTGCAACTGACCTGCAAATACGATATAGTCGGCACGTAGGTATAACCTGGATCAAGATTGTTCCAACCCATCGACACGCCATCTGTCTTTGCTGAGGTCTCTGTAATGGACCCCGCCCGATTGCTCTGCCGAGAGCGTGTACTCGCCAGTCACTTTCGAATCCCCAAACTTGGCCGACACTCCAATTTTCCATCCGTGCATTGTAGATCTCGTCGTCGTGTAGCTAATATCTCTTTGATAACTGCAGGTTGGTCCTCCTGGATTGTCGTAAATGTGGCAGCAATCCTGTGCTGGTCCATTGGCGCTGACTGTAACGGGCTTGTAGCTGCAGTTTCCGGCCTTGAAGACGGATAGACTGGTGTTGAGGCGGGATTTTAAAAACCATGGGCATCTCCACTGATCTATTGCTTTCCAACTGTAGTCAAACTTATCATCCAGGGTGAGGTTTCGGAGTTCTGGGTAAGCATCGAGAACGGAACCTCCTACAACGGCGGCGATGGTATTAAGAGCAACGAGGGAAAACAGCGCCGCTCGGAACATTTCGTAGTGCTGCTCTTCTATCAATACCAAGTGAAACGAATCGGGTACGGGCAGTAACTGGTGGGCTTTGTAGAGCCTTGGATTTGATCCCACTTTGATAGGTGATTCTGGTTGTGAGGTTTAAGGCTACCAACCAGCTAATATGCATAAGTACTACTTGTGGTAGGCTGCCCGGCAACATATTCCAGTCAAGTCAATCCAGGGCTATTTTGTGTAGCATTCCAAAGCAAACCTCTGGAAACAAATGCCAAACGAAGGCAGAGGAATCATATGCAATTGGTATGTATCTACTCTGCATACTTGGGCCACGAAGCATGCACGACTGGTCTACTTGAGGCTGTCCCTGTAATCTGTAGGTGTTATACTCCATATATATCTGCTGTTCAATTCTCAGACGAGTCTTATTATCAACTGTATACGACAAGGGATTCGGCCGTGGGTCTACCTGATTGGAATGTACGGGCCGCTCCTTGGTGAATGCAATTGTTCACGCATTCTTGTATCGAGAAATGACAGGATGCTACTTTGTACTACGTGAATTCCCGCATTCTTGGATATTATAACCCTTAGCCGGACTGGGTTGGCCTGGTCCGTGGAGCAAAGGTTCTGTACAGGCGTCTTCAGCTCCCTGGAATCTACAGGTAGGTAGATGTTGCGATACAAGTTTCAAAGTCGGTTTTGATTAGCACTGTGACAGGAAGGAAGTCTATCTAATTTATTCTTGTTTTACTCTTCTGATCTATAGTACAAGTCTAGTTCAACCAACCACTTGGACCACCCCAGGTCCCCTTGACCATGGACTTAAAGTACACCCAAGGAAAAAAGTCCTTCTTGAGATGATAGAATGCCCTGCGCGGCGTCGCCTGGTCCAGTCCCATCCATCTGAATGTCTCTTTAGGCACGCCGCCATACTTGAACTCCGCAAGAAGAACCTTGCCGTACTCCGTCGTCAACGGACAGGAAGTATACCCATCATACGTAGAAGCAGGCGCCTTACCCTCCATAGCAGATATCAGATTCCGAACAAGAACAGGCGCCTGGGATGTAATCGCCGCCGCAGTCTTCGAAGTCGGCAGACTGGACGCATCACCGGCAGACCAGACATTATCAAACTTGACATGTCTCGTCGTCTCGGGATCAACATCCACAAACCCAGCCTCATTCGCAAGACCACTCTCCTTGATAAACCCATGCGGTCCCATTTTAGGAACTGCATGCAAAAAGTCAAACCGCCTCGTTACATACTCGCCCCCAACTGCAAAAGTCGCCTTATCCCCATCAACCGCAACAAGATCATGCTGGAACAGGGCCTGCACTCCACGCTCGCGCCGAATCTCATCCAACTTGGCACTATACTTGGGCACTCCAAACATAACAGGAAGGCCTGTGGCGAACTCGATCTTAATCGGCGATTGCTTGTCGCCGTACTTGTATAGACCAGCCCTGCGCCAATAATCCGACGCCAACCACATAATCTTCTGCGGCGCGCCGGCGCATTTCACCACGCCTGCAGGCTGCGTAAACAGCGCCGTCCCCTGGCCAAGTCTCTCAATATTGCGGAAAACCTTGTCGCACGTATCGTACCCGTATATCGACGAGACAGGCGCATGTGCATCCGCAAGAGCTTCAGGGAGGCCCTGGATAGCTCCATAATCAATCTTAATCCCCGGCGCGACCACAAGCTGGGTATACTCTAGTTTATCCCCGTTGTCCAGGGTAAGCTGGTTCCGGTGTGGTGTGAAACTTGTAACGCCCTGGTTGTAGAATTGCAGTTTCGGATCAATGAGCCCGCGCAGGTCCTGGCGCAGGGAGGTTTTGGATTTCACGCCGCCGCCGACCAAGGTCCATCCGGGCTGGTAGTGGTGCCAGGTTGCGGGGTCGACGATGGCGATGTCCTGGGCTGTGAATTGGCCGGAGCGGAGGAGTTGGTGGCTTATTGATAGCCCTGCGGAGCCGGCGCCGATGACGATGATTTTGTGGGAGCGTGATGGGCTTGATGTGATGGTTGATGCTAGTCTTGTGGTTGGGGATAGCCTGGATAGGGCTGTGAGAGGCCTGGTGCACTTGAAGATCATGACAGCAGAATAATCGAATAAATGCAATGAGAGAAAGATAGCAGTAATTAGTAGTATGCGAGGCAGGATCCTATAGTAACTTATAATAACAAGCCGTTGTTGATGTTATGATCTCACTCGCCGTTTGATTCAATCGGCGACCAGCAATGCATATACATCATGCAACTATTTACTTAGGTATCGGGCTATCCCACTTCAGCGGCAAATGCAAAAGCCGATACCCAGAGCCCGTCTTCTCCGGCAATCGTCCAGCCCGAATATTCACCTGCAGCGCCGGATGAAGCAGCCTGGGCTCCGCCATAGCGGCGTCCCTCTCGCCTCGCATTCTCACATACTCCTCTAACGTCGTCCCATCCATCAGGTGTTTATTGTGCTTTCTGTGCTCGCGCACATTCATATACGGACTCGGACCCGCCCGGTCTTGTGGGGGATAGTCGTGCCCAGTCCAGATTTTGACGCCGTCTTGTAGAGTTAATAGTTTACGTCCTGAGTGGAACATATCCCTTGCACTTCCTCCTGGGAAGTCACATCGTGCTGTTCCGATGTCTGCGTGGAAGATGGAGTCGCCGCAAAAGACGTTTTCTGTGTCGTTAGTTGGCTGAAGTGGTATACAGTGTAAAATGTGGTGCTCACCTCCAATCCGATATCCAACATGATCCGGGGTATGTCCCGGAAGATGCATAACAGAAGCATCCAACGATCCAATCTTAAACCCCTCGTCGTCATTAAAGTACTTCCCAAAGATACCTTTATACTCGGCCTCGGAAACCCCATAGCGCCCACCAAACAAGGTCTGGACTTGCTCGATGCGCTTCCCAATACCGATTACCGGTTCAAGTCCCTGAGACTGGGAAAGTTGGTTCTGCAGATACGATGCCGCAGTGATATGGTCTGCATGGATGTGCGTTTCGAGGATCATAGCGATCCTGTAGCCGTTCTCTTTGACGGTCTTGAGGATCCCGTCTGCGCTGTTCGTTGTTATGGTCTGGGTTGCGCGGTCGTAGTCGAGGACTGGGTCGATGATCACGCCTTCTAGCGAGGAAGGGTCGACGACGATGTATTGCCATGTTGAGGTGTTTGGTTCGAAGAGCGCGTGGATTGTTGGTTCGTCTGGTTTGGTTGATTTGACGAAGCACTTTTCTTGACTGGCGGGAGTGGGGGTCATGGTTCGTGTGGAGAGTGGACGGGGTGGTTGGATTGGTCTTTGTAGTCTTTGGCTGGTAAAGGTGTTGTTTCTAGAACTGTAGGGTCGATGGATACAATGGATATGGCGTGGAAGTTCGGAGACTATATATCGAGTATGTCCCCGACATCGTGAGACGGGGACTTGGATGGTCTCCGAGGTCAAGCAGTGGCCGAGTCTATTCGCGCGGGAGAACATATTCAACAATGCAAATGCTGCCTTATGTTGATAGTGGGTATGCATACATGCTGTCAAGTCTTATAATGACGTCCGATGGATCGGCGATTGAGCAGTCGGCGACGAACCACAACTCCCCGAGGACACCGAGCGAATGCCGATATTGAGCCTATCATTTAGGTCCTTGTCGGGGAGTGTTTAAAATAACTGCCATGTTTCATAACAGGTGGTCTAGGCTGGCCGTACAGTGATCCATGACTAGGTCTATGTATTCCCTCGAGCAGAGCTTATACCCTTGAGATATTTAGTATCGTGTCACTGGACTGAAGGCTGTCTATTTGCTGAAGGCTGGTTTGATCTGCGATGCGATATTGAGTACAGGTAAGGTGAAGCTATGATAGTCAGCACCGTGCTTTATCTCGTGTTCTAGGCCTAGAATAAATTAACAAGAGGTGATGGCTAAATTAAAGATAACAACCATGGTTCATAGAAAACATACCTCGCCACCTCACCATGATCACTCCATGGCGTCATACACACTCAACACCAAACCAAAATACCAAAATACCAAAATCCCCGTACAATTGCAATCAAGACTCATTTAACACAGCGCAATGTCCATCTACGAAAACATCGTCGCAGCGCGCGACCGACACAGCCAGATCCTCTCCTCGCTCGCAGCCGTCGACCGCGCCCCCGCAGCCCTAAAGTCCCACGACGTATACCTCTCCGACCTCCGCTCCGAACTCAGCCAAACGAACCGCGATCTGCAAGATGTCCGAAAGCAGACTCATGCCGAGCGCGAGAAACACGCCAGCTTCAGGGACAGTACAGTGCGGCGGCTGATGTACCGGGCGACGGGGAAGCGCGCGGACTTTGAAGAGCGCGCGGAGAAGGAGATGAGGGGGTACTATGGCGCGCTGGAGCGGGAGAATGAGACGCAGGCGCAGAAGGAGATGCTTGAGGCGCAGATTGGCGAGGCTGTCAGTCGGAAGAGGGAGCTTGAGAGGGCGTGTAATGAGCGGGCGGCGCTGAGTGATGAGCTTGAGGCTATGTATAGGAGTTTATTCGAGGGTCCGACGGAGGAGTTCCCCGAGGAGGATGCGCAGGAGCAGGTTACCAAGACAGCGCAGAGACGGTATGGGGAGCTGAGTGAGCGGCTGGACAATATCAACCGGGCGGCGCAGTGTCTGGCCAAGGCGCAGCTGACGATTAAGCAGGCGCTGCTGGGTCTGTTTGAAGCTGTGCGGCACTGCGAGAGAGATGTTTGGGGGTTTGGGGGTATTCTTGCGGATATGGGGCAGCAGAATTGTCTCTCACAGGCGCAGCAGAAGGTCAGCCAGACGCAGATGCTGGTGAACCAGGCGATGCGTCTTGATCACCATGTGCAGCCGCTGCCGGCGATGAATATAGTGCAGCATGACATGATCAGCGGGCTTATCTTCGACAATGCGTTCTACAACATCAGCTTTCTGAAGAGAGTGCAGGAGTCATTCAACGAGGTGAAACAGGCCGAGCGCGCCCTGGGGGTGCAATTGAGACGCACAAAGTCTCGCGCAGCAGACATGCAGGAGGACGTTGGTGAAGCTACAGCGACTCTCGACAGCGCGCAACAGGAGCTGCGCAGGATCAGAGAGCAGGCTTTTATGCAGGCTGCTGAGCCGCCGCCGCCGTATTCAGAGAAGACGTCTGAAGTTGAATCAGGGCTGGAAACTGGGTCCCAGGTCTAACATAGTTAATAATTAGGCCACTATCATAACTACCCTAACGAGAGCATAACGTTATGCCACAACCATATATCCCGTCAACAATCCCACAATGTAACAAACATCAACACTACACAATCTAAAATTCCAAGTCTACACTCCGTTACTTTATTTAATTTGAAAATGCAATCCCTCCTCGCAACCTCCCGCATGGCCGTCGGCCTCGGCTTCCTCACCATCCCCAAACACGTCGCAGCCCTCTTCAACATGCCATTCAGCCCGGAAGCCTCAATCGGGTGTCGAATGGCAGGGTCCCGCGATATTATTCTCGGCGCTCTGCTGTATACCTGCTATTCGAAGCAAGGTTACCGCGGTACCGCAGTCGAGAGGCCGAAGAATGGTGACCAACATGAACAGCATGGCTGGACAGATACGCAGCGCGCGCTGCTCGCTGGTGTAGTAGTCGATGCACTGGACGTTTTGGCTTGTTGGTGGTGTTATTGCGATGGAGCGTTGCCACTTACGCCGGCGTTACTTCTTGGTGGTGGTGCGGCGGTTCTCTGTGATATTGGGGCTTATTGCTTGTATGTGCAGAGCCGTTGAGAACGGGCCGTTCTGTATGTACGAAGACTGTCTTTTCTATTCTATTCTTGTATGATACGTATCTATGGCAAACTCAAAAACGCCAGAAAGATCTCATAAGTAGACTGCAGCAGCATCGTCTCCTCATCGGTATACGTCCCATTAAACACCGGATCAGGAGTCATGGTATCCTGATCAATCTCTCTATCAAACACCAACTGACTCACATCATGCACATCCGTAACAGGCAGTTCCCCATCAAGAAGATAATCTCGAATGGCGCTTACCAGACCCAGCGATGCAAGACTCATGCTCGTATGCCCAGGCCCACGCCTCATAACAAGCCGCGAAGACGAACCCAGCCAGCCATTCAGTCTCTGAGCAGATGTCACAGGCGTACTGGGATCATGCAGCGCATTCACAATCAAAACCGGTGTATCCCGGGCAGAGAGTATTCTATCCGTGCGGCCGGATTTCAGCATCCCAGCACCGAGATTCGACACTCTGGCCCTTTTATTTGGGAAATTCCGGCAGAAGGACAGTGTCGCCAGATCAGCATTCAGCCAGGGCGTTTTCTCTGCAAGGGAGATATTCAGGACTAACTTGGCCAGTTCAGGCACGGTCATGTGGTTTGTCGGCGCGTTGTCGATGCACTGCAAAGGCCACCCAGCTAGGGACCCTGTATCTGGAGCAGAGTAGTTCGTTACAGAGCCAGATCCCATTCCGTCTGTGAGAAGATCTGCGAGGGGTCCTGCATCGCCAGTCTCCAGTGCACTAACGGCAGATGCAACCGCCGGCCAGGTAGTCGGCAGTTTAATGAATGAGTACATGAAGAAAGAAAAGGTGCTGACATCGATCGAAAACGAGCCGTCCGGGACTAGAACGGGGGATTCATATAGAGAGGCCTGCAGAGTCGCAAGACGCTTTCTGATGTCCAATGTACTATTTAGGGCTCCCTGAGGTCTACTCAGAGCGCACCCATCCGGCCCCGCGTCGGTGCAGAATTCAACCAGGTCGTCGATTGCATCGCGCACGAACAGCTCGTCGTTGGGCAGTTGACTTGCGTATGTCTTTGCGTTTGCCTCGGGGTCAAAGACGCCGTCGAAGACAATGCGCCCCACGCGCTCGGGGAACGTCTGGATGAATTCCGCGCCGAAGATCGTCCCATATGAGAAGCCCCAGTAGTTTAGTGTTGCGTTGTCCTTGCCCTCTAGGGCGTCGGCGATGGCGGCCATGTCTCGCGCGACGTAGGCGGCGCTGGAGGTGTAGAGTGCTGTGGAGTTATGCTGGGCGCATGCGTTTGCGAGAGGCGCGACCTGCGCGTCGTAGTCCTGGATGCCGGAGTAGAATTCAGGCATGTAGCTCTGGTTTGTGAGCTGGGAGTATTCGATGTTTGCGGCGCCGGCGACTGAGTCGGCTGCTTCGATCTCTTCGCCGGTGGAGTTGAAGCATTGTAGTAAGGGTCTTGCTGAGCCTACGCCGCGTGGATCCCAGGAGGCGATGTCGTAGAATCCGCCTGTGATGTTGGAGATTGCCTCGCCGGCGCCATTGACGAGGAAGTCGATGCCGGATGAGCCTGGGCCGCCGGGGTTTGTGAGGAGATGGCCCTTGCGCTGGGATGCTGGGACTGTGGCGTTGAACCGCGCGAGGGGGATATGCGCGAGATGGCCATTGTCAGGGTCGGCATATTCGAGGGGGACGGTGAGGGTTGTGCAGTCGAGGGCTGGGCCGGATGTGCACGGCGACCATTGCAGAGCTGCAATGGCAGGGACAGCCTGCAAGAGCTGGGTCGACCACTGCAGGGCCATGATCATGGACACATCTCAAGCCGGGGGCGTCTTAACTCTTTAAATGTGTCAAAAAGAGGCCAGTCCACTCGGGAGGAAACCCGGAAATGAAAAATGTGTCGAGTGGGAACAGGGCCACAACAGGAGAGAGGCATTGACGCTGGGCAATGAAGATCCAGCATTGTTCAGGTTAGCTGGAGGAGCTGCAAGATTGATAAGATGCATCGAACCCCCACTGTCCGTCGTCACCGTGAACTGTGGACCTGATATCACACTGTGACTCGTCCGGTTAGGGCTTCGTGTGGCACCCGCGTGGGGTCCCATTCGCGCTTTCTGCTGCATCAGGATAACAACCACGATGATCATGCATGAACCCGATTCCATCCTTCGGTCTGCTAATTCACCCAATGGCAGTCTTCGGAATGTCAACATCCCACTGCTGGTAGCAAGGGTGCTGTTTCCGTTGGAGACTCGAATCAAGACTGGCGGCTGTTATATCGTCAGCACGAGTCAGGCAAGCATCACCTCAGGGACTGAGTCTGCAGTATCTTGGCCGGCCCATCCACAGCTTCTCCACCGTATGTATTTGACATCCACCTGAAACGTCATTCCCCAGTAGTCGGTTAAATACCGGAACATCCGGTCGCGTCAGACTCGTTCAACACGACTGTCTGTCTCGAGGACTGTCTTCCTGGATAAAGATCCCCTCAAGAGAGTCAGAATTCCGGCTGATGTCAAGTTCTAGATACTCTGAGCGCTCATATTTTAGTTAGCTAGGGCGGACGTCGTGAACATCCATCTTCCAAGCCCTAACTGATATAATCGACTTAATGAGCGGAACTAATAATCTCTGGAATGGATGCCATAATATTAACTATGTATCTGGTTTATCATTCTGGTACATACGACTGGGCTTGTAAAGGAGCTTGATGAGGTCTAGCCTGGGAGTTTTAGTTTACTATGCAAATGCAGTCTAACGAAACGAATTCTGAAACTAATTCAAGAATAGCTAGTACTATCTGTCTATTCATAGTACGCATGAGGCGAACGCGCATTCGCAATGTAAAAGCTAGAGTTCGCGGCCTATTCCTCGCCACACAGGCGGACATCTTTCAACCCTGTGATGAGTTGAATATCAGCCAGAAGATCTCTAGTAGCTGTGAAATAACCCAGATCATAGTCTCCGGAGCCTCCAAACATCATCCCGAGTACGCCGCCATAATCATTAAAAACGAGGGAGCCCGAGTCGCCTTCCTCTGTGGCTTTGTCTCCTGTTCTCAGCATTACGTGCTCCCAAGTCTTGACTTCGACCCTTTTCCCGTTTATGATCTTCTTGACAATATTGCAGGTCCTCAGTCCACCGTACGTTCCAGGTGTATGGCCTGTTGCTCGGCCGACCTTGAGCAGCGTGTCTCCGAAGCCGGGAATATCAGTCTGCAATCTTGTGAGCTTTTCCCATCCCGCTCCGGGCCCAGTGGAGGGTGGCTGGGAGTTATGGATTAGCAAATGTTCAAGTATAATATAATCTGGGAAATGCTTACCGTCATCGTGTTTTCCCCTGCGCGCCGAGATGGGGCTGGTTGGACCAGGGCCCAGTCTCTGATGGACAGCTTCGTGGGATCATCAGTAGATTGCATTTCGCGTTCTCCAGAGGCCGCGAAAACCATTCCCAGGTGGTGAGACTTGGAATTGAAAAACTCGGTCATATGGGTCTGGTCACCTTCCATGGCCCTGATGATTTTTGATATGGTCCGCCATATGTTTTCCTTATACGGCACGATAAACCCGTCTTCCCGCCTAAGGTTCTCTACCTCTTGGTACGGCGGTTTGGACTTTTGTGCTTCAATGTCGGCGGCAATTGACTTGAGGCCTTTTTTCATGTCACGATAGCTTGGAGAGTCGACTGGGAGCAGGCGAGCTCTATGCGTGTCCCTTTGGTTTACGCCGCGATCTTTCCACTCTCGGATTACTAGACAAGCTGATGTTAGTCCTGCTATTTCACAAAGCCTCGCATGAATACATACCTTTCAGGTCCTCTTCGCATAGTTCTTCCTCCACCGGAAAGCAGCAGTGGGAGCATGTCAAGGCAAATGGCAACCACTCCCCTGATGTAGGGGCCTTCACTTCAACCCATCCACCGAGGGTGCCATTACTGTCATGGGCGGTGCGAGGACTTATGCTAGCTCCCATTTTCGGGTCTAGACGACAATGCTCACGCCTGGCCCCGGGGTCCTGGTTGCCGGGCTGTCCATCTCTTGTGGTTTTGTTGTCCTTCCTGATGGCAACGGCGACGGCAGTAAGGTTATATCTATCCAAGATAGATATAACTGCCTCTCTTAAATCCCTCCAATCCCTTCTCACATTCTTGTCGACTCCCAAGAGAATTGTCGGTGGGCACTTGTGCAAGTCATAGTCACTCCCTATACGGAAGCAACCAATTGTAAAAACCCCAGTACGGTCAATTCCGTCAAAGATGTCTGTGCCGACTTGCGTCCAGATGGGGAAAATGGCATCAGTTGGTAGACAGGGGTGTATCTTGGGACGCTCGGAAAACTTCGGGTCAGTTATCTCTACATTGAGCCCTTGCAGTCCCTGACCGCGAAGGTGGTTCGAGAGCTTCCTGGCAAGGCTGATCCAGCTGCCCTGGGACTGGTCTCGTCTCGCCACAACCAGCAAGGTGAATGTTATACTAGTCGTTGGTTCGTAAACAGACCGTCTCCCGCAGAATCGCATTGAGATGGGCTGGACATTCTTGCGCTGGCAAATGTTGCGGAGTTGGGTGTCTAGGATGTAGGATCCATGCCCCTGGAAAAGATCGTGGTTCCAATATATACGCGGTAGCGTCTCGGTTGTCTCACAGGGCGACTCGGGAAGTCGAGGCCCCCCTGCCCGCAGGTCAGTTTCCTCGAACCCATCTGGACCAGGGCGCAGGCTCTCGTCACTTGATGAGCCGTCCGACCTTCTGGCTCGAGATAGGGGAGGGGCTGGGGCGAACAGAGTTGGTGGGCGAGTCCGGATTGCCGGTGATGCGTACGAGAGCTCGGCTGGTAGTACTTGCGCGATCAGAGGATTGGCGATGAGCCCAGCCATGATCTAATGTATATTGTACTGTGGGATTTTGAGAATGGAAGGAGAGAAAGTTGAAAGAAGAGATTTGAAGAAAGAAGGTGGAAGGAGAGGAAGAGCGAGTATATAAGCTTTACAAGCCGGTGACTGCGCCGGTAAAGATCCCCAGACCTGTGGTCAGTTGCTATTTTCGTGGTTGCAACAGTGAAAGGGGCAAATGGCCTGAAAGTAAAATCACTTAGAGGCGAATTGTTTCCCCAGAACTGTGTTATTTGAGTACAGGGGTGGGCCAATGAGTTGGGGCTGTGGATGGGCTGATTCAATGGAAAACTCTCTACAAAGTCAATATAGAAAAGAGTGCGATCTTTTATTGAACACAGCCATGTTAGGTGAAAAGTTTTCAGGAGTTCAATAAATAGTCTTGGTAAAGTTTGTGGAAGAGTGGATGGCCAATAGTTAGGGCATGGGCTGATAATTCTATCCAATAATCCGCTCCAGGTACTTCAGCCAGTTCTCTCCCAGCACCTTTCGCATCTTCTCCTCTGGCCATCCTGCACGAGCCATGGCCTTTGCCAGCTCTGCGCGGTCCTTCAACAACCCCAGTGGCTTGACCACCGTCTGACTCCCCCAGCGCGTCAGTCTCCGGGCATACCCCTTATCCAGGTTGCACCAGGCCATGAACTCACTGGGCCTGGCATGGCCCTCACTCGCATCAGACCCAACACCAACCAAATCCTCCCCGACAAGGCCAATCACGTAGTCCAGCGCAGCAACATAGTCGTCAATCGTCGACTCATTCCCCTTCTCCATATGCGGTCCAAACTGGCTAATCCCCACAAACCCGCCCTTCTCCCCAAGTAGTTTCAGCAGCTCGTCATCCTTATTCCTCGGATGCGCCTTCAACCCCCCTGGCAACACATGGCTGAAACACGGCGGCTTCTCTATACTCGCATACTCAATCACATCGCGAGTCGTCACCGGCCCAACATGGCTCAAATCAACCACTATCCCCAACCTCCCCATCTCATCCACCACCTGCCTCCCAAACCCCGTTAGCCCGCTATCCCTTAGCTCCGTATATCCCGCCCCGCTGTAGTTCTGCGTGTTATACGTAAGCTGCATCTTGCGCACGCCCAGATCCCGAAACACACGCAGGTAATCAATCTGGTCCTCAATACCTGCCGTATTCTGCCAGCTCAGCAAGACAGCGGTTTTGCCATCCCTCTTGGCGGCGCGGATATCCGAGACGCTGTGTGCTTGTGTTATGAGGTCGCTGTGCGTCTCGAACCATTTCTTCCATTGGACTACATTGGCGATGGAGGCGCGGAATCCTTCCCAGATTCCGCAGGTGCAGGAGACGCCTGTGATGCCGCCGTCGTGCCAGGCTTGGAAGATTTCGGGGGACCAGTTGGCGATGTTGAGGCCATCGAAGTGGATGGCGTCGTTGTAGATTTGGACGGCTTCGGATGGGGTGACCATGTTGAGAATATTTAGAATAGCAGGGTAAGATTATGAAGGGTTGATGGCGAGGGAGAGTGGATGTTAAGAAAGGGACTGAACCGGGGACTGTCCGATGTAGATTTCCTATTTGGGACGGATATGGCGTGCTCCAGAATTGGAGAATCTACATCTAGACCGACGACTCAATAGATACTGTTAGATATCCAAATCATATCATAAATTCGCCTTAAAATAAAATCCCAGCTCCTCCAGAGTCGTAATATCCCTCCTCCTCTCCCCCAACATCTGCGACGCCTTCTTTATATCAGGAAATCTCTCCCTCATCCACCTCTCCCTCTCTCCCCAGAATGGCGGCTCTTTTCCCCGTCCATCATTCTCAAGCCCCTCCTTCCTCGTCGAGGACATGCTAATCTCATAAAGCGAGTTGATATACTCCGCATCAAGCGGGAACGCAAGACTATTACTCCCTCCTTGGGCATCCATCCAATCCGTAATCCACCGCGCCATCTCAGTGTAAGATGGGAGAGATACGCGTCCTGCAAAAACCCTTGCAACCCATGCGCTCTGCGCCTGGCTAAACGGGAACGGGACGATGCGCTGTGGTGTCCCGATGAATGCGATTGTTGGTTCGTGGGTGTAGAATACGTGTTTGAATAGATTATCAGGTCTGGATTGATCTGTGTTAATGGGTGGGGTGAGTGAGGACAGGAAGGGCGTGGTGAAGTGGTATCCTGTGCAGAAGACTATATGGTCGATGTCTCTCTCTGTGTGGTTGTCTGCGAAGGAAACTGTTTTGGATTTCGGGTTGAGGGTGGTTATTTCTGGGATTAACTTCGAGGTTTTCTCTTGCTGGGAGGATAGAGGTGCTTTTGATGCTCGCTCAGAGATGAGAAGAGGATGTTTTGATACTGCACTGATCTGGGCTGCGATGTCGATTCCTGACGCGGAGTGGCCGACAACGATTACTTTCTGTGTAGTTTAGTATTGAACTTTACTATGCGGATATTCGTACCTTGTTTGCAAAAGGTCCTGAACGTCGATACACAGATGAATGCACGATCGAGCCAGGATACTGCCGATTCCACTCCTCTAGACCGGGGATAGCTGGGATATTCGGCTCGTTATAATGCCCATTGGCAACCACTACCGCATCAAACTGATCAGTGGAGACTGTATCAGACTTGATATCCCGCCACGTTACAGTCCATTCAGCTTTTGGGCTTCTCGACAGGGATATATCCAGGACCTGCGAGCGGAAGCGTATCAACGGGCGTAACTCCTCCGCATACCGATGCAGATACTCCTTGACAACATAATGCGACGGAAACAGCGCCGTCCCAGAGGGAAAAGGGGCTTCGCGGTACTGCATCAGGGAGTTGGGGATGTTTGTTTCGAGCGAGTCGTATACTGGAGACGCAAACGTTCCATCCACCACTTGGCTTGGACTGCTGCTGGTGCCCTCATCGCCGGTATAATTCCAAATACCGCCAGGCTGGTCGCGTTGTTCGAATACGGTAATTGTCTTGAATTTGCGCTCGGCGACCATATACCTAGATTGTCAGTTGACTCGCTTTAATCAGAAGGAGGCCTTGGAAAGGAAGCCTACTTTGCAGCAGCCAGACCACAAGGGCCAGCTCCGATGATTGCAACACGGTCGATATCCATCTGGCTGTAACTACAATTCTGCTACAGCACGGCAAATGGCAAAACAGTGATTTAAACAATTTAAACACCAGTCCAGACCCACATTATACCAATTGGAGATTTGGAGACAGCTAACCCTATCTTGTATAGCTGGACGCTGACGCCATCGCCGCCGGGATTGCATCCTGCAGAATTCGCTGGAAATGGTAAAAAAGAACGGATCTTCTCCGGCCATCCTATGTTAGTCGACTTGTGGAGGCCATGGTGTGCTCGTACGAGTCATTCTACGGGTAATCGCCTATGCACCCGTATATATGGAATTGAACCCAGAATCTGTTTCCCTGCACAGATTCAGTTTATTCAGAATGAGTGCTTCTGATAACAAGGTCGACACTGAAGTCGAAGGCCATGAAATCGACCAGCCGCAGACACCGCAGCCCCAAACCCGACGAGCGCGCCTCAAGGCTGCTATCTGGGATACATGGGACAAATCGCCAGAAGAGCGCCGTCTCGTGCAGAAGGTCGACTGGTGGCTGCTGAGTTATGCCTGCATTGCATATTTCATCAAAGCCCTGGACCAGGGTAACGTACGTCGGACGCCTACCTATTTATCAGTCCTATTGCTAATACAAACAGACATCAAACGCCTACGTCTCCGGCATGAAAGAAGCCCTCGACCTCAAAGGCAACGACCTCAACTACCTAACCACCTACTGGAACATCGGGTACATCCTAGGCCAGATCCCGTCGCAGCTCGTGCTCACCAAAATCCGGCCCTCAATCTGGCTCCCAGCCCTCGAGTTCCTCTGGAGCTGTCTCGTAATGGCCCTCGCCGGCGCCAAAAACGTCCAGACAATCTTCGCCCTGCGCTTCTTCATAGGTCTCTTCGAGGCATCTGCTTACCCCGGCATCATCACCTTGCTGGGGAACTGGTACACACCCGCTGAACTCGGTAAACGAGCCGCCATCTTCCAAGCCTCGTCTAGCGCGGCGAATATGTTCTCCGGCTATCTCCAGGCGGCGCTGTATTCAGGCATGAACGGCCGCGCAGGTCTCGCAGCTTGGCAGTGGCTGTTCATCTTCGATGGGATATTAGGCATCCCCATCTCGCTATATGGATTCTGGGCGATCCCCGATTCACCAACCGACTCGCGAAACCACTGGCTAAGTAAAGACGAGACGTCGCGCGCAGCACAGCGCATGCGAGACGTCGGCAGGGCACCAGCAAAGAAACTCACCGTGCGCACGATCCTCGACGTCTTCCGCTCCTGGCCGGTGTGGCTGTTCTCGACTGTCTTCATTGCGCATGTCCTTGGGCTGCGCATCTACTCGTACTTCAATGTCTGGCTGAAATCGACCGGCAAGTACACGACGGAGCAGGTGAATGTGATCCCGTCGGCGGGGTATGGGCTGCAGATTCTCTGCACGCTGATGTATGCGTGGACCAGTGACTATATCCAGGTGCGATGGCCGGTTATTGTGCTTGCTTGTGTCCCCGGGATAGCTGGCACTGCGATACTGAGTGTCTGGCCGGAGCAGAACACGGCTGCGATGATGGCCGGGTGGTTACTGACGTATGCGGAGACGGGGGCTGGGATCTTGTTTACCTCGTGGGTGAGCGAGACGTGTGGCTTTTCGGCGGAGCATCGGGTTATTGTGATTGGGGTGATGGAGGCTGTGGCGTTTACATTCAATGCGTGGGTGCCGCTGCTGGTTTATAATACGGGGGAGAAGGCGCATTTCAGGATTGGATATCAGATGGCGGCGATGTTTTTTGCGGTCGAGTTGGTGTTGACGGTGGGGATTGCGGTGGTGGAGAGGAAATGGCCTGCGTGGAAAAGACATACTGTCTAACACAATCAGAGAGAGGGAGAGCGACCATCTTTCAATCACATTTATCAGCAAGAATGGATAAATTATTAAAGATGTTTATTATACAGCAGTTTAAATAAAACATTCACTACAGAAAAACTACCAAGGTGGTAACTACATGTGCAGTACTAGATACACGATATATACACACCTCAATAAACTAGACACCACCACAACAACATCAGATGCATGACTTCGGCCCTCGGATCGTCCCAAACCCAAATAAATCGTACATGCGGGGTCTCTGCCACCTATGGACATGTTTCATCCTGAGACCGGTTCTTTACGCCCGGGCGCCCTTGGCAGCAATCCCTGACTGGATCGGCCCTGAGACAATTGGGAGACGTGAATGAATGAATTGGACTGCCCAGAGGTTATTCACAGGATTGTCTTGGAGCTCGTATTCGCAGGCGAAGAATGTAGCGAGCTTTGCTTTGCTTTGCTTTGGTGAACCAGGGAACAGACGCAGGGTCACGGGGATGCTTTCCGTATAAGAGTAGACTTCCCCGCTGATTCTATCTCATCGCTGTCTACTATCTATCAATCTATCTATATTGTAATAGCCATCAAAATGAAGATAACCCTCCTCTTGACAACCCTAATCGTCTCCGCGACAGCCGCAACCTACAAGCCCGTCAGCGCCCCTCCCTGCAAGGAATATGTACGCTCTCCACCCCAGACAATCGCATGACCATTCCATGATCTAACCATCGTCTACTATCAGGAAGTCTATGAAGAGTGCGGGTCTGCGTGCCACCCGACCTGCGAGACAGTCGGGGAAGAGCCGACTGTCTGCACGCTGCAGTGTGTGAGCGGGTGTTATTGTCAGGAAGGCTTGTTCAGGACGGCGGTATGTATTTCCTTCGCATTTCTCCTCTTCTCCCCGTTCTTGTCTGCGATCGCGGATAGACAGACTAATGGCGCGGTAGAGTGGCGGTTGCGTCCCGAAGGCGAAGTGCAATACCAACTCCTGCCCTCCATCTTGAACTGGTGGATTCTTGGAGTTCATAGAGTGGTCTGGTTTGGATCTGAGGGTTAAAAATTCAGTAGGGGTTAATCAAAATCAAAGGCTTGCGGTGCAGTGTATGTGCTAATGTAATGATACAATGGAAATTCAAGTAGATCGCCATCTACTATCAGACAGACGTCTATAGAAGAGGCTTGTTATGCGCCGTTCCGAGGTACGTCGGTATCTGAAGACCGATGCTGCATTGCCAAGATTGGCACGGGATCAGACAAATGCTTCGAAATTCAGACAAGGCATTTGCGCTGGCCATCATATCATTCGGTTGGAACACGATGCAGCGCAGCGTTGGGTCGCTCTACAGGGCTCGGCATCCTGTGTAAACTCCCTTGCGACTCGGGAATGTCATGTAGAAACGCTGGCATGATCAAGCAGTGCAGGGTGCAGAAAAAGTTCAATACGCTGAGAGAAGGTTCAATAGGCAACAATTTGCAGTTGCTTGCAGCTAATAGGATGCGGCGGAATTGAACTGCATCGAGCATTTGCTAATAAGGCATCAGTGGTGAGATGTATATTCTGACTAGATCTGCAACTCGAAAACCATTCCAAATCCCGGCTCCAGGTGCAGGCGATCGGGATGCAAATCAACGCACTCCGCACTATGCAGCCAGTTGTGACTGGTGATCGACAACTGCGCCTCAAAACATTGAACCCTGCGTCCCACAGGAATCTGCAAGGGGTCTGTAATCTATCTGCCTGTCGTGGATCACCACTGCCAAGGGGTAGATCTGCTATATATAGGGAACAACGTGGTCAATGTCGCTGTTTCCTCGCATGCCTCTTGATGGTATGACGTGTCCGTCTGGTTCTCAACCTGATGTGACTACGACAACTCATCATGTTCAACAAGTCTCTGTCCAGCAAGTAAGGGGCAGTCCACCTGATGAGATCTCAAACTTGTCCGGTTTTTACTGCCGTAATCTACTAACGCGCCCAGGGATGGGTCAAATCAATGCCGATTGAGCCGGATGGACAGGGGCCAGAGCGAGCTGTCCTGAATGAGGGCAAATCAAAACAAACCAATATTGCACGTGCCCGGCGCCCGGCGGACATGCCGGCCCAGAAGGAAATACCAGAAAGACTCCCAGAAAGCCTCGTGAATTCAATTAGTAAACGAGGGCATCCCACGGGCTCAAGGTTTGAAACAGGGCGCTGCCGCTACGACTGTCCGAACGCACCGAAGAACAAAACCTGCAGCCGATCATTGGTGCAGGGTGCGGGCACGCCGCCGTGCTACTGTATCTCGAGGAAGATGCACATTTTGGCTTAGCGTCGGCGTGTCTGACCACCATCCACCGGCATCACGAGTCGTTGCCGACCTGGTACAAAGCGTAGCAGCCAAGTCTAGCCAAGTCGATATAAGCACACCGAAGCATTGCGAAGCCTTTGAGGCGTTCCTCCAAGACGACTCCCTCAAGGCTTGTGTGACTGATTCCGAGGAAACCACCATCACGTTCCCTGATACTCGAGATCGACTGGGCATGTAATACAAAACCCTTGCGGATGGCGTTTCTGGGGGGTCCACCGACCGTTTGATCGCTCCACTCGCGAGTCGCGCGACATTATGATGAGGCAACTAGGTGGAACTAGAGAAGTATATCTCGGGCGCTGGATGCCCATCAAACAGTCGTCTCAGTTCAGTCCTCGTGGGTGACTTGTGGTAGAAAGCTGGTCAAGGCATAATTCTAGACCAGGGACCGGGGCGACAACTGATCGCGAACAGAGTTGCGTAGTCCAGCCACAGACATTGGGATGTCATGCCCGGTGGTTTGGTGAGGGTGTGGTTGAGCCGAGATTGCCTGATGTGGCCGGGACCTATGAGTGGTCGAGACGCAGACACGTGCCTGGGGCTTTCAGATCGAGCTCCAGATTGAGGGAGGACCCAAACTGCAGCAACCAAGGTGCGATGTCATGCTCAATCGTAGCGAGAATGACCTGTCGAACAGACTGGTCATTGAATTCGTCTCAAAATACTAATAATATCCACGATTATCATGCCGCCTGAATCGTATCACTTGGCATCTTGATCTGCTGTCCAACCCCAGAGTATCTCCGTCCTCCCTGACGACGCCGCAACGTAATCTGGCAGCCGACAGCAGGCAGTCGGGTTCGACAGGTCTCAAGAGGGAAAGTGGTCGGGTGCGCTCTTTCCGTTCTGAAACTGACAAGCCGGGCGTGCAGGAGTGGCAGTGCGCGCGGAACCGTCGTGCAGGACCGTGGTGCGAGTTCTGTCTGGATGACAAGTTGACAACGCAGTGAGGGAGAGCGGGAGGCTCAGGCTCCAGGATTCGACCCCGTGGTGCAGTGCGGGGGACTGATTGGCCAGTCTGTGTCGGAGCAGGCGACAGGTTGCGATGGGCAGGCGGTGCAGGCTGATCATGGCGATTCTGCCACCACGTGCGCAAGTGATTGGTCGGGAGCGTCAGGGCGATCGCCCATTTAGTTTTTTTTTCCCTGACAAACTTCCGCCGCCAAGATCTGCTCGCATGCTCGCTGCTTCCATCGAAATTCCACCCCCATGCGACCAGCAGAAAAGGCAATTCCCAGAAGCGAATCACAGAATTGGGCTCCCACTGCTGCCCACGAGGCGGGCCTTCCAGGATGGCAGTCCTCGGCCGTCCCACTCCCCGCTCTGGCTGCAACTGCCACTCAGAGCAAGGCTCGCTCCAGCTGCTGCGGTGGAACCGGCTGCGACGCTGGGTCTGCCCAGAAGCCCACCGACTTATCAGACGCCACCCCTCAGACATGTGCCCGATTCGCCAAACCGTGCTGGCTCTCCGCTGCCGCCTTCTTCCAGAGATTTTTGGTTAGCTATATATTCAACCTTCTCTTGTCCGCTTGGCTGCATCCTTTCGTGACGTCTCAACGCTCTCTCACTCGCGAGTCTTGCTCCCCCAAGACACCCAAGCCTTCTCTAGATCGGTTCAGCCGCTTCTAAACTCTTGACCTCGACGGCCAAGAGTGTCCGCTTGCCTCGCAATTGCCAGGGTTGTCTTGCTGATCGTCAAAGGGAAACAGTTGTGAGAGGTCGAGATGGCTGACTTCGGTCCCCGTGCGCCCCATGGGCCCGATATGACGGGCGACCATGAGCCCTTGGAAAACATGGACATCAACGAGAAGGGTGCTTTCGATGCCCTCATTCGTCCCAGCGACAGTTACACACCAGATGGCACCTACTGGGCCGACTTGAATGTCTTCAAGCGCATCAAGTTCGTCGGCGCCTACGATGCCTCCGAGGCCAAGCGCGAGCTCGGCGGGATCTGGGAAATGACCAAGAAAGATCCCCTCTCGCCAATTTCTTATTACTTCCGGAATATGGTCCTTCCTGGTGCTGGTCTCGGTCTAGAAGGGTAAGTCTGCTCGTGCGCTCCTAACTAGTGGGGATGGCACTAACCTTTTTCTTTTTCTTTTTTTAGTTACGTTCTCTTCTCTATCGGAAACCTGAAACCTCTCTTCGAAGCTGCCTTCGCCGAATGTTGGGACGATAAAACCATTTGCAATGCGCAATGGATCAACGCTGTCGACTATCTCGAGATTTGCGGTATCATTGTCGGTCAGATCTTGGTCGGTGTTCTCGGTGACTGGTATGTCGAATTTGGATCAATTGAGTTCGGGGCGTTTCTGACCTTATTCATTCTAGGCTTGGCCGTCGTTGGGGTTTGATTCAGGATGCCGCAATTATGCTTATCGGTCTGGTCATGCTTACCGCCGCCTGGGGTGTCACGCAGAACGGCTGGGTTATTTGCTACGCGTGGTCTCTATTCTTCTACGGTATCGGTGTTGGAGGTGAATACCCCATGACCGCCACCAGTGGTATGGAGAACGCTACCGGTTCCGGAAAGGTCTCTACCAAGGAAGACCGTCTGCACCGTGGCCGCAAGGTCACCAGTGCTTTCTTGATGCAGGGCTGGGGTCAATTCTTCAACCAGGTCTTGCTCATCATCCTGCTGCTTTGCTTCCACCACGGCAGCGGAAACCCCTCGTACTCCACCGTTTCTGCCCAGTGGACTTACCGTGTGTCTTTCGCGATCCCTGCCGTCGGTACCTTGTGGCTCGTCTACTACCGTGCGTACCACATGAAGGCTGCCAGCAAGCAGCTGCAGAATGCGAAGAAGAAGGCCTCGGTCACTGGTTACGATGTCGAGTCGCTCAGACTCACCTTCAAGCACTTTGGATTCCGTCTCGTCGCAACCGCTGGCGCCTGGTTCGCCAACGATGTCTTCTTCTACGGTAACAAGCTGTTCCAGTCCGAATTCATCAAGGTCATCAGCCCTCAATCCGACTCCATCATGCCCACCTGGCTTTGGAACCTGTGCAACGTCGGTGTTTCGCTCGTTGGTTACTACCTGGCTTCCTTCTTGATCGACAACAAGCTTTACGGCCGCAAGTGGATGCAGATCATCGGTTTCCTGATGTGTTTCATTCTCTTCATGGTCCCCGGATTCAAGTACGACTACTACACCTCACCCGAACACATCAAGGAGTTCCAGGTCATGTACTTCTTGAGTTCCTTCTTCAACCAGTTCGGCCCAAATTCCGTCACCTTCCTCGTCGCCGCCGAAGTCTTCCCTACCCCCATCCGTGCCACCGCTCACGGTATCTCTGCCGCTGCTGGTAAACTCGGTGCTCTCCTCGCCTCCGTCCTTTACAACTACATCACCACGCAAGAGAAATTCCACATCGTCCCCTGGTTCGGTCTTGGAGGTGTCGTTCTCACCTGGCTCTTCCTCCCCGATACCACCGGTCTCGACCTGAAGGAGCAAGAGCGCCGCTGGAAGTACATCCGTGAGGGCCGCGAAGAGGATTACCACGGACCTGCTGTCCACTCAAAGCACCTTTCCATCTGGGAGCGCTTCCGTGGCAAGGGCAAGTTCTACGACGCCGAACTTGACTATCAGCAAAAGGTCGAGGAATACCGTGCCGAGTGGGAAGCCGCCATGTCCGCCAAGATCTCCGAGAAGGACAAGAGCGCTTTTGAAGACGAAACTGACGATGACCTTCTCTCCGGTCATGTCCACTCCTACTTCCACCGCACAAGTCCTATGTTCCGCGGTATGGAGGAGAAGCCCAGCAATGGTGACAACTTTGCCTTGCCTCCGGCCGCTCGGTCAGATGATTCTACCGAGAACTCGATTGAAGAAAAATAGTCGCTTTGCATACACCAGTATACCCCTTTTTGTTTGATTCCAAGTCTTTCCTTATTCATGGCGAGGCAATCTAATCATTTGTTGAATTCACTGTTTCTATTATGTTCTCTATTCTGATGACAACGCGCACACGCATAGAGCGAGCGGAATGACCGCCATTATATTTACATACCCCAGTACATAGACTGAATGCTCAAACTGATCAATCGATCCATCACACTTTCCTACACCATAAATTTCCAACACCGGCCATCTCCGGCCAATCCCAGAACCTGAAAAGTCAATTAATCACTCTTCCCCTGGTTGTAACCCAGGCATGCCAGCGCCAGCGATGAAATTTTCTGGCTCGCCGCCACCGCCCGGAACTGCAACCGCGGGCCTGGCCTGGACTCTGGACTGCTCAGGCTTGGAAAGTTGGAAGCCCCAGTTACACAACCGAGGCTTCCGCCGAGCCCACCCGCCACTCCACCAAAGCTCCAGGGAAAAATCCATTCGTGTAACGGCCTTAAACCTGATGCGGCGATTTTTCTGCCGCTGAAATGCTCCACCTTGTGCATCGTAAATGGAAAGCGGGGATATAGGCGGTATGTAGGAGCTTTATCTTATCTCCACGTGCGGAGATTGTTTAGTCTGTCGGCTTTACTCCGTCCAACCCCTCCATGAACTACTATACCCATTCATGTGTCGACAAATCAAGCCAACCAATACCAAAATACTAAAATAAAAAGAATAAGAACAATATGCCCCCAGCACCAATACCAAACCTCTTCGCGTTCGGCTCCAACGGCTCGGGCCAACTAGGTATCGGGCACGACGAGGACGTATCCGTGCCAACGCCTTGTGTATTCACAGACCATACTCCTTCTCCAACACAGACACAGACACAGACACGGGATCCTCGCGTCTCGCGCATCGCTGCAGGCGGGAACCATACGCTCGTCCTGCTAGATGATGGGCGGGTTTATGCGGCGGGGATGAATGGGGATGGGCGGTGCGGAGTGAATTCGAACTCTGATTCTAATTCCGGCTCGAGCTCGAGCTTTCGATTTGGGAGGGTTGCTGTGGTTGATGAGGGCGAGAGTGAGGGTATTATGTATGATGTGTTTACGGCGCTTGCTGCGACGTGGGAGGCGACGGTTTTGGTTGCGTGCAGTAGGAGCCATGAGGGTGGGAGCGGGGGCGGGGATGTAGTGTTTGTGCTTGGGACGGGGATGAAGGGGGAGCTTGGGTTGGGTGCTGATAAGACGCAAGCTCGGGCTGGGAAGATTCGCGATTTCCCGCCCCGGGGCTTAAGGGTGGTTTCTGCTGCGGCGGGGATGGGGCATGTTGTTGTTGTTTTGTCAGATGGGACGGTTTATGGGTGGGGTGCATCCAGGAAGGGTCAGTTGGGTGGTGGATTGGTTGGGGAGAAGATTGTTCGGGAGCCGGGACTGATTGAAGGGGTGCCATTTCGAGTGACTGATGCTGTATGCGGGAGGGAGTTTACGGTGTTGTGTGGGGATAGGGAGAAGGGAGAGTTTGTTGTTCTTGGGTCTTTGGGTGATAAATGGGGGATTCTTGTAGGGACTCCTGCAACGGAGGATGTGAAGGGGTATTTGAAGATGGATGCTAGTTGGCATGGTGTCTATGTACATCAGAAGGATATGTCTGTTCTTGCCTGGGGCCGGAATGACCGCGGTCAGTTGCCACCGGCGGATTTGCGCAGTGCAAAGGAGGTGGCAGTTGGTAGTGAGCATGCGCTCGCTCTGCTCGAGGATCGGTCTGTCGTGGCGTTTGGGTGGGGCGAGCATGGCAACTGCGGACCAAATACGGATGCGCAGGGCAATATCAAGGGTATATGCAATCAAGTTCCCCTCCCTGAAGGAGACTTCGAAGTTATCGGCGTTGGTGCTGGCTGTGCGACGAGCTGGATTATTGCATCCTGAGTGCTCTCTGCCGGCTGTTCTAGCGGGCTCGGACCGTGGATGAACATCGAAGCAGGGGTCTTCAATCGAAGAGCCCGAGTCCTTGAAGCTACAGGGCGTTAGCTAAGTTGCAAGGTGGGAGAAATGACCTACCTGTGATATGCGTTGTGTTGGAGGAATCCCCATGTCGTCTTCTTTGCTCAAGTCCATCTGGTCGTGGTCTCTTAGAGCAGGCTCACTATCCCGCAAAAGCGGGCCCAAACTCTCGGGGTTATTCTGCTCCTATTAGTGGGACGTTGGCAACATTAAATGAATCACGTCTTACCGGATCTGCAGTCGCATCCCAACCAAGCATATCCTCAGCCTCGGGCTCCTCGTCCTCGGCCACGTCCCATTGTCTATCGTCGTCCGCCGGCACAAAGAGACTATCAAACTTGATCGACGGTTGTGGCTGTGTTGTGGCCTGTGTGCTCGGTGCTGTAGCCCGGGAGGACGTCCCCGTGAGAGGACGAATGGGCCTGTTACGGGGAGGAGCTACCTGTCTGGTGTTGGCTGCGTTGCTTGGTTGACTAACTTGTACGGGTGCGGGTGTTTGTCTGGCTGACAATTGCGGCACAGGTCTAGAGGAACTCGGAAGATCCTCCGGGCCTGCTTCGCCTGTTGTCATTAAGGTGAACTCTGTTCGAATGCCCTCGAAATCGTATGCAAGCTGCAAGGGTCGGCAAGGACGGGTATATCGAGCAGTGATCATGACCCTGGAAGTTTCAGCATGGGATATCACTGCTTTGAAATCCTTCAGGCTAATGGCGACGTGCACCCCATCATCGGCTCCGAAATATTCAAAGTCCGTCTTGTCGATAGCGACTGATGTGTGCACCGGCTGTCTGAGTGTGTCTACACCATACATCAGTATAAGATTGTCTAATAGAGTCTATAGACGAACCATTCCCGTCGGTAATTTTGGTAGTGAAGCTAGTGAAGATCACCTTGTTGTTTTCCGCATAGATATCTAGCTGCTCCGCCGACAGGCTGAAATGGGTTGTGATCTCTTTCAGAAATAGCGGGTCGATACTCCATTCATTAGTCGCTTGTGACCGGTCGAAGACAGCATGCTGAATCGAGGTGGACTCGTAAGTCAGCTTGTAGGATTTGATCACACCTGGTAACAGTTAGCCACGAGCTGGATAACCGGCCGCTTCAGCTAACCAAGACCACATATCATCCTAATGACGAGCCGGCACTCCGTCTCGTCTGGATGCTCATGGACCTCAATCTCGCAACGCTCAACCGCGGTATCTTTGTCCCGCCGGTTGTTTCTCCCAGGAAATACCGAGAGCAGAGCCTGCGGGGTTAGCACAAGACTCGGCCTCCTTCAGATCAAAAAGCGTACCTTCAAGTATACTTGACAGCTGAACTTTCCGGTATTAGATGACCGGGAGCTTACTGAAAACTCGTAATTCTCAAAGAATTTCTCGGGATCAAATACAAAAGACGAGTATGTCGTCTTGCTTGAGTTGAGCGAACTCAAACGAAGCTACCGAGGGTCAGAAACAATACAGACTCAAGTAAATTCCATTGAGTATCACACACCAAATCATATTCGGCCTCAATTCCCACTGTTTCATCATTTTTTGCCAGACATACTAGAGCATCCTGCAGTCGGGATAAGGCCTCTGGGAGGAGGCATAACGATAAAGTGGTCATGGCTCGAGAAACAAATCTCGCCAGGCTCGCAATACGTGTAGCCAGTGCCCTTGGGTAAGACCAGTCTCCGATTCAAATAGTTCTATTCGTTTAGCGTCCTGATGTTGTTGTTGATGGTAAAGGCAGCAACAGAATTAAGGCTCCAGTCCAGACCAAGAACGCGTGTTTACATAAGCAGCTCCGCGCATGTAAGGCGAACTGCCCAGTCGTCAACTGCAACTCTATCCCCAACTTCGCGTCCAGAAACCATCGATATTTCATTGGAGACGCTGATGAAGAGCATTGTTCGTGCGGATACCAGCTTGTGGCGTGGCTGAACAGCTGTCGTGAAAATGGCCGTCACTCTGCCTAGTGAGATCCTGTTTATGGTCCTGGATAACCTAGGAGACGAGAAGGATCATAATAGTCTGTATCAATGCGCTCTTGCATCGAGACATTTTACGGAGCATGCGTTGTCTGTTTTATATCGGTGAGTTTGAGCACAGTCAGTGACATTCTCACGGTGTTGGGCGCAGTTCTTGCTTACCCCCGCTGTAGGATCTATGACGCCTCACCCTTGAGAGGTGGAGGGACCGAGGACGAGCAGTTGAGGACTCAGGCTAGAAGGCCCGTGTTTGCGTCAGCGGGCTTCAGAGAGGATCAGAATTCCACACTGAGGAAATGGATTACCCTATGGCGATCTATCGTCCTCTCTACGCTGGATTTGACTTATCTGCCTTATTACAGCTATATCCGGTATTTGGATTTAGATGATCTAGGAAACCTACTCGGTTCTGGGTCCACCGTCAAAGAGTATGTGATTCTTGCGGAATAATTGACTCTGTCTAACCATTGGTAGCGAGCTCTACACTCCGGAGCTTCTGGAGTTCGTCTCTCAGGAGTATGTTTCAGAGGGGAACAAGCGGCGTCGTTCGCCAAGGACGCTGCCAGAAAATGAATGGATCAAGGTGAAGCTTGGGTCAGGTAAGTGATCATTTGCTTGCAGTGGTCCATGCTTATCTATTGAAGCCATTGTCAAGAAAAACGCCTTGATACGGGGCATGTCCTGCGACGGTATGTCCTTATCAGCAAAGCATTGATCTCATCTGATAATGTCAGTTCAACCCACGATATTGAATGAATGGGTTGAAGGATCTCCCCAGTTACAAAGCCTGACTGTCTGGTCCGGGTCTGCACTTTCGCAACGTGCGGGCGACAAGATCCGCGACCATTGCCCCGAGTTCAAGCAGCTCAGGATTTACATATGGTAGGGTCTGTTGAACTAGTTTAAGTTCTAGCACTTACACCACGCCAGGCAAAATAAACCGCCAGGCAATGCTGAATCGGAGGCAGAAGAGCTTTTCAATGCACTCCGGCCCAACTCCCTAGAGTACTTCGAAGTACTCAGCTTCTCCCATCTAGGTCCCCGGTCCATAAATGCATTAGGAACCCAGAAGAACTCTTTGACCGAGCTGAAACTGACCAGTCTTACCATTGATACGATCCGCGAGCTTCCCTCATTGACCGCATTGCCTAACCTAGAAGTTCTCAGCTTGACAGACTCGGTGCCTGCCACGTGGGACGAGTCATTCTACACAAATCTCGGCCTGGTTGCTGACTGGATCCGAACTTGCACAAAGTTAAAACGCCTAGAAGTTAGGAAATTCATGCACGACGCCGAATTACTAAGTCAAGTGATGATGAGCGATGATATCCACCTCACCAACCTCTCCTTCGCCGGCTTCAAGCTAACTCGCAGTGGTGGCTTTCTTCCTGCCCTTGGATCCCACACATCTCTGCAGACCCTCTACCTCCGCGGCGAAGGAAGCGAAGACCCTCGAGACAACAATCTGCTCGTTGACGCAGTAGGCGTCCTCGGTAACCTCCGTGAGCTGGAGCTCAAGGATGTATCTGACTGGTTCACCATGGAGCAAGTCGAGGCAGTCACCTCATTCCTCCCGCACCTGGAGAGACTTTGGATCAGCGGTGAAGCCTTCAACGATTCCATCTGGCCCGCGTTCGTGTGTCTCACGAAGCTCAAAAGTCTAGCCATATATGCTCTCAGCAATTTCACAGCGAACGGGGTGGTCGACTTCATCTCGCAACTAGGACCAGACAATAAAGGATTGAGCCTGTCCATTCTCAACGCGACATCTGGCGTCAATTTTCCAGATGAGGCGCTGGGTATGATTCGCGAGATGTTGGCCGCGAATCTGGATGGGACATTTGATTTTGGTCTCGCTCAAGGTGCGATGCCCTGGCCTCCTACTCTTGAAATCGGAGTCATGCTAACTTACCCTGCAGAGGAATTCAGCGACGCTGATTCTGATAGTGAATTGTCGGATTAGGCAATATAGGCTAAGGGCAGAATTCTCTGGAGGGGGGCGTTAATGTGGATTTTGGCGTATAGAGCAGAAATGAATGCATCCTGCTTCTTCACCGCATCCAGCGCCACCAGGACTGTAACAATCAAACTGTACCGAGTAGTAGACGTGGAGTTGTCTGATTCCAAACTAATTAACGGGATTGGCGGAGAGCGGGCGGCGTCGCGTCCACCGCGTCGGAAACGCGTGCCCTTTCCCGCGTCAACCACGATTTGCTTGAGCATCCCTTCCCCAACCCATCAAACAGCCAGTGCGTCAACACTGGGCCAATTTTCTTCGAATTCGTTCTCAAGTCACTTCCCATGCCCGCCCTATTCACACAATAGTCGCCCGCGCGGAAATACCAACCCACAATGGCTTCAGCCCGCGCGAAGTTAGCAGAGCTCAAGGCTCTGCGTGCGTCAGGGAAAAAGCGCCTGTCCACATACGAAGTCGAGGAACAGGGCGATATCTACGAGGAGGTCGACGACGACGGGTATAAGAAAATCATCCGGAACCGGCTTGACGAAGACGATTTCGTGGTCGACGATAATGGCGAGGGGTACGCGGACGACGGCCGCGAGGTCTGGAATGAGCAGACCGCACAGTATAGCGATGAGAGTGACGATGAGGATTTACCAGCTAGAGGAAAGGCTGCTAAACGCAAACGCGAGGAAGATAATCAGAGGAAGGAAAAGATCAATAATGGGATCTCGAAATACTTTAATAGTGGAGCGGCGGCGGCTGCTCCGAAACCAAAGGTGAGCGAGCCATGCAGTCCTTTGAATTGGAGATGATGCTTCGGGTTTGGAGATCATGGGCTAATTTCATGTGCACTCGCAGCCGGTTGCTACCGCCGAAGATGATGCCTTTCTTGCGGATCTTTTAGGCGAGGTCGATACCAATGTGGTCTCGAACAAGGTCCCGAAGGCCAACATCGTAAAGTCGGAAACGCGCCGCAAAGTTCGCATATTGTCACCTCCGCTCTCAGAAAAAGCACGCACAGCGAAGCCCCCACCAAAGGATGAGAACAGTGATCCTGTGTCCCCGGTCGGCGAAGAACCGGCCCTCAAATTGGATAACGATGATGGACCCCTCCCTCAGGCAGACGACGACGATATGCCCATGAGCGACCCAATGCCTTCTTCTCCGGTCACCAAGGCGGTAGAGCGAAAGAACATAGTCCCTATAAAGGAGGAGCCTGAGGAAGACGACGATGACCTTATGGAGGTGGTACAGGCTACTGGCAATCACGAAGCCAAAGCAGCGAGCGTCAACATTTCCGGCAGCCGGCCTCCGCCCAAGATCAAAAAGGAGCCTTATCTGACTCCTGCCAGTTCGTCTCCGGTGAAGTCTGCGGCGGATGTGAATGCTTCTTGGAATGATGTACGCGACAAATTGAACGTGCTCAACAGCCCAGCGTCGTCTGAAATGCGGAGCTTTGGCAAGCTACGGCCCCAGGATGTTGTCGAAGAAGACGGAAGCCTTCGATTCTTCTGGCTCGACTACACAGAGGTCAACGGCAGCCTTTGCTTATTTGGAAAGGTGAAGAACAAGCAGAATGGCTCATATGCAAGCGCCTTCGTCAAGGTGGACAATGTCCTCCGAAAACTATACTTTCTTCCCCGTGAGCACAGGCATAAACAGGGCCGCCAGACGGACGAGGAGGTTGATATGGAAGATGTGTACCATGAGGTCGATCAAATGATGTCGAGGTTGAGAGTCGGCATGCACAAGATCAAAGAATGTAGCCGCAAATACGCATTCGAGATGCCCGGTGTTCCGAGAGAAACTGACTACTTAAAACTACTCTATCCTTATGACAAGCCGGCTTTACCTATGGACACTAAGGGAGAAACGTTCTCTCACGTTTTCGGGACGAACACTTCGTTATTCGAGCAATTCGTCCTCTGGAAGAACATCATGGGTCCTTGCTGGCTCAAGGTCGAAGAAGCCGATTTCTCCGCTGTCAACAATGCCTCGTGGTGTAAATTCGAATGCCAGACCTCAAAGCCAGGACTTATTACCCCAGTCCCTGACACCGAAAATCTCGAACCCCCGACTCTCACTTTGATCAGTCTCGCGTTCCGAACTCAGCTCAATGTGAAAGAGAACAAACAAGAGATCTTGGTTGCCAGCGCGCGAGTGTACGAGAACATCTCGCTCACCGAAACCTCTCCGCCGGAAAAACTTCCTTGCAAAACGTTCACTGTGATGCGTCCGGCTGGCTCCTCGTATCCAGTGAACTTTGAAGCCGAGGTCAAAAGGCAACGGGGTACATATATGTTAGAGAAGAGCGAGCAGATGTTGCTCAGTAAATTCATGGCTCTGTTTGAAAGAATGGATCCAGATGTCATGATGGGCCATCAGCTTCAGGAAGTCGACCTAAGTGTCTTGCTAAACAGACTAAAGGAGAAAAAGACACCCGGGTGGCATCGTCTCGGGCGGCTCAAGCGTGGGGAGTGGCCCAAAAACTTCAACAGGGGCGGCGGCTTCTTCACCGAGAGGCACCTAGTTGCCGGAAGATTGGTGTGTGATGTCGCCAATGATATGGGCAAGGTAAGAGTCTCCATTTGTGCCTTATGAAGACTTGCTAACAGCCAATAGTCACTGATGATGAAATGTCAATCCTGGAGTTTGACGGAAATGTGCGATCTTTACCTTGGAGCGGGCAATTCGCGGCAAGAGCTAGACTTCGGGGCTGCACTCAAAACATGGGCAGCCTCCAAGGACGGGCTTGTGAACTTCGTGAACCATTGCGACACCGATACTTACTTTATTGCTGCCCTAGTTCTGCGGCTTCAGATGCTCCCCCTGACCAAGGTTCTAACAAACATTGCTGGTAATTCCTGGGCCCGAACGCTAAGTGGTACTCGCGCTGAGCGGAATGAGTACATTTTGCTCCATGAATTCCACCGGAACAAGTATATTTGTCCAGATAAGTATTCTTCCAAGCTGCAAAAGGCGGAAGAGAAGGCCCAGGATGGAGACGAAGACGATTCAGCAGACAAGAAGAAGAAGGACAAGTACAAAGGTGGTCTCGTTTTCGAGCCTGAAAGAGGTCTTTATGACAGGTTTGTTCTTGTCATGGATTTCAACAGTTTGTATCCTAGTATCATTCAGGAGTACAACATTTGCTTCACCACAGTGGATCGGACTTCAGCGGTACGTTCTCAAACCTCTCATCTGTGCGGTTTTGAAGACTAACATGTGTAGGCTGAAAATGAGAATGAAGAAAAAGTGCCGGAAATTCCTGCCACAGAGGCCGAACAGGGTATCCTACCTCGCATTATCGCAACTCTTGTCGGCCGTCGGCGGGAGGTCAAGAAGTTGATGAAGGATAAACGCGCAACACCTGAGCAGCTCGCCACATGGGACACAAAGCAGTTGGCGTTCAAGCTTACCGCCAACTCCATGTACGGATGTCTTGGGTACACACAGAGTCGCTTCTACGCTCGTCCCCTGGCCATGCTCACCACGTTCAAGGGTCGTGAGATTTTGCGTAGCACCAAGGAATTGGTGGAAAGCAAACAGCTGAAGGTCATCTACGGTGATACCGATTCCGTCATGATCAACACAAATATGGACACCATCAGCGACGCGCTGAAGGTTGGAGACGAGCTCAAAAAGGCAGTCAACGAACGGTATCGACTGCTAGAAATTGATATCGACAACATCTTCCGTCGTCTCCTCTTGCACGCCAAAAAGAAGTATGCTGCTATTAGTATGATGGAGGTGGATGGTAAATACGTCGACAAGCTCGAGGTGAAGGGTTTGGATATGAAGAGACGTGAGTACTGTGCGCTGTCCAAGGACGCCTCACAACGACTTTTGAATGAGGTCCTCTCCGGTGAGGATCAGGAGCTTGTCCTGAACCGTGTTCACGATTACTTGCGCGAGTTGGCAGGCAGTATGAGGGAATTTACTGTTCCTGTTCAGAAATACGTGATCTACACAGTATGCACTGTCTTCTTCCCTCTCCTTGAGCATACACTAACTTCATCTAGAAACTTTCCAAGCGGCCAGAGGAATACCCAAACAAGGAGACGATGCCTCCAGCACAAGTCGCACTGCGAGAACTAGCCCGTGGAAAGACGGTGCGGCCAAACGACGTGATCTCCTACGTTGTGACATCCGGAGACTCAGAGACATCGTCTCTCCCCGCAGCAAAGCGCTCCTATACCCTCCAGGACGTGGTCAAAAAGGACTCGGGACTCAAACCTGACATCGAATTCTACCTTCTTAAACAGATTTTCCCCCCTATCGAACGTCTCTGTGCTCCCATCCCTGGCACGGACGCCGTCCGCCTAGCCGAATGTCTAGGTCTCGACGTCCGCAAATACCAAATCAACACCTCCAGCACCCAGAACACCCAAAACACGGAGATCTTCCCACTAGAATCTCAAATTCCAGACTCCGTGCGCTTCGAATCCGCCGCAAGACTTGCTCTCACCTGCCGGCACTGCAAAGAACGCTGTGTCTTCGAGGGGCTCGCAGCCTCAGCCCACATGTGCAACCCTAACGGGCTGATCTGCCCCAACGCCTCCTGTCAAAAGCAGTTCTCTACCTTAACAATCGTCGCACAACTCGAAAGCCAAATCCGTGCCCAAACATCAAAATACTACGAGGGCTGGCTTGTCTGCGACGAGTCCACCTGCGGGAACCGTACCCGCCAGATCAGCGTCTACGGACACCGCTGTCTTGGTCCGCGCGGTCAGGCAGAGGGTTGTCTAGGACGCATGACGTACGAGTACCCCGAGAAGCAAATGTACAATCAGCTTCTGTATTTCGCTAGCTTATGGGATGTGGATAAGGCGCGGGCAGCTGCACAGAAGGAGGCGAGCGGGGAGAAGAAGGACAGCGTTTCTGCGTTGGTAGAATTTAACCGCGTACGCTTTGGGACAGTCAAGGGCGTTGTCGACGCTTATTTGAAGAAATGCGGTAGGCAGTGGGTGGAGATGGATGGGTTGTTCCGGTTTATGTTGGCTTAAATTAACTCAACTTCCGGATCCAGGTCAGGTTAAAGAAGAGTTGATTCTCTGTATATAATGATTTCGTTCGATTACTGGCTGGGATGGATGGATAAGACTTTGGTTTATCACCTCATGCATGGATGCACTTTATGTACGCTGTTCTTTTTACAATTGGCGCGCTTTCTAGCTTTGGCTTGGCTTTACTTTGCTTTTCTGCGTTCTGAACGATGGAATGAGTCCTCTCAATTAATCAACACGATATACATTTCGTATCATATGGTTACATTTGTGCAGTTGCTTTCCTTACTCTCGACAAATGGCGTGAATCATGTTAACAAGACCAACAGCGCTCGGTCTTCTCATTGCAAAAGCGCTATGAGAGCAATGCTCTAACATAGCCCCTCTCGTAATCAGCTAAACGAAGCTCCTATACAAGAGCAAGGTCAGTATCTGCGCATACTCTCGCATACTTTGTGAAAACCAGTTCATGCGGCTAGCATAAGAAAAGCGTGACTAGCCTCGAACGAGTATGGTCTAAAGACTTCAAAGGCACAGATACTGTGCAATCCCCGAGCTCATTTCTAAAACAGTACCCTCTTTAGGTTGGTCATACGGGATTGGCACATAGATAATGGCGAAGGAAAAGAGCAACAAGCAACAGAAACGGCGACATGACGTACTCACTCTTCTGAGCCAAACTTTGCGACATCAAAATTGGCCGTGCCAAGGATGGAAGGCTGTCCGGACACAAGTGGTGCGGAGGCCAAATTCAGAGACTCTGAGGTTCGGGTGGTTTCAGAGAAGACACTAGGCCATGGAGCCTGCGAGTTTGATGCTGCAGAGCTGAAGAGCGGGCTGGGATGTTGGCCGCTTATACTTCTGAATAGGCCTGTTGAGCCTGATCCCGTTCCGACTCCGAACTGATTATTTGGGCTTGAACCATTGGATAGGACAGACGGGGTGCTGAAAGCACTAGACTTTTGGGTTGATCCGGACGCTGGAAATCTAGGGTTAGTCAGGTCAATGGATAGGCCATGGAGATTGAGGACATACCAAAGCCGTTCCCGCTAGAATTTGCGATGGTTCGCGCTTTCTTTCCCGGCGACATGGCGCTGGGAGGGAGGAAGGTACTCGGTCTTTTTTGTGCACCGTCGTTCTGGACTTGTTGAACGGACTGGATTGCAGTAAATATACCTGGATATGTGGCGCTGCGGCCTAGACTTGCAGCTGGAGTGAGCTCTGTGAATAAGTCAGTCAATGCTAGACTAGGGTCAGAGGAATCTATTTGGAAAATCCGAGCCCACCTTGCTTCGATATGTTGTGATGTTGTCTGAGCAATCTATCGCTGTTGTCGTATCTGCTACAAGTTTTCAAGCAAGTTTGCAGCCGCTCAATATTGTTCTGCAGTACTTCCCTATCTTGTTGAACAGAAGCAGGCTCGGAGGCAAGATGTACGACTTGCTCGGTGTCCATTTCGCAGACCATTTTGCCATTGAAAATAGTCTCAAGTGGAGTTAGCAGGCAGTTTTCAATCGCTAACATGGCTATGTTCTCGGTAAACACAGTAAGCGCTTCCTGTGAGTTGTTAGAGAAAATGAAGAGACGGTCCCAGGAGGTAATGTCAAGATCATGAGACCAGGGATATTCTTACATCGTAATATCGTTCCATCAAGTCAATGATTTTTGATTCAGCACGCTTGTGGACGGATGGTTCAGTAGACGGACTGCCACCACAGAGTGCAACCGGGCCATTTGCCTCCGGGTTCCCAGCCTGGTTCATCAAATCGAAGAGGCAGATTTCGTGAAGGATTGGGTAGTTCTTCTGTTTAAAGAAACTCAGTTCCTCAAGCTTTCGCTGGAGTCCCTCTCTGATTCCTTCCATAGCCGGTTCCACGATTTGTTTATAGATCGAACGAGATGTATACTCATCCGCGACGTCGTCAACGAGGAGGTAAAGGAACCTATTTACTAACTCCCAAGCAGTCCTCGGGTGTTTTTGAGCCATCTCTTCCCAAGGTTTCATTTGATCTCTGAGAAGACCTCCAACCAGTTGCTGTAAATCCAGACCTTGGCGGTATTGTGCGTGTTGCTGGATTTCTTTCTCAAGATCTTCCCGATTGACAGGGTTTGGGGACCAGCTCTGCAAGTATCGGTTGGTGGAAATGCGATCCAGGTCACTATTAACCAATTCACCATCATAACTAGTTATCTGACGCCTAGATCCTCCAACCTGCAAGGCTTTCACGAACTCCCAGTGCAATTCTTTCATGAGGAGTCGAAGCTGTCTAGGATTAAAGGCCGGCCTGTCGCTCATATAATTAAAGAATCCGTCACTGTATGTTCCATCTAGGGTTTGTTTGATGGCTACTTCGAACCGACACGCAATTTGCAAAAGGTGCCCTCGTTTCTCCTCTATGGTTGGTCGAGCCTTCCCCAGGTTCTCAAGCTTAGTGCGATAGTCCGACAACACTTCGTTGGCTCTTTTGACAATATCAGGAATAGTGCACTTTACCTGTTCCAGAATCCAATTGCTTATTCGGTTTCTGAGATTCTCTGTCCCGGTGCAGCCCCGAGAAACGCCAGCTAATATACCAGGGGTACCGGAGAGATCCAAATCCACGGCATGCCATCGAGTTTTCAATGTAGCTCCATTGTCTCTGATGAATTGGGATTCTTCGACCTCTTCTCCTGGAGGCATAACATTCTGGCGGAATGTGACGATCTCCAAGCTTCTTTGGTACTCCGGGTCGAATCGCTTGATGACAGAAGTAATGCTGTCCAAATCACGCTTGTTTGCACTAATCGGTATTATGGCAAGCAGTAAGTGATTGGGGCACTCAAAGTAGCTTTTTATCGCCCTCAGAGCTGTGTCGCCAATATTTTGTAGTTCTCCGTCCCGAGTACGCATTGTTGGAAGATCCACAAGAACAATGTCTGGCTGCTCCAGTCCACAAATTTCAATCCTCAGTATGTCACCAATCACGGCTTTTTCTCCTGAACTAATGCGTGTCGCCACTTCGTCAAATAACTCAGAAAGACCTCCCTCATGCAGAAGCTTCCCTGGACTGAACTTGTGCGATCTGGGTATGGTTGTTTCTGCTGCCGGGGCGCTAAGCAGGAGGGTAGCTGTCAGAGAGGAACAGGATTTCCTGCATAGAATGAATTCAATTGTCAATGGTGCAAGGCCCTTACTCCGCAGGGGGGCGGAGATTCCTGTAGTGAGCTCTAAAATGGTTGTTTCCTCGGCTTCGTCAGCACAACTGCAACAAACGATCTGGGGCATCTCAAATTGGCAGTGGACTCCTATTTCCTTCATTTCCTCAATTGTTGTCAATATCTCTGACTGTGCAGACTTTAGCTGGTCAATGGCCGCAGTATCTTTCTTCTTGTCGGCCATGTTGGCTAGAATGTGCAGAATTCAAGGGGGAAAACGGTGGCAAGGTAAGAAATTTGGCCAAGAATCTGATGTATTCCAGAGTACAGACTGTTAGAACAAGGCAATTGGAATATATTAAGCGAGGGAAAGAGATGCTGGGAGATGCTGTTGTTGACAAGAGTAACACGTCAGGAGAGTGAGTGAAAAAGTGAGAAGTGATATATGAACAGTGCGAAAACAATAAATTCCAGCTTAGATGTGGAAATTGAGAGCAAAACAAACAAACAATCAGAAATAACTACAATTCTCTCTCTAAATTCCCAGGTCCAGCTTTGTTTTCTAGTCTTCTCTCAAGCTGTGAATCAGTTTGTATACAAAGCGCGCTAAACCCAATGTGGCGATCTCCACCATTGATTTCATCTCCCCGAACTCGCAGTCTGGGCAAGTCAAGATGCAATTCACCATCCCATAAGCCGGTTGTTTTTCTTTGACTCCCATTTATAGCCTGCCTCGTTTTCCAACATCACAGTCCTTCATCATGTCAGTCGGACGAGTCCTGGTTATCGCAGGATCGGACAGCTCCGGCGGCGCGTATGCCACCCCTCATTTTTCCCCTCCAGATCATCTGCTAATGCACTCGCCATGGGTCTAGGGGCCTTGAGGCTGACCAGAGAGTCTTAACTGCTCATGGTTGCTATGCACTCACGGCGACCACAGGCCTCACAGCCCAGAATACCCTTGGGGTGCAAGACATCTTTGTGGTTCCGGCTGAGTTCGTCAAGAAGCAAATCTGCGCCAGTCTGGACGATGTCGGCGCCGATGTGATCAAACTTGGTACGGCACAACAACATACTCTTCCTATCAGTTATTCTTAGATAGATTCTGTTATCTTAGAGATCGATGAGCTAACTCGTCTGAAGGGATGTTGTCGTCCGCAGAGACCATTGACATCATCGCAGATGCGCTTACATCGTATCAAATTCCAGCCGTGGTTTTGGATCCGGTATTACAGCAAGCCTCCCCTTTTTCCCTTTATTCTGACTAAAAAGAAAAACAGGTGATGATCTCCACCAGCGGTTCTCAGTTATTACCTGAAGCGGCTGTCCAGGGCCTGCGCAAGAAACTGCTGCCTTTAACAACCGTTCTCACACCCAACATCCCAGAAGCAAAACTTCTTCTGGAAGACTCGGGACTAGACTATACCGAACCTAAAGACCTTCAAGGGCTTATCTATCTCGCAAAACAAGTCGCAACGTTAGGCCCCAAAGGTGTTCTGCTAAAGGGTGGCCACCTGCCGCTCACAAACGATCACAAAACTGCCCGCAGCTCGGACGAGGCCTCTCTAGTCATTGATGTACTTTATGATGGAGAGGAGGTTACGCTGTTTGAAACTGAATTTCTAGTCTCGAAGAACACCCACGGCACCGGTTGCTCTCTTGCGTCGGCCGTTGCGGCAAACCTCGCGCTCGGAAAGGACATGAAGAGAGCCGTGCGCGGTGCTGTCCGTTTCGTTGAAGCTGGAATCAAGACCAGTACCCAACTCGGAAAGGGAAGTGGTCCCATCAACCACTTCCACTCAGTCTATTCCTTGCCCTTTGCACCGTATGTTTCACTCTCATACATTAAGAGGAAGGGAACCGTTCAGCTGGATACTAATTTGCTTATAGGGGACGGTTTTTGGAGTACATTCTAGATCGTCCGGACGTACAATCAGTATGGAAACGATTCACAGAGCATGAGTTTGTCGAAGGGCTCGGCAGCGGGACTCTTCCAATCGAACGGTTCAAGGAATATCTGGTGCAGGATTACCTCTACCTTGTAAGGTCCACTTTTCTCAATCATCTTTTATGATATTAACAGTTCTTCTTAACTAGGTCCACTTTGCTCGGAGCAACGCACTTGCTGCCTATAAGGCCAAAGATATGGAATCCATAGCCGCAGTGAGTAGATTCCTGCGTGAAACAAGCCTGCTCTTGTCCATGGTGATGGGAGATAACACTAACAACCTCGCTACAGTCAGCAAAAATCGTTCTACACATTGAACGAGAGACTGCACTCCATATTGACTATTGTGCGTCATTCGGGCTATCCAAAGAAGAAATGGAGAAGTTTCCAGAGACTGGTGGTAAATAACACCTCCTGCCATCCTTCAATCATTTTCAAAGTTCTAACGACGACGGTTATCAGCCTGCACCGCGTACAGCAGATACATCCTCGATGTGGGCCAATCAGAAGATTGGCTTGCACTGCAGGTAGCCTTAGCACCATGTTTAATTGGATATGGAGCCATCGCACAGAGGCTATACGCGGAGGAAAAGACGCTTCGGGAGGGCAACCGATACTTCAAATGGATAGAAAATTACGTTGCGGATGATTACACTGAGGCTGTCCGTCTAGGGTCCGGTAGGATACACAAAGCCCCCCCCTCCTCCTTGTGAAATACAAGCATGAACCACTTGTGAACACAACTAACAGCTCTACAGAACTACTGGAAAAGCACATGAGAAAAGTCTCACCTTCCCGGATGGAAGAGTTGATCAAGATTTTTATTAGAGCAACTGAGTTGGAAATCAGTTTCTGGAGCATGGGGCTCGGAAATGGGCACCCCTGATAGCCATCCATACAAAGAATTATATACACTTAGAACCACCAGATTTCTAGAAAATGCCCCGGATAGAGGGAAACCGCCACTATGAATCAAACCCATGGTACAGCACCCAAAACTGTCACACGTGATAAAAATGCGTATGTGAATACGATGTCCCAGTTTCTGTGATCGCCTTTTGATCGAGATCCCTTACGATATAAAGTCTGGTTCATCCACTCTGTTTTGTTCTTTTGTTTGTCGCCACTGGTACGGCTTACATAACCGGCAGCGGTGTCGAGTTTTTCTCCAGCGCTAAACTCGATCGGGCCCAAGGTTGCCTCGGCGCCTTCCTCAAAGATCGCAAGTGCCTTCATTTTTCCTTTTGCTCTCCGCCCAAATTTTCTCTCTTTCTTATCCTTCCTTGTCTCTCCATCCCTCTTTCACTCTCCCTCTTTTCACCCTCTTGTTTCCTCTTAATCCTCGTTTGTTCCTGCATCCCTCTGTTGCCTCTCTTTTCTCAAGTTGAGAATCTCTGTTTTATTTTCACGACAAGATCAACACATCTCAGTTCGCCATGTCTTCTTACGGCGGCAGCGGTGGCTACCAGCGCGATTCTTATCGGTAAGTTGATTATTTGCTGTCGCTTGAATCCATCTCGATGGCTCGAGAGTCTGTCTGGATATTATCTTCACACTGGATGGATAAAACGTTGAGCGCTTCATGCTTACGCTTTCTCCTTACCGAGTCGGGTTTTATCCCCCTGACGCTCGTCGCTCGAGAACTTTATTACGCTGGGTCTGCAAATGCTAACATATATCTTAACAGCTCCCGAGGTGGTTACTCTAACGGATACTCGAACGGTGGTGGTGGTTATGGTGGCGGCGGCGGCTACGGTGGTGGCTACGGCGGCGGTGGTGGTGGCTATGGAGGAGGAGGTTACGGCGGCGGCGGTTATGGAAGAGACGCTGGTGGTGCCGGTGGTGACCGCATGTCCAACTTGGGCTCCGGTCTGAAGAAGCAAGACTGGGGTAAGTTAAATTGATATTTTTTAATGTGTTACAGTGCATGTGCTAACTTTATTTGCAGACCTAGACTCTCTCCCTAAGTTCGAAAAGTCCTTCTACAAAGAACACCCAGATGTTACCGCTCGTTCCCAGCGTGATGTTGACGAGTTCCGCAAGACGAGCGAGATGACAGTTCAGGGAAAGAACATCCCTCGCCCTGTCGAGACCTTCGACGAGGCGGGCTTCCCTCAGTACGTTCTGAGCGAGGTCAAGGCTCAGGGATTTGAGAAGCCCACATCTATCCAGTCCCAGGGCTGGCCTATGGCTCTCTCCGGTCGCGACGTCGTCGGTATTGCCGAGACCGGTTCCGGAAAGACCCTGTCATACTGTCTTCCTGCTATCGTCCACATCAACGCTCAGCCACTCCTTGCTCCTGGAGATGGCCCTATTGTCCTCGTCCTCGCACCTACTCGTGAATTGGCCGTCCAGATTCAGGCTGAGATCACCAAGTTCGGAAAGTCCTCCCGCATCAGAAACACCTGTGTTTACGGTGGTGTCCCTAAGGGTCCTCAAATCCGCGATTTGTCTCGTGGTGTTGAGGTCTGCATTGCTACCCCTGGTCGTCTCATCGACATGCTTGAGGCCGGCCGCACCAACCTTCGACGAGTCACTTACCTTGTTCTTGACGAGGCTGACCGCATGCTGGACATGGGTTTCGAGCCTCAAATTCGCAAGATCATTGGTCAAATTCGCCCTGACCGTCAAACTTGCATGTGGTCCGCCACCTGGCCCAAGGAAGTCCGCCAGCTTGCTAGCGATTTCCTCAACGACTACATTCAAGTCAACATTGGTTCAATGGACCTGTCGGCTAACCACCGTATCACTCAAATTGTCGAGGTCGTTTCCGACTTTGAAAAGCGTGATCGCATGATCAAGCATCTCGAAAAGATTATGGAGACCCAGGGTAGCAAGTGCCTTGTTTTCACTGGCACTAAGCGTATTGCGGATGAAATCACCCGCTTCCTCCGTCAGGACGGATGGCCAGCCCTTTGTGAGTACACCAATACACATTACAAACATGATCGATTCGCTAACTATTCTTAGCCATTCACGGTGACAAGCAACAACAAGAAAGAGATTGGGTCTTGAACGAATTCAAGACGGGCAAGAGCCCAATCATGGTGGCTACCGATGTAGCTTCCCGTGGTATCGGTATGATAAAATTGCGCTTTTCCCCGTTTCCCCTTCCCCTTTCCCCCTTCTGTTTTCCTTCTTGAAGCACCCCAGCCGTATTGAGGCCGTGCGAAAACGGCACAGTGCTTAACTCTCTTACGTTGCCCTCGCTTGGCACACTTGACTCGTCCAGGCTTTGTCGGGTCTTCTGAAATGGTTCTCATGCCAGGAGAACCTTGGACTCACGGTGCAGTTTAGCAGACACGTAGGATTCTTCTATTCTTCTGTTCTGACTTCCTTCCTTTCTGGACCTGGTTGGTTGAGAAGTACGGTGGCTTCTCCTCCGACCTGCCAAGCTGCATTCCAAGGTTGCTCTAGGACCACGGTATCTGCCCGATATCTGCCAGCATATGGACTGACCCCGTAACGGATCTTGAGATGAAAGACCGTGGAAGAGAGTGATGCATCTAGTCTCACACGGCTGAACGGGCTTCCATGCCACGCTGCTATCTACCACTAATGCTCTGTTTGCTAACATAAGTTTGTCTAAAGATGTTCGTGACATTACTCATGTCCTGAATTATGATTACCCCAACAACTCTGAAGACTACGTTCACCGTATTGGCCGAACTGGTCGTGCGGGTGCCAAGGGTACCGCCATTACCTTCTTCACCACTGACAGTAAGTCTCCGCGCCATCCATGCCCTGTATATGATGCTAACTTTGATTCCTTTAGATTCTAAGCAGGCTCGTGACTTGGTCACTATCCTCTCTGAGGCTAAGCAGCAGATTGATCCCCGTCTCGCTGAGATGGTCCGCTACAGCGGAGGCGGCGGCCACGGTGGTGGCTATGGCCGTTGGGGTGGTCGTGGTGGTCGTGGCGGTGGCCGCGGCCGCGGTGGTAACTTCACAGCCTCCAACGCAGCGCCGCTCGGTAACAACCGTCGCTGGTAAACCCATCAATGCCCAGTGCAGTCATGAGCTTGTATTCGGTCATCCTCCGGTAGACGTTCGATCTTCCTTTACACCTTTCCGTTGTTCTCAGATATCATTTTCGTAACTCAATATGGGCGGCGTTGGTCAATCTCACGATAGACTGTTTTTATTACGAGTTTTACAGGTTTCCGGATTGAGGCGACAACCATGGTCATCTCCCTCACACTTTTACACGGATGCATGTTAATTTTTTCTATTTCTGTTATTCAAAAGTCGCGCTTTATCCTTGGCTTTGGTCAAGATTAGCTTCAGATAGTGTAGCTTAGGCTATGTAATATTCATTGAAGCATATAATCATGCAGTATTTTAATAATGATCTCAACCTCTCCACTTCCTCAGCTTCGCATCCAGCGCACTCGCCAACACTTCATGTACCCTGGACGTTATATGCCCGGAGTCATACCAGAAGTACGTCTCCAGCGGCGTCGGACATCCATACTTCTCATAATTAGTTTCAATATCCAATTCCTTCGCCCCGGGACAAAAGTCCGTCGTATTCAAAATCCCATACTTCCGCGGGTGATCCAAAATCCCACTGAGCACCTTATGCGCATCAAAAACCAGCACACTGCTCCCTGAATTCTGCCTCTCAAAGTCCCAGCTCTGCGCCTCCAATGCAGAATTAAACCACTCTACCTGCGTAACATTCGGCGATGCACTTCCCCCCTTCAAAACCTTGTCTTGATTCGACGGCGTTCGATCCAGCGGCGGGAGGTTGAGGAGGATATACTTCTTGTATCCCAAAGAACTAAGATCCTGCAGGGAGGTGTATATAGTGGTTACAAGGGTATCGTAAAATGAAGGAAATGAGGTAGTGAGGTTATATGCGGCGCTATCGTTCATATCGTTTATGCCGATCCAGACTGCGATTAGCGTTGAAGAGGGATCAACAATGCTACTGGTATTAGGCCGCGGGTGTCTGGAAGAAGAAGCGGACGTAAGAACCGGATGCCCGTAGGTCGTATATTGGGTTATTTGTTTCACGAAGGAGATTGTGAAGGGGTGGTGGAGGGGGATGCTGTTGTTGTTATTGTTATATACTATACTTCGATAGAGTGATTGTTGGGGAGGGGGAAGCGCACTATTCAGCGGAAATACCAGCCCCTGCGAATGCAAAATCCCATAGCTGCTTTGTGCATGATGCTGGGGACGTGAGGCCTTCTTTCAATCCGCAGCCTGTAAGATACTCGACCCAGTTTGGGCCGCCGGCTGAGGTTCCGGTCTATGTAATGCTAGTATTAGACGATTTTGAGAATGGATCGAGATGGGCTAGGCCTCAGATAGCCAGGTTTAGGTCAGGCGGCACGGACCTGGTTCTGGACGATCTGGTCTGTTAAGAGCGTGTCTGCATTGTACGCGTAGTTGAGCTGGTCGCCGATGAAGCTGTACCCGGGGTATCCGTGGGTTCCTTGGACGAATGTATATGAGTCTCCGAAGGCGATGCTACCGTTGTATTAGTGTTGCTATATCTGGGTCTGCCCAGTATATAATGATGGTGCTCCGGCTAGTACTGACAGATGCTGGGTTGAGTCCCAGTTGAATCCGCGTTTACTGTGCGCCTTGGAAGGAAGACCCTCGACGAGGGAAAGGATACCGCCTGTGAGGACGAGAGCGAGGGCTGTAAGCATGTTTCTTGGGTGGGTGTCGTCTAACGAAGCTACTGAAGATACGACGGACCAAGGATAGGTTGGCTTGGCCAGTGTGCTTGTGCTGGTCTAGCCAGATATATATACTTAATGAATGTGATCCCGACGGAGAATCCCAGCAAAGCTATGGATGAGGGATACGGAAAATAATTCTCCGTTTATCCTACTGGGCATGGCTACTTCGTCCGGATCAGCATTTGCCTGATAGGACTCAGCGGGGATTTTGATGCTTTCAATTATACGTATATCCGTACTGTAGGGCAGACAGCATATGTAGACACCTCAGGCACTAACAGTGGTCGCGCCATCGTGTTGTTGTCCATCGCTCTATCGGGATACCAACACGATGGGCAGTGTCGGATCGCACAAACCCAGGTACCCGGTACGCGAACCAAGGGCGGAATCGCTGAGTCTCTCAAGTTGACTCAAGCCCCGAAGGCTGAGCGCGCTGCAAGTAACTCAGTCAAGTCAGTCCAGCATAGCACAGTGGGGAACCGCAATTCAGCCGTATTTCACCCGAAGCCTGGCTGGCAAAGTTGAAGTCAAGGACTCCGTAGAAACGATGGGTCCGAGTTTCGAATCGTTTGGGATTTAAATTTTGGGACTTGATGATCGAGGTCACTTAAACTTCGAGAGAGGAGCCTGGGGGCTGGAGCACTGTCCACCGTTCCCTTCCAGGTTCCAGGTTAATCTCAGGGACGGGGCACACTGACCGATGAAGTAGGAGTCTTGCTCAGTCCACGGAATTGCCCGTGACCTTGACTGTGGGTGGGCCTCAACTCTAGTCACGGCCGAAAGAGGGACTCCATAATGACTGTCCCAAGTCGGCCTTGTGCATTCGTGTGGTTGAAGTTACACCGTGCCTCGCAGTGCTTTGCAGGCTTTCCCCTCGTCGATAAGGAAAAGACCGCGGAGGAACTTCAGCCAGCAGATGCCGTACGGAAAATGCGTACCGTATGCAGTGCGTATGACAGGAAACCGATGCTGGTTTCGCAGCCGTATGCCGCTATGCCGTTCGCAGCTAGCCGGGAAATTAATTCTGGCCCGTGGCTCGGGTAGGGAGCACGCTAGACGGACTAGCATCAATCTGGATTAGACTGCCACGGATAAACTTTGAGAGTTCTCAGCGCGGAACTCGGGTTTTCCGCTGGCAACATCACGATTGGGCAGGAGCCTGCAAAGCTCGAGGAAGGCCTGGAGGATGGAAGCCGGGAGGCCTGCAAGGCATTGAACGGGCGAAAAGCCATGCGGTGAGCATGCCAGGACCTGGGTAGTTCCCATCTAGAGCAGCCGTAGAACATGCATGGAAGAGAGAACTGGCTGGCTGGTCCCTGTCTTGGGGGTTTGAGACGTATCTATCAACTGAGTACCATGAGTACCGGCGGCGTCGCTGAGTGCTGAGCGTTGCGCCGCTGGCAGCCGGTCTTGCGCATCAATTCGAGCGTGCTGGCGTCGCTGAAACGAACATTTGGCCTGACATGACATTGAAATTCCAGGCTACCTGCCTAATCAGGGTGAAAGCAGAGATGCAATTGAATCATGATTCCTTGGCGCCCTCGAGTCTTTGGCTGCCGGAGATATACCGGCCAATTACAGCGAGGGTTCACTGGTGCAGCCTTCCAGCCTTTCTCCTGAGTGAACTGTCCCAAGCGAGGAATCCTTTCAAAGACTTAAATTAAGGTAGCATTGGATATCTGCAGGTCGTCCAGCCAGTCGTTTCGTCGATTCATTTTATTTTATTTTATTTATTTATTCCTTTTGGCTTCGGGGCATGCTTTCCGTGTTGCAGCCCCCTCAGCTCCAGGAAACTGGACAGCGTTGGCTTGCATCTCAATGGATGGAAAAACTGCGAGGCGCGGCTATCTGAAAAATCGGAAATCGGGACAGCCCAGAGAGTGGTGTTTGGTACTGGTTCTTCTATTGGCGGACACGGTATATTTATAGACGTTGAGACGGAATAATACAATGCAGGGGGAGCATCGAAAATTATTCTCCTTTTTGTTGCTATTCGGTGAAATATTGACCTCTTCAAGAGTAATAATGACATTCGCTGATAATCTGCAGCCATGGAGAGCAGAACCTCAAAACAAGGTGTGCTCTAAGAACGTCAACGCGCTGCTAAAGGCTGCTAAGGCGCTCCGGTGCAGGCTATGGCCAACGACGGACTCGCCCACGTGGATCATCTTCCGGCACCAAAATAGCTTACTCTGCGAAGTCGACAGACTACAAGATGTTATCTGAGCTTATTACTCCGTACTATTATCATCATCGCCATTCTTCAGCATTCCGTCTCAGTGACGTTGAGAGTGCTTTTCTTACAGTAATTACAGATACGAAAAGGGGGCGAAATCATGAAACTGACCCGTCTGTCGGGAAAAAGGGGGGGGGGGGGGGGGGAGGGAAGATGTCAGCATGAGCAACCCATTCCAAGTTCCAACCATGCAGGGGTTCTTGGAAGTTCAAGAGCAGTGCCGGAACCCGCAGCCAACCTGGAAATGCACGTCTCCAACCTCGGAAAGGCCACTCTGAGCCCTGAAGCGACAATTCAGCTGGTTTTGCTTGGGTGCCGCCGGCTGATTGGCTGTACCCCGCGCGGGCGGAGTTGAGTTGAACCCACTGCATTATGGATTGCAAATGGATTCTGTATAGAGTATCGGTGAGAAAATCAAAATCAAAACGAAGTATTACCATTACCAAGCACGGATATAAATGCCGTTGAGGCCTTGAGGTGGTGGTTTGATCCTGATCCCTTGGGGGCAGCTCACCCCCGGATATCCGTCTGAATTCATCACTCCCTCCTCACGCACATGATGGATGCTCTTTTCCGCGGTGGAAACTCGGGAATTATTGGCCCTCGCTGGACAGTGGACACTGGATATCACTCCTCGGCGACTGAGCCACGAGGCTCAAGAAACAGAACTGAGAAATTGAGTTGGGGCTATCTCGAGCTTTGGTATCGGAGAACAACCGCGCCTCCGTGATTAAAAGATGGGTCCTATCCAAACGGAGTATCCTCGAAGCATCCATGAATCCACGAGATGGGGTGTCCAGGTCTATCATCAGGGGACGGTGTTTGACCTTGAACAGGCTCCAGTGGAGCGGTACTTTTGACAAAGATACTCTCGACTTGCGCCCTCCCTCATTCTCTTTCCAACAGTCGGTCGAGGTTGTTCCCGTGAAGCTCGATTAATTCCGGTGAGTCTCCACAATCCCCGCTGCGGCTTTGCTCCTTCAAGTTATCTTGTCATGCAATACTGGAGAGCTCTGGGGGCTTTCTGGCGACTCGGCGCATCTGACTAGTTCACGTTGTCTGCGAGAAAGTACAGTCGATTGTATCATCGGACATACCTTTGACATATCGCAATTTCGAGTTCCATCCAATCAGTCCATCCCCCGTACCAAGGTACCGGCCGTTTTCCATGCCCATCGGCTTCGCTCGCTCTGCATCTCTGATCGCAAGATTGGACATGAATCTGAACCAGAGGGACCCATGAAAGCATGATAGCAGCAGCCGATATTGCTAACTGGAACGAGAAATAAACTCAAATTGTCAAATGGCCCCATTTTCCTGGGCCATGATTGGACCATACTTGTCATGTTCCCCACCGCAGCGTTCCTGACTTGCGCAAAACGAGCAAGCGCTGGACAGGCCTCCGAGGTCGGGTGCCCACCAAATTGCTGGGTCCCATCACGACTTCCAGGCTGGGGATGATTGATGCTCAGAGCAAAGAGTAAAGACCACCTTGCGGGCGATTCTCCGTCCAGACGATGAGATCCAAATCTCCTGATTTGAAAGGGCCCGGGCTCGGGTTGGCAACGCCGCAGCATCCCCACTGTTGCAATCGCCCTCATTGGCAATCCGCCAGCCTCGAGCAACAGGTGACCATTGCAGCGACCTCCTTTTCCCATTACTCGTTGTTATTGGTGAGCTGGGCTCTCCATCAGCCATGACCGGCATTAGCCGCCCCCGTTACTTGCCTATCATGGTACTTTTTGCCTCTGTTTTTGTCATTTTCTGAGTTTTCTCTTCTTCTTTTCTTTCCCTTGTGATTTAATACGCACAGTAATATATCCCACCAATCCTTTACGTAGGAGTATTCGAGGGAATTCGGCATCTTCTGCCTCTTCCTTAGCTTGAACTGTGTTAATGCGAGCATTTGATACTGGAACATCATGATATCCTCCGTCAGCCTCCACCACGCGCGCTGCACGCGCTCCTTAGTCTCCCCCGACCTGCGCTACGGCCCCTTTTCGCCTAGCCCGGGACTACCTCGCTTCTTCCCTTTCGGATAATATGGACCTCACACTGGTGTGCCATCAACCGTTCCAAAGTCCCAGCCGTTTCTCGGGCACGTCATCCATAGTCTATCTTTGGCTAGCCACTAGCGGCGCGGTGAGCAATTCCCCCTGGTGCCCACTGCCCACGCTCGCCCACGCTCCGGGCCAACGATCTTTGGCCATCCCCACGAGCCCGTCGCGATTCTGCGCTAGGTTCACGACAGACCTTCGCAAGGTGCAACCGACACGCGCACCGTCCAGCCCAAATCGCGGGTAGACCATCGCTTCCAAGCTCTAAGTCCCGACCACTATTTCGACTATCATCAACTTACTCTCGACTTCATGTTTACCCTTGCTTGCCCACAGCTATTCGTTACTCCCACCTCTTTTCGTAGCGACAGGGGGCCATTGAGGGACTGCCGTCAAGCAGGAATAGGGTTGCATGCGTCTGACTCGTTCTTCGCCACACTTGCGCGGGAGGAGAAAAGGAAACATCCAAATAATACTCAAATAATAATAATAATAATATCATGCTGCCCGGCGAGAGTCAGCCAGACAAGGAAAGCTTAGCCGGGTTGGAAGAATCACAGAGAGCGCCTTGGCTGTGCTCACTGTGTCCTCAATGAGGGGAGCCAGTGGGTCCGAACGGGCCCGTCACCAGAAAGCGACAACACTCCGCCCGGCAGCCCACCAGCAGCCAACCAGCAGCCCGCAAGCCGGGCCCCTCCTGTGACAATACGGTACCAACCCCCCTTTCCATTGTGACGCCGTATTTCAGCAAACAATTTCTTCATTGCTCCAACTCCCCTTTGGGCCCACGCGCCGCTCCACCATATCCTCGGATCCCACGAGGTGCTCTCTCTTCTGTTCTGTCCTGAAAGATTGTTTCTCGCTCTGTCGGGCTGCCTTTAAGACGCGCCTTTCCTGCTCAAGCCTGGTTCTGCCGAGTCGAGTCAAAACCATCTTCCCTCCGGTCGCTTTTAGGGTGATTGTGCTCCCAGGCTCGCCACTTGGATCGAGGCTTCGTCTCCTGCGCTATCACTCTTTCGAGCTGGTGGATTCTACTCTATTTTAGCCCCTTCTCGTATAGTTGTGACGGCCTGCCTCTGGCTCTTATTCCACTTTTACTTCCTTTTTTTTTTCTTACCCTTGGCCCCGGCCCCATTCTGCTCGTCGACTTGTCTGTCCTCGTGCTGATTGCTGGCTGTCGTGCCCTCCGCCACCTGCAAGCGCCAGTCTCCGTCTCCATCACCCTAACAGGGCGACTAAGCGATTAAGCATCGCGATCCAGCATCTCTGCTCTGCATCTCCCGAGCTTGACAGCGTTCTTCACTGCTGCGCTCGTCTGGCTTACCCTTCACTGCTTGTGGTAATTTTTAATCACTGTCCTGGAGACCTGGAAAGATTCCGTTTCGCGCCCTCATAATTACGCGTCGATCCTTCCATTATTTTCTTTTCTCCTTCACACCTCTCATCCTGCTCCTCTCCCCCCGGCCTGAACGTGCAGACAGACGCCTGCGTGAAATCGGCCGTGTCCAACTCGTCCCAAAAGCCACTAAACCAGTACGTTCCAACGAAAAGAGGGGGATCATCCAAGCCTTCTCGACACGGGATCACACTAGGATCTCTGAACCCCAACTCAATCCTCTCTCCCCTTTCCCCATTCTCTACTATCTACCTACTTATCCGCTTCGGATTCCCTTTTCTTGCGTCCACAAGCTCATTGTGTCCCTCCAACGCGTGAATCAACAGGCGCGCGAGACAAGCTAGCTTGCAGGATCGTGTCAGGGAAACTTCGTCCCCGGTAGCGACCACCTTTTTCTTCCCTTCCCTTTCTATTATATGGACAACAGGCCTGCTTCCGAGTACGCGCAGTCAGGTTCGCATTCACCGTATCCACCGTCCGTCGCGACATTTTCTGAATTCATAGCCGCAGACCAGGCATCTGCTGCTGCCACTGCTCAGTACACCCCCCAGCCTGAGCCTCGCCCCAACCCTCAGTACACTCCCCAGCCTGAGGTGCGACCTGGCACTTCGTCCAACACGCCCCAGTCCGACTACGCTCTGAACCAGCCGCCCCCCGCTGCGCGCTCTCCTTATCCCGAATATTTGGCCCGCCCGCCTCAATACCATCACGCGCCGAACTCCCAACCTGGAGGTGCGGCAGGTATGGCTCAAGCAACAAGTCCGTCCATACACACCCTCAATGATGGGCACCACAATGGCCATCGCAATCACTCGAACATAAAGTCTGACCCGGGCATTGTTCCTATAGATCCCTCGATTGCGGCCTCTAGCCCCACCTATCCTCCCCCCTACTCGCCCTACCAGCCTCAGGGCCATGACATGGCCCAGTACCAGGGCCACCCCCCTCCTCCGCCTCCTCAGATGTATGCGCGTCCAGACTGGTCGCATGGGTATCCGCAACACCAGCACGGTCTGCCAGGACCCTATAGCTCCCCTGCCACAACGGTTGGTCCCGCCTCCCCTGCTGCGACCGCAGGGCCGCGCCCTGGCCAGGTATGTTCTTGATGATTTCGGCGTCTGTTTCCAAAGGCTGTGCAATTTCTTTTGATTGTTGTCTTCTTGGGACGTCCTTCCGATGTCAGGGCTGCGGTCGGGCTACTGCCTCCCAGGACGTGGAGATGCGGGCGCATTATTCATCAATTATTTTTTTCTAAAAAAAATAAATAAACATTGTTCGAAAACTGACCAGGGATTTTCGCAGGTTTACTCGTTCGTTCCCATTCCCGGTGCTCAGCAGCACAAGCGCCCTCGTCGCCGATATGAAGAGATTGAGCGTATGTACAAGTGTGGATGGAATGGCTGCGAAAAGGCGTATGGCACTCTGAATCACCTGAATGCTCACGTTACTATGCAATCACATGGAGCGAAGCGAACTCCCGAAGGTGAGCTGAACAAAAATAATCCATACTTTGATTGTTGTTGTTGTTGTTGTTGGTGTGCCGCCGTTGCAGCTGCGATGGTTTGGCTAGTGCAGGCTGCGGCACGCGCTAGTCGAGTTACACAGCTTTAGCGTTGCGGATCGCAGTAGCGTGACAACTTCCCGAGTAAATCGGCGAGCTATGGGATTTTATCTCAGACTATGAACGGCATACTGACCACCGCTGCAGAATTCAAGGAAATTCGCAAGGAGTGGAAGGCCCGCAAGAAGGAGGAGGAAGCTCAGCGCAAGGTCGCTGAGGAGCGCGAGCGCGCCGCCGCCGCCGCCGCTGCCCAAAGCCAGATCGATGCTTCTGGCGCCGGAGACCCTTCACAGGCCGGTCAGCCTCCTTCGTACCCTGGCGGTGTCCGACCCCAATTACCCCCGATCGGCTACCAGCCTGCCGAAGGTCAGGTCCCTGGTCAATACGGCGCTGGTGCTGGTGGAATGGTCTACCAGGGCAACGGGCAAGTGGGATACCCTCCAAACTACCCTCACTCGCCTTATGGGCAGAGCGGTCAAGTGTATCAGCAACGTAAGTAGTCAGTCCTTCATGTTTGCTTTGTTTAGGACCGGGCCATGAAAGTGGCACAAAAAGAGATGGAAGAGAGGATGAATGCCACAAGAAGAAGTCGCCATGGCACACATGAAATGCACGTTACGAAGGTCCTTTTAAAGCCTATTGCTATAAAGGGATATTGTAGCTGATCGATGATGGCGTCGCAGAAAACCAATCGACCAGCTACCCGCAATAGATGTCTCTCCACCTTTCCTTTTCTAAGTTCTTGAAAGGTTGCATGTTCTAATACCTACCAATACCCAAACCCCAACCCTCAACTCTTAATCCCACATCGCCGTCTGCCTTGGGGTCTAATTTCTTGAGATCTTGCGCACATGATACCACTTCTGGCCATGATTTGCTCCAGTCAAAAAAAACGGCCTTTGCGACTCATGCTTCTGTCTCCCATCATGTTTGATGTTTTTCCTTTTCCTGATTTTCATTGTCTCTTTTTTTTTTTTCTTTACGTCTGTTCCTTCATGTCGAACTAGATGGCCGGATGAGAAAGAAAAGACTGTTTTGAGTCGGGACTTGTCTTTTTCCGTTTTTTTTTAACGCCATATGCAGATACTTGGCTCTGCAATTCAGCTTTGTGATTTGGGATGGATATCTGGCGGGGCTATCTGATCTACGTTGAATATTGACTACGCTATGGTGACTTGTGCACCTGTGAACTACTACTACCACTACCACTACTACGCCGTTACTACTGTTTTGAAGTCTCCGATTTGTTTACTTTTCTATGACCTGCTCCAATTCATGTGCAATATCCCTTGTCTTTCCTTTTCCTCTTTTTTGCGCGGTTTTGTCCGGATTATTTATGCTCTAATGCCAATGCAAGAGCTGTTGTAGAAATCTCAATTCAGACTCATCTCTTCTTATACTGGAACTGGATCTTTATACTATGCGGTATCTACTTCTAGTCGAGTTACAACCGACTGACTGCAAAATGACTACGACCAGATTGAAAGTTTGAAACCTAGTTATCTGGTACTGGTATTCGGTAGATACTAAACTATGACATGCAGTGGTTCTGGAGTCAGCACCTTACGGGGAGGTTAAATAGAAAACCTGGAAAGACTGTCGGGACGGGACGCAAGTTCCTGCATTAGCAGCTTGACTATCGCCCGCGCCGTTCATGCGCTGCGCTGCAAGCTGCCAGTGCCTAATAACGGTCACTAGTCAAAGCCACTCAAAACCACCAAGTAACTAGCGCATATCCAGTACGATCTCGACTAGTCTGGTGTTGTGTAGACTCAGTGCCCAGTGGCTTCCCGCAAGACATGCATGCATGCATGCATGCATACTAATTAATGTGCGTCATTTGAGTCATAAGCTAGTTTACTGATTAGTTGGGCAAACTCTTATTTATGAATGTGAGGTGTCAACGCCAATGGGTATGTGCGTCTGTACGTGCGTAGTTCCGATGTTTCGCAGCCTTAGTCTGTTTACTCTTTACTTACTTGAGGTAGTCTAAGCTACTAGTTCGTTACCCCCCCCACCAAACCTCTTTTTATTTCCGGGGGGGTGGTTAAAATTGCGGAGGGAGACCGGCGGGGAGGGACGTGAGTCACTTACTTACTCACTCCGCACTAGTATAGTAGGCCTTACCTGAACCCTGCTCGAAGGATCTTCTGTAAGTTAGAAGAAGTCAAGGCAAGGTAGCTAAGCTTAAGTTGGCTCCAGCTTGCGGTTTTCCCGTTTTTAGGGCCCGCTGAGGGGTTTCGGCGCTAAGTGTTTTATTCTTAGTCCGCTGTTTGGATCTTGGGGGAGGGAGGCGGGAGTGGTACGTAGTCCGTACGCACTACGCAAGCTTAGTTTTTAGCCTTAGCCCTAGGCTTAGGTTGTTTAGTTCCCGGCCGTGCCTGGTGCGGCGTTCCGCTGGTGCCAGAGCCAGTTGTAGATCAAGGTTGGAACTAAGGTTGGAATGCGCTAACTCGAGATCGGATCTTGGATGGGCGTGCGCTTGGTTCTGGTTGGGCTAGTGGCTGGGCTAGCGTGCTGGCTGCTGGATTTATATTTGGCTGTTGGTGCTATTCCTAAAGGGGGTGTGCTAGCTTGGTACGGCACCTTGTACACCGTAGTAATGCCACGGCGACGGGATGGGCCTGTTGTGGTGGGTTGGTGGCGATAGTTGGGCTGGTTGGCTGGCACATGGGATAAGTGTCTGAGATGGGAATGAGGGTTTTGGTAGTTACTGTGCTTGTTTACTTTGGATAGCTGGATTTAGAGGAATGGATTATTTGGTGGTGGTGTAGATTGGTAAAGTACGTAGGCAAGCGATCCTGGGGCACGCTGTTGAGGGGTTGATGTTAATTGGTTTTCTAATAATTCTAAATGGCTAACCACCGTTTTCGATCCCAGCCTTCATTGTAAAGATTGCGCATTCAATTATCTTGTTGACCTTGTACTTGTCGCTGGAGAAACCGGTCACGTGGTGATAGGTGATGGCTGTTATCCGGCGCTAGCAGCGATTTTGGCTCAAACATTTTTTGAACTTCCTTCAGCTCACGCGCCATCATTGGTTTTGCTCAAGTACAGCCTGCTGGGTGAACAATTACGATAATAATATAATATTAACTGGCTTTTAGCGCTTCCTTCGCATTTATCATCCCCAATCCCGCATTCGAATCCCCCGTGCTGGGATTGTCGCATTGACTGTTGCACGATACCTCGCGAACTCACGAAGATTACACACCTTGAACCAACCCCCGGAAGCTTAGATGCTTCGTTGCAGCAATGCCACTGCTTTTAGAACGCAGTTTACGGCAAATATGGCCCTGAGGGCACCGATTCCTAGGGCTCTGCCATGGATCGGTGCTCCACAAAGGCTTCCCCCGTTTACGCAGGGTGCGGTGAGGCAATTTGGCACAGAGAAGAGGGAGAAGAGGACGGGAAAGGGGAATCGGATATTTTCCGCGAAGGATGATCTTCAAGAACCGTCCCAGCCCATTACGACTCCGTTCACAGCCGCGAAACGGAAAGATCGGAGAGATCCTCGGCTTGGACTGACGAAGGAAGATAGTCTGGTGCTGATTGCGACCAACAAGGGCCCAAGCGTCTCGAAGAAGGCGGTTCGAATGGAGTTGGTATGGCTGAAAGATCGGGCTATGCTCCTGGAGCAGACGCGGCGGATGCTTAGACGCGATAATGTTGCGATGGCGGCGGCGCTGGTTCGGGAAGCGCAACGTACCGGATATGACACTGCGGCGTCTTGGAATGCTCTTCTGGATTATTGCATGCTGAAGAAGAACCCGCGGGCTGCGTTCAAGTTTTGGAATGATGTATGCTTCCCCCGACTTCTGTGATTGGCCTTGCTTTCTCGTGCTAACGATCCTTGTTTCCGTGTTTAGATGAAGAAGCGCGGTTGCATGCCTAACGAACATGCATACACAACTATGTTGCATGGATTGAGTAAGATGGATAAAGCTGCCTCCTACGACGTTGTGCCGACGGCTCGTGTGGTTTACGACTCTCTATACGCTCCTAATAGCCTGGTTAAACCGAGTCTTATCCACACAAATGCGATGTTGAATGTGTGCGCACAGCACAATGCTATGGATGTGCTCTGGGAGATCGCTGGGGCGTTGCCCGAAGAAGGACCCCATTCGCCAGACTCGTTTACCTATACAATTATCCTGAGTGGTATTAGGGGCTCCATTCAGAAGGGCGTGGGAAAGCTCCAAGGCTTCGAGGCGGACAAGGCCCGGCTCAGACGGTTTGAGGGAATCAAGGAGGGCAAAAGGGTATGGGCGGATATTTTGTATCGATGGAAACATGGTCAGATTGCCCTATCGAATCAGCTTGTTTCGGCTATGGCAGGTCTACTCTGGGAAGGCACTGGTGATTGGCATTTATACGAGGTGCTTCAGCTCTACCATCAGACGGCAGGACTTCCCATTCTCGCCAAACAGCCGCGTCGCGATTTGTCCGCGGCGTCAAATCGAGCGCTCTCGCGAGTCGGCAGCGACTTTACGTATGAGGCACAGGTGAAAGCCGGAAAAGCTCCCGCCCCTGAGGATGTTGTCCCGTTTGTGGATGACAAGGGCAAAAAGTTTACTCCTACGGAAAAAAAAGCGGACGAACGAGATGTGCCTGCACAGCCCAAGCAAGAAGAGGGAAATGAGGAAAATTTCGACCACCTTTTCGACCCTGTGCTCCCGGAGGATGCACGGCCTTATACGGGTTCTTTTGTGGGCTCAATAGACGGCCCGACTTATATTCCTCTGGGTAACCGGGAGCTCTCTGTTATCTTGGAGACATGCTTACAGATGACTAACGCCGCTGGACCCGGAAAGGCTTACTGGACGCATCTTACAATTGAAGATCACGGATATTCTTTCCCCCCAGACCATCGCTCGTATGTGGCGTATCTGCGTATTCTCCGCGTTGCTCGTTCGAGTCGTCTTACGGCCGAACTATTACGGAACCAGATGCTCCCAGCAGGCTTCGAGCAAGGCTTACCTTTCCATATCGCGCTGAGCACTTGCAGGCGTGACCGATTGAACCCGAACGTCCTGAAGAACGCCAATTCAATGCTGGAGATGATGAACGAGGGTCTTTTAATACCTGATCACCGAGCAATAGGTAGCTACCTTGATCTCATCAAAATGCTAGAAGACAACCCCCAAGACCTCGTGTCTCTGAACGGCCTTGATGTGGATAAACAGACGGCGTCCACTAAGCTGGAGACCATGGGCCGAACACTAACGCTGAACCTGCTCCAGGTGGCCGTGAAAAATCTCCGCCCCTTGGTTGCTAAACTCAGCGAAGCCATGACAGAGAGCTTGGACCGCGCTCCTGATTTGACCGGGCGTAGCGGCATCGAGCCTCAATTCGTCAAAAAGCAGGCTCAATCCGGCGCCCAGGTCCTTGCGGTGCTGACACGGGTGAGGTTGCTGGTTGACTCAATATTGAAGCGTCATAACGACGACCTACTTTCCAAGGAAGCCCGCAAGGAGCTCGAAGAGGAATCCCTGGCCTTGCGCAAGTATTCAGACGTCGATGTCATCAAGAGCGCCAAGGCCAAGACTGTATTCCCGACTGCTCAGCAACAAACCACGTTTTTCGATACCCGCAAGCCTATACCGATTAATGACACGCCTGTGGTGCGTCATGATATACCTGTGGATCCATGAGCTTCCATGTACAGAACTCTTATCTTTACTCTTTCTTCTCGACACGGCCGAGTTTGGCTGTTCTTTTTGCTCTCCCTTCTACACTGAAGCATATTGTGGCGTTGATGTATATTCTTGGAAGCCGGCTTTGTATAATAGACTAGAGACATGTATACTGCATATATACACAAAACCCAACTACTCTAATACTCATGAATATTCACATTATCATAAATGTTTCAGGTACCTGTTACAGCTCGCAGGAAGTATACAAGAAGTGGGACACCGCCTTCCCCATTCGGCCCGAGGTGCGTACGTAATGGGCGGAAAGCCACTCTAGCCTCTCCGGATCCAAACAGGCAAACAGGAGCAGCACGAGGACCGACAAACCTCCGCATTACCGTGAGTCTCGTCCAAATTGGACTACGATAAAGAAGTCGCCGCTTTGTTGCCATTTCAAGCTCTCTGGTAGAGCAGACTATGCGCCGGTAGCCCTTATCTATTGAATTAGCTCAGCTCAACACACGCTCTACGCTCAAGAAACCATGGCCAGCTCTTCAACGCCGTACTATGCCCAAGATGAACCCCGCGACGATGAATCTATCTTGGACGATGGGGTGATTGAGGCCGATGATGGTATGTTTGGCTTTTCTAGAATCCCACGTTTGACTTTCGATTTGAATGTGTCTCTACTGCTTGGGTTCCGTTATAGCTAACCCTGTCTCTTCGACTCCCTCTAGCTATCGATGCCGATGACCCTCTCCACGAAACTGATAGAACGCCATTACGCGGCAACATCGAACCGGATTCGTCGAGTTCTCGTGGCGGCGGCGGCAACAACCTCTCCAGTGGCTACCTCACATCTAGAATCCCAGGCGAGGACCGTCGCGCACCGCAAAACACCATCGATGAGAGCGTATGGCAGACACTCTCCCGCGACCTTTTGGCGGTCTGGGAGAAGATGCGCCAGGTCCTCTACCCCAAGTATCTGGTTGGCGGTATACTGCAGCGCGGCGGAGGCGGTATTGGAGCCGCTGAACGCGGAGAAGCTTCTGGCTTTGGCGGCGGCATGAGGAATGCTCTTGGACGCTGGCCAGATGCTGATGTTGTGCTGCAAGGTGGCATGAGTGAGGGATTGAGAGATTGGGATCTTTGGTGAGCATGATGCCTCGGTTGATGGGCGTATATTCCTGGGATATTGCTTTACTGACTTGATGAACAGGGGTCCGCTTATTTTCTGCCTGCTTCTGAGTATGTTTTTGTCCATGGCTAAAGGCGATCAGTCGGATGTGGTATTCTCGGGAGTGTTCTCGCTCGTTTGGATTGGTGAGGCTGTCGTTACGCTGCAGATTAAGCTGCTGGGTGGGAATATGTATGTTCTACTGCTTTGTCCTGTTGTTGAGATGGTATTTGAAGCTAACCTGTCGCTGCAGCTCGTTCTTCCAGTCCGTCTGTATCATCGGTTACACGCTCTTCCCTCTGGTTATCGCCGCACTTCTCAGCGCAATGGGTCTCCCGACGATTGCGCGGATACCGGTTTACCTCGTCTTGATCGCTTGGTCTTTGGCCGCAGGCGTGAGTATCCTCGGTGGCTCTGGAGTCGTGCGAAACCGGGTGGGAATTGCGGTATATCCGCTTTTTGTCTTCTACATCGCGATCGGGTGCCTTTGCTTCATCAGCTAAACGATATGAGGCATGCAGTGCAACATTTTGGTGGACAGTCTCGAAGAGTGCCACAACGGGGACTTTGTCTGTGACTTGGTTATGTCTTCTCAATGCGATTCTAGCTCTATCCTTCCATGTCATATTTGTATTTTGTAAAGTACTAGAACTCTGCCTGTACCATGATATCCAATGAAACAATTTCCTAGATATGTTTGAGAAATTGGCCCTCGAGCCGCTGTTTAATGGGCTGTTGATGAACTATCTGCGGGGCGGGAGCGAGCGGTGACCGGGTGACGCTCAGTCCAGCCAGCGACAACACAGCAGTCCGTTTGTTGCTCCGTTTGCAATCGAGAACGATCTCCCATCCCACCTTTCCCTCTGTCGCTTTCCTTTCAGCCACTCTTTGTGACTCGAGTGAATAGCCCCCACGGTCCGTACCGACGGGACTTTCTCTTTATCTTGTGCGGATCTTCAACCCACCTCGAATTCGTCATCGAGCCTCGGTGCCGCTGAGCTCCTGGGCCTCATCCCACCACGACCACCGACCTCTAGCGGCATTTCTCGACAACTGTTGACTCGAGTATTCTCGTATTTCTGCCGGATATACTCGATATTTGAGAATTTCGGCCGAGTCTTAATTTCAAGCACCCGACGGTAAGCACTTTGTCTGCATCCAATCCTCCCCACGTGCAAATGCAAGCTTCCTTTCGAGGCGCTCTTTGTCTCAGATCTGGGCGCCAGTGTACTTTATTTCTACTTGTCATTGCAATATGGAACCCCAGTTGTTGGGTGATTATAATTTTGTCTTCGCTGGTAGACTAACATGGAGCTGGGCCTGCAGATTTCGTCTAGCTTCGATTGTGGCGCCCGATACCGAGTACCACCCTCCGCTTGGACTCTCCCTTTGCATGCGATCCGGCCCTGCCCCTTTTTGCGCGGATTGAATCATAAACACTAGACCTCTCCGTTGAAGAATTTTTCAACATGGCGTCCGGTGACCAGAGAAGCGAATTAGACAGTATGCCGTACCCTTTTACCATGCCTGACGATGTGCGACTGACGTGGGATTATCATCTCTCTAGAAGAAATGAAAAATGGCGTGGTGGATCAAGGTATGTGTCTCCTTTAAACTGGCTTCCCGCAAAATGTTATATGCGATAACTAACGGCTATGGCTATGTCTTAACAGCTGCTGACGACTCTCAAACATCCGACAACGATGGCGGCGAGCGTCCGGTCCGAAACAAGCTAAAGGAGACTACCATTACATCGGCTCCTCAACCATCCACAGAAACGAGTACAGACCAGCGCGGTGATTCTAGCAGGGCGAGCAGTCGAGGCAGGAAGCGGTCGTTTGATGACGAGGAACCGGAAAACAACGACGAGGATGCTGGTCATAGGCGGAAGCGATCGAGAGACTCGGCTACGGAAGAACCACCGGCTCAACCGGAGGAGGGTCAGTCAGAGCAGCCGCAAGAATCGGCGAGCACATTGAAGAAGAAGAGAAGCAGGGACCAGCTGGACAAGGACGAATCGAAAACCGAGACCAAGTCAGAGGTCGCCGAAGCCAAGGATACTTCGGATAATGCTCCAGTCGCAGCTAAGGCCGCAGCTGAAGGGGAACCCGAGAAGAAGCGGCACAGGGATACTTCCCAAGAACGCCACCCGGTAGGTCAAAAATTTGGTCGACAGCAGCGATTGTGCGAAAGCAACTAACTCTTTTATAGGCATCTCTCCCTAGCGCATTCGCGAATACGTCTTCTGTATCTCCGTTTGGCGCAATAGGCACCTCTACGTCGAAACCGCCAGCTGAAGAAACCAAACCCGCTACGTCTTCCTCCGCTTTTGCCTCGTCAAGTCTATCTGCCTTTGCTGGCTCAGAACAATCTCCATTTGGGTCTCTCGGCGCATCTACACCGTCTATCTTCAAATCTTCGACGGAATCGACTCCTGCCGTGACAGAGAAGCCCGCGGCAACTGGTTTTGCCGCTGCTGCCAAGCCTTCTGGTGGCTTTGCATCTCTAGGATCCGGGTTTTCAGCTTTCAGCGGTGGCTTTGGGGCCGCTAGCTCAAGCGGTGGCCTGACTAGCTTTGCTGCCGCCGGAGCTCCCAGCACCTTTGCCAGTGCAAGCTCGAAACCTTTTGGTGCTGAAGCGGACTCAGACGAAGAAGAAAATGAAAAGGAAGGAGATAGCGGACCGGCCGAGTTTGAGGCGGATAAAACTGATGAGAGATTTTTTGCGCGACAGAGTAAGGCGCCAGGCCCCCATTAAAGCTTCATCAAGGTTTCATTCACTAATTTTCAATTCTACAGTCGAGACCGGTGAAGAGGAGGAAAAGACATACTTTGCTTGCAAGGCCAAACTCTTCCACTTCTCAGACAATGAATGGAGAGAGCGTGGCCTTGGCAATTTCAAAGTCAATGTCAGGGTCATTGACGGGGTTGAAGACAAGAAGTCGGCCCGTATGGTCATGCGTGCAGATGGAGTCCTCCGTGTCATGCTGAACACTGCTCTGTTTAAGGGTATGAAGGTTGGTGATGGCGAAGGAAAAGAACCAAGATCCAAGCAGATCATTCTTGCAAGTTTAGAAGGAAACCGCTCAGTCCCTCTTTTGCTTCGAGTAAGCTATTCCTATGATCCGTCCCTCGGAGTTTTTGATATGATATGAAGAGAATGCTAACACTGCTTCATAGACGGGGAGTGAAGACCAGGCCAAGGAGCTATATCATACGATCCAAGATTTGCTGGAGCATCAATAAGCAACTTATAAAAAACCGTGGATTTTTTTCTTTTTAATAGATACCACCGGCGGTCAATAAACGTGTTTATCGTTTGGAGGGCGACTGGCATTGGGATCGGCTTTTTGCATTGGGACTGGGGAGTACGTTGAGCTACGTAGTACTTGGTGGGAATTAGCCAGCCTGATACTATTTCTTCCTGCTATTTATGCGCTTCTAGTACTTTATTTATCTACTTGCATATATTTTGCCATTCAGTCCATCCATGCATCCACACTATTCCGTAGAAGGCTATATAATTGCTTAATCACACGTGACGTCGCGTTCGCCTCGGCACGCCTCTCCTAGATTGTCAACTTTTCAGTCACTGCGTGCAAGACTTCTACCATCCACCACCCCATCGACCACAATGGGGAGTGCAAATGGCCGGATCAAACACGAGACAGACAATAAAATCCGGCCTTCCACCCCTTGGGAAACAAGACCACCGTGAGCAAGAGAACCAGCCGGTTTCGAATACCGACGCGTCGGTAGCCCCGCCAGACCAAACCACGAAAGGAAAACGCAAGAGAGCCGATACAGTTCCGGAGGTGTCAAAGCCGAATCAGGATCATATTGATGCCCAGGTTGACGAATCTCAGAAAAGAGAAACTGAACAAGCCAACGGCAACTCAGACGTAATTTCTTCTAATAACCGGAAACAACCAGCAAAAAAGACAAAAAGCAAAAAGCAGCAGCAGCGGAAACCATCTTCGCCATGGCCAGATCCATTCAAGAAACTATCCCGCACCCACCGCGCTCTGAACCTGGTTTACACGTTTTGCTGCACGAGGAAACATTTCGCGACGACGTTCGATAACATCAAAAAGGCTGTACAGGCGCAGAGTGGAACAGAGCTTACAGTTGAGGATATCGCACGGGTTAAGGTTCTTGTACCCCGAGCCGTGCGGTTCGAGTATGTGGATGAGGCGAGCTTGGATGTCTTGAGCGCGGGAGAAAGGGAAGAGGTCCGTGGGTTTGGAAGAGATGGATGGGAACCAAAGTACGGGGCGGATGTTGAGGAGGCACCTGTGATGCACGCATTATTGTTTGAGTTTGTGGATGGAGATTTGAAGAAGGAGAAGGGCCCGGGCTCGGGTTCGGGCTCTAGAGATAAGGATGAGGATTTGAAGATGCCAGTTTTCAGTCAGAAGCAGATGCTGGGATTAATCGAGAAGCGGAATGGCAAGTTTGCGGAAGCGATTGATGCCTTTCTTGTTCGGTGTGAAGACAAGGACATTGATCCTGTGGAGTTATTGGAGAAGGAGAAGGATTATCATGTTCCTATTTGTCCTGAAGGTGATGATGCTGTGGGTGATATATTGACGTCCGCGACCTCCTCGAAAGTGAAAGGACCCATCCCGAAGGATCGCAAGACAATGGCCGAGATCATTGATGAGATACGGGGCTTGGAATGGTATACGGGACAGATTGTCCCTGAAGGCCATAGGGCCTTTGACGCTCAGCAGGCTGTCTACGGGGACTTGAAGTTTGCGCTTTCGCAGGATCTTGTGAATGCCTTGTACAATACGAAGGGAATTACGCAGTTTTATTCTCACCAGGCGGAAGCGATCAATCACCTCCACGACGGACGAAATGTCATTGTCTCAACATCAACTAGCTCTGGCAAGTCGCTGATATATCAGGTCCCGATGCTGCATGAACTGGAACAGGACCCAACTAGCAGGGGCATGTACATCTTCCCTACGAAAGCCCTTGCCCAGGACCAGAAACGCAGTATGCAAGAACTCCTTCAGTACCTGTTAAATTTACAGGGCACGATGGTTGAAACGTTCGATGGCGACACACCCATGGCCAATCGCAACCTCATCCGAGACGAGGCACGCATCATCTTCACGAACCCTGATATGCTACATATTACGATTCTCCCGCAGGAGAACGCGTGGCGAACGTTTCTTCAGAACCTTAAATTCGTGGTTGTGGATGAACTCCACGTTTATAACGGGCTTTTCGGATCCCACGTGGCTTTCATCATGCGCCGCCTGCGTCGCATCTGTGCTGCTGTCGGGAACCGGAATGTCCGATTTATATCTTGCTCTGCTACAGTGGCTAACCCCGAGGAGCACATGCGGGCAATCTTTGGCGTTGATGATGTGCAGCTGATAGACTTTGACGGATCACCTTGCGGTCGGAAAGAATTTCTTTGCTGGAATACGCCATTCAAAGACCCCGGTGACCCAACATCTGGAAGGGGAGATAGCGTTGCTGAAACTGCACGACTATTTTGCCAGCTTATCCTCCGGGGTGCCCGCGTGATTGCTTTTTGCCGTATTCGGAAATTGTGCGAGATTCTACTGCAGGCAGTTCGGAACGAATGCAGTCGCATTGAGCGGCCAGAGGTTGGGAACATGATAATGGGTTATCGCGGCGGGTATAGTCCGCAAGACCGGAGGAGAATCGAAGCCGAGATGTTCC